AAAGGCTCAACGCTACGAAGAAAAGCCTTTCTGTGTAAAGCCAGCAGTTCATTGATTGATGAATGGCTTAGAAAACGTGGAAATAAATGGCTACAGAGTGCAAAAAGACATCAGTCCTCTATCTCGTGGAGAGAAGAGCATCAAAGAGGGAGAAAGGGACCAGAGTACCGTCTCCTCTTCTAGGCAGTTTGGCATTTCCAGCCAGTTTTGTCAGGGAAGATCTGATTACTGCCGTACAGCTGAAACAATTTCATATCTTAAATCTGCTAATGAGTTGTGTGAAACATGCATTATTAGTTGGGGGGGAAAAACATGCCTCAACAACCTTCTCTAGTGTAAATGAGTGTCCTAAAAAGCTGTGAGACTTTGTCAACTTCAGGAAGAGACCAGCTCATTTGTTTAAACAAGCCAGTCCGTGTCTGTTCAGAGTAAACTTACACAGGTCTCAGTGGGAGGCAGAGAGCACACAGTGGTGATCAGTTAGAAGAAATAATGAGCAGGATAGTCTTTTTTCCCCTTTCTTTTTGAAGCTTGTTTCATGTGAGGTCTTTGTAGCTTGTCATTAAAAGGGATTTGTAAGTTTCTGTGTTAATTTGTTAGTGAAACTGCTGGTGTGAAAATATTTGTCATGGTATTTAATGGTGTTTATTAGTTGATTATGCTGAATATACACTCTAGACAGTAAAAGCATTTATGCCTAGTGATGTCAGAAATATATATATATATATATATATATATATATATATATATATATATATATATATATATATATATATATATATATATATATGTATATATATATACACTCCTGATCAAAATCTTAAGACCAGTCAAAAATTGCAAGAATTTGCATTTAGCATTATTGGATCTTAAGAAGGTTCTAAGTAGAGCTTCACAATGTTAAAAGAAGAAATCAGCATAGGAGACAAAAACATTTGAGCGGGGAATTAATTGAAAACTGCATTTATACTCAAACATGATTTTTCATCTGATCAAAAGTTTAAGACCATAGCTCAAAAAACCTCCAAAACCCCCCAAAACAGAAATCAAAGTGCCAAAAAAAGGACTCAGTAATGAGTAGCTCCACCATTCTTGTTGATGACGTCAAAACAATCGTTTAGGCATGCTTGATGCCAGTGTTTCCAGGAGGCTAGTGGGAACATTGCTCCAAGTGTTGAAGATGGCTTCACGAAGGGCATCCACTGTCTGGAACTGATATCCATTTTTGTAACTTCCCTTGCCATCCATCCCCAAATGTTCTCAATTGGGTTTAGATCCAGGGAACATGCAGGATGGTCCAAAAGAGTGATGCTATTCTCTTGGAAGAACTCCTTTGTCAGGCGGGCATTGTGAACTGCAGCATTGTCCTGTTGAAAAACCCAATCATTACCACACAGACGAGGGCCCTCAGTCATGAGGGATGCCCGCTGCAACATCTCCACATAGCCAGCTGCTGTTTGACGCCCCTGCACAACCTGAAGCTCCATTGTTCCCATTGAAGGAAAACGCACCCCAAATCATGATGGCACCCCCACCACTGTGCCGTGTAGAAAACATCTCAGGTGGGATCTCCCTGTCATGCCAGTAACGTTGGAAGCCATCAGGACCATCAAGGTTAAATTTTTTCTCATCAGAGAAGACAACTTTCTTCCACCTTTCAATGTCCCATGTTTGGTGCACCCTTGCAAAGTCCAAACGGGCAATTCTGTGGCGTTGAAGAAGACGTGGCCTTTGAAGACGTTTTTTGTTTCTGAAGCCCTTCTCTCGCAGATGCCATCTGATGGTTATTGGGCTGCAGTCAGCACCAGTAATGGCTTTAATTTGGGTAGAGGATCGTCCCGTGTCTTGACGGACAGCCAATCGGATCCTGCGGCTCAGAGCTGGTGAAATTTTTTTGGGTCTACTGCTTGACTTTTTTGTTCCATAACCCTCAGGATCATTTAAGAAATGCAAAATGACTGTCTTACTGCGTCCGACCTCAGCAGCGATGGCACGTTGTGAGAGGCCTTGCTTATGCAGCTCAACAATCCTGCCACGTTCAAAGTCAGTGAGCTTTTTTGCTTTTGCCATCAGGAGGTTGACAGTGTAAAGACTTCACAGAAAATGACATGGAATCCAGATTTTTGCACAGCTTTTGGCTTTTAAAGACTATGGTCTTAAACTTTTGATCAGCTGAAAAAATCATGTTTGAGTGTAAATGCAGTTTTCAGAAAATTCCCCGCTCAAATGTTCTTGTCTCTTGCACTGATTGTTTTCTTTTAACATTGTGAAGCTCTACTTAGAACCTTCTTAAGATTCATTAGTGCAAAATGCTAATTCTTGCAATGTGTATATACACTCCTGATCAAAATCTTAAGACCAGTCAAAAATTGCAAGAATTAGCATTTTGCACTAATGAATCTTAAGAAGGTTCTAAGTAGAGCTTCACAATGTTAAAAGAAAATATTAGTGCAAGAGACAAAAAACATTTGAGCGGGAATTTTCTGAAAACTGCATTTACACTCAAACATGATTTTTTCAGCTGATCAAAAGTTTAAGACCATAGTCTTTAAAAGCCAAAAGCTGTGCAAAAATCTGGATTCCATGTCATGTTCTGTGAAGTCTTTACACTGTCAAGACCTCCAGATGGCAAAAGCAAAAAAATTCACTGACTTTGAACGTGGCAGGATTGTTGAGCTGCATAAGCAAGGCCTCTCACAACGTGCCATTGCTGCTGAGGTCGGACGCAGTAAGACAGTCATTTTGCATTTTTTAAATGATCCTGAGGGTTATGGAACAAAAAAGTCAAGCGGTAGACCCAAAAAATTTCACCAGCTCTGAACCGCAGGATCCGATTGGCTGTCCGTCAAGACAAGGGACGATCCTCTACCCAAATTAAAGCCATTACTGGTGCAGCCCGATAACCATCAGACGGCATCTGCGAGAAGGGCTTCAGAAACAAAAAAACGTCTTCAAAGGCCACGTCTTCTTCAACTCCACAGAATTGCCCGTTTGGACTTTGCAAGGGTGCACCAAACATGGGACATTGAAAGGTGGAAGAAAGTTGTCTTCTCTGATGAGAAAAGGTTTTGGCTTGATGATCCTGATGGCTTCCAACGTTACTGGTATGACAGGAGATCCCACCTGAGATGTTTTCTACACGGCACAGTGGTGGGGGCGCCATCATGATTTGGGGTGCGTTTTCCTTCAATGGAACAATGGAGCTTCAGGTTGTGCAGGGCGTCAAACAGCAGCTGGCTATGTGGAGATGTTGCAGCGGGCATCCCTCATGACTGAGGGCCCTCGTCTGTGTGTAATGATTGGGTTTTCAACAAGACAATGCTGCAGTTCACAATGCCCGCCCTGACAAAGCAGTTCTTCCAAGAGAATAACATCACTCTTTTGGACCATCCTGCATGTTCCCCGGATCTAAACCCAATTGAGAATATTTGGGGATGGATGGCAAGGGAAGTTTACAAAAATGGACATCAGTTCCAGACAGTGGATGCCCTTCGTGAAGCCATCTTCAACACTTGGAGCAACGTTCCCACTAGTCTCCTGGAAACACTGGCATCAAGCATGCCTAAATTGTTTGAAGTCATCAACAAGAATGGTGGAGCTACTCATTACTGAGTCCTTTTTTTTGATACTTTGATTTCTCTTTTGGGGGGTTTTCGGGTTTTTTTGAGATATGGTCTTAAACTTTTGATCATGTGGAAAAAATCATGTTTTAGAATAAATGCAGTTTTCAATTATTTCCCCGCTCAAAAGTTTTTGTCTTTTATGCTGATTTCTTCTTTTAACATTGTGAAGCTCTACTTAGAACCTTCTTAAGATTCAATAGTTCTAAATGCAAATTCTTGCAATTTTTTGACTGGTCTTAAAATTTTGATCAGGAGTGTATATATATATATATATATATATATATATATATATATATATATATATATATATATATATATATATATATAGAGAGAGAGAGAGAGAGAGAGAGAGAGATGCACACAAACGTATGACTCACTTTTTTATTTGTGTTGTTTTTCTAAGGGTCTGATCACATAAAATTCTAACTTAACACAATGCAACAGAAATGTAAACAGGCTAAAATAAAGGTATAAATTCCTTTGCAGGACACTGTCCAGCCTGTTAGGAGGTCTTGTATTAGTCCAAAACCAACGTTAAAGTCAGAAATGGACTTTTCTTTTTTTGTGGCAAGTTTTACAATCATCTAACTTTATTTGCCACTTAAAATCAAAATGGTCCTTTCATGACTGTCTTGCTAAAGTTCCCAATTTGTTATTTGTCTTTTCACAACCTTCTTAATATGATGCTTGATTTATCTTGTTTCTTCTACTTTAGTTGCCTTCTAGCGTGCATTTACATCAAACTGCAGTTTGTTTGCCTAGGAAACTAGAGTTTGATTAAGGTGGACTAAATAGGCCTGGTGTGAATGCACCCTGAAAGTGTTTTACATATAAAACTTTCTTTCAGTGGAAACTGTTTTCGGATGTCTAATATAAAACTGTTTAATTTTCTTATGTTTATGACCTGCAGATTTTTTTCTACTCGGATAAATCAAAAGCCTTAGAAATTACTTTTTATAAAAATACGAATTTTCACTTGCACAAAGTACTAACAAAATGTCACTTGTTTAGTGGTTGTGACTTGTAGCATTTATTATTGGAAAAGAAAACTTGTCTACAATTTACAGGAAGAGGGAATTAAATTTAAACAGCCTTCTGCAATTTTCTTTGAATATGTTTTTTTTTTTTTGTAAAAATGAAGCTTAAAAAACTCAAATACACTTTTAGAAGGTGTGGACCTGAATAGATCAGTCGTATTTTAGCTCTGCTGGGAAACAAATTGTGAGTCAGTCTTTGAGGGTAACCTCAAAGGTAGAAAGGACTAAAAAGTTCCTCAAAGTGATTATTTAACGGCTGGATTTCTTTTTCTTCAGGTAAATGCTTTCTTTTTCATGTTTTATTTATTTCCTGTTTTTTTTCCCCGCTCTCTCTTTTCAGACGGAGCCTTTCAAAATCACTCTCGGTTGCGGACGCCTCCGCTACCCCTCTCCCATTCTCACTCGCCCAATCATCAGCACCATGCAGCCTCTATTAACTCGTTAAACAGGAGTAACTACACTCCGCGGAGCAACGCCAGCCCAGCGCCCACAGACAGTTCCGCTCCCCCCGAGGGTCCCGCAAGTGGTCAAGACTCCAGCAGCATTCAGGACAACTGGCTCCTCAACAGCAACATCCCGCTGGAAACGAGGTACCGTGCAACTTGTCTCCCTAACAATGTGCGAGGCAGACATGTTGGCATCTTTAGGAATGAGCGCAAGCTTGTGCCATCGAACTCAGCTTTTTGTGTTGTCAGCTCTATATTATGTTACCGCAGAGCTAACAAGGACCAGAGCAAGAAAATGAAAACTGCTTGGACCGAAAGGCCTAACTTTTTGATGAACACAATTTTTGTGGAAAACAAGAGAAAAGTGTTGCTTGTCAAATATTAGCAGATTTTCAGCCAAATCTGGTTTGACTAATAATAATAATGTTAAAAAAATGCTAAATTCCATCCAGGCTCTAGTGTTCATGCTTCCTCGCTCCTCACCTTCAGTCCTGATCTCTATTTATTTTATATTAATCAGCTCTTCGTTCTCTAGCACATTCTCAATAAGAAGGCTCTTGTGTTAAGTAGATTTGTTGAGTATTATTGGAACAAAGGGAATGTCTGTTGGTCTTTTCTTGACTGGTATTGTCAATAATTTCAAGGTAAGATGATTTCCTTCGCTCTAATAATTTCCTTTTTTTTCACAGTGGTGTATAATCTTCACAAAGAAAAGTGAAATCATGGCTGTAGCCAGGTTACCAGCTGAGAAAATTTCTCCAATAAGCCTCAAATTGTGGGAGAATTTCTCCTCAATTTGAAGATTTGATGGTTAGGATTGAGCCAGAGCATTTCAACTGTAATATTAAGGCTGCAATTTTACCCACCACATTAGTGACTTAACATTTTTGTTCATTTGTACTAATTTATTCTTTTTATATTAAAAAAAAAAAAACTAGCGATAAATGCCCTGTGAATAAAAAGCAAGCTGAGTGTACACTTCTGACAGGTAGTCTCATCTGAAACATTTTTTTCCCCATTTTTTACCCTCAATAAAAATGTCGCAGAGCTGTAATTGATGCCCATTTTGTCAAAGCTGTAATCGAAGCATTAATGTTCACAGATTTGAGTTCAGCTAGTAAAAATAAATTCAATAGCTCTGAAACTCTTTTTCTAAGGCACTTGTCTTCCTCCTGCATTTCTCACCATGTCAAATTTCTCCTCTGAATTTTGAGCTCAAAAAGCTTCTGAGCAAAGAAAGCCAGCTTTGCACAAATGGAAACTTTGTGCTGACATGTAACTGGCAGCAACATTGCCTTTCAAATTTATAAACAGTATCTAAAAAATAGGTTTAGAGATTTTTTCTTTATATCAGTTTAAAAATAGCCGATTTCTATTTCTGCGGGAAAAAAAGTATGACAAAGTGGTCTGAAAAGCGTCTACACCCAGCAACAATACTGTTTTTATATTAATGTGATTTAACTTGATTTGGGATGCATATCCTTGAAATTCTACTGAAAAATTGCAGCAAAATATAAAAATGGTGGCTCTTGGAACTGGTTAGCCAGAAGTCCATGATCTTGTTTAGCAGATCTACAGTTAATCATATATCCCCTTTACACAAATATAGCAAAATATTAACATATTAAATTTCCAATTAACACCGTTAGCATGATTTGCTTCATTAAATCAGTTGTTACTGTATATTCCCAAGAATTATGAACCTTACATTAAAAGAAATATCTAAATATTTCCTAGTTTTCCTAAGTCTGCCATGTGCCATCATAGAGTAGTTTAAAATATAACACTAACATGTTTCTTTTGAAAGTATTCCTCTGTGATAATTACTTTATCTGATTAATCATCATAATAATCAATATGAAAAATACATTTATATATACATTTATGAAAATAGTATCTGGTTGGATAGATGAATTGGTGAGCCGCAGACATTGATTTCAAATATGAAAACATTTTTGGGTCAGACCTGTAGAACTGAGACAGTTTGGCTAAATAACAACACTGGTAAACATTTCCAATGTTCCATCCTGTGTCCTCCATCCATTTTTAGAAACTTCCCCTTAAAAAAACATTATTCAAATGAGCATTTTATTTTGATGGGAAAACTACTAATGGCTAATTTTTCACAACTGTAAATAAAACAGTCATGAAGAGACTTGTTGTCTCGTCCCTCGGCTGTTGTGAGACGGTTCATTCAACAGGAAAATGAGAATCAGTTTCAGCTGGTGGGGCAGTATAAAGTATAAGGAATGATTACACATCATCCAGCTCCAGTTAATGCTGCACAGGTATTCCCTGTGGAGCAAAAGACAGATGGTGAGGAGAGAAAATAGTTCTGCTGAAACCACAGAGTTTTATAACCCATAGCCTTAAAGAAAGATCAAAATTTCAAAGTAATACTACTAAAATCGTTAGTTGTATCCTAAAGGATCCTGTAGGATTAAATTCTACTTTTTTCTTATTTAATCCCATAACATTACTTCTCTCTTATGTCTCTTAAATTAAATCTACTGATGCAAAAGGCATCAATAGGTCTCAACTGTATGAGAGACTTTGGGAGTTGCTTGGCTCTGTTGACTTTTAACATTTCTTTCTTAAGAGCTTCTGACAAGCATCCCTCTGTCATTTGCTTCATTGAACTTTGCATTCATCGTCAGAGCTGTAGCTGAGGAGATTCCAGTGCTGAGCTCCACAGGGCATGCATCAAAATCCAGCCTTTTCTCTTGGACCACTGAACGTGTGCAGCCTTCCCATTGCATGTGGACGGTTCATTTCTCCATTGCATTGGAGGAGTACTTCCTTATGGAACGTAGCTCTCTACATGGGGAGAAAGGGTACACAAGCAAGCCTGTAGATGTATTACAGAAGAACTGAAAATGTGTCATTTGTAGTGCTACAGCAGTTGAGCAATAAAGTGTTGTAATTTCTCTGCTAATCAGCAGAGGTGCACCGATCAGAGATTCTGTTGCTGATTTTTGATTACAAATTTTGTGAAGCTCTGACCCACTGATACCAATTTAAATTGATTCTAACTTCTTTTTGATAACTTTAGATGTATAACTACTTTTGTCTACTTCCTGCATTCTCTGAAATGTATCTGTCTTAAAGCTGGTTTATTTCTGCAGATAGCAATAGAACCACAGGGAGAAAGCAGAGGAGCTTGTTTGTTTTTTTTTCCACTGATTATGTGCCATATTTTACTGCTGGGGCATAATTATAGTTCAACAATTATGTAACATGCTATGTTTTTTTCTTAAAAAAACTGGATTTGTTAACTTGTACAGAATAACTATCGCAATTAAAGTGTAAAAAAAATATTTTTGTTCTCAACTTTTACTTCACAAAACCCTGCAATTTGACAGCTTTATATAGTCTAGACTCTAGACTGTATATTTAAAAATGAAAACAACGATTGTGCATTAACTTATAGGTTTATGGTTTGATTTATTGTAACCAAATGGGAAGTTGAAGCGATCTTTCTGATCTAAACATTCATTAATTATTTATTTTAGGATCAGAAACCAAATCAGACTGTTTAATTCCCTGCTGTTTGCAAAACAATACTAATAGTGGCTGTGTAAAGAAAATGCCTTTATATTTTCTTTTGTAATAAGCTTTTGTTAATAATAATGAACAACATTATTATAATTTGTTTGCTTCTTCTAATTTTATTTATTAAGACCTCATAGGCATTACAAAAAGCTAAGTGCTCTTCACTGTGTAACAGTTTCCACATTGAAGAGTACGTTTGTTAGCTGTTTAGGGACATTTAAGAAAGGCAAATGATCTCTTGGTGCATCTCTGATTAGTTTTTTTTCTACCTAAAATTAATACTAAAATGTCTAAAGCTAACTTTTCATATGTACAGTAAGTTATGCGTTTTTGTCTTTCAACCACAACCTTAAAGGAGCCAGAATACTCTAATGTTTATCAGAGAAGAGCAAGACGCTTGCAGAGAAGGACAGGGCTCAAACAAAACAAGGTATGGAAGCGTACAAATGAGAGCAGCAAGAGAGTTAGATGTCATTTGTCCCACTCTTCTTTAGAAGTAGTTCCATAAGGGCCTTGGTTTCTTTGTCCCCACACCATCTGTTGTGATGCTCTTTTTTTTATACCTGTTGATTGATATCGCTTGGTGATCACATTCTGTACTGGCATTATCATGTTTTTTTATTGCATGCATGTCTCACACTAGCTTCATATCCATCTTTCCATCTGTGTGTAGAAATATAGCAAAGCAGGCATTCCTTGAGACTTTGCAGGACAACTTGATTGAGATGGACATTCTGGCATCAGCACGCCACGATGCCTCGTACAACGACGGGTATGTTGCATGTTTGCTCTGTGGCTCAAAATCTGCTTTGCCATGAAAACAATGAATGCCTGTGCTATTTTTCCATCAAACATCCCCCTGTTTGGAAACACTGTCATTCACTTTTGTTCATCTCCCGCAGTGCTAGAATGGGTGCATTTGTGTCTTCAGCTTTGATGCAACTCACCTAATTTGCATCAAGTCACATTGTTGGGTTGTGCCGTTTTTTTTTTTAGTAATGTCAAACATGGCCGCTTTATGAAACTTCAACTGCTAAAATACAATGCTCAAGCTATTTGTCTTTGAGATTTACAAATAAAGTATGGTCTCTTTGACTTTCCACATCACACATTGTAAGATGACATTCAATCACACTCATGTCACTGTCGCTCGGGAGCGTCTTGTAAACTTGTCACTGAAATGGCCTTGACAATAGTGCTGCTGTCACTGACTCTCTGATGGGCTGATCATACGGCACTTGGACACGGAGAGCTACACATGTTTTCCTGAGATAGTCAACCATGCTCTTCAAGGGCGAATAAATCTGCTTTTTACCATTCTGCAGCTTTATGTGCTTTATCTCCCCTCTGGACAGCCTTGACAACCTCACGCGTACCTGAAGTCACACTTCCTTGAATGTGGTCACTAGTTGTGAAAATTACACTGCTTTGCAGAAGTGTTCTCACTTTTTGAACTTTTTTCTATTCTTGTCACAATATAACCACAAACTTCAACATAGTTTATTGGAATTTTATATAATAGACAAACAACAATCAAAATTTACGCACTCATTCCCCTTATAACATTGTAGAGCTACCTTCTTTTACAGTTCTAGGCTTTTGCTGTATGTCTCTTAAAATTGAGCAAATCTAGAGGTAAAGACAGACTGAACAAAAGCATTCCCAAAAAAGAATGCTTCCACTCAGTGGTGGGCACCACAAACTAAAAAATCTATTGTGCTAACCCTTAAGCACTAATCATAAAATACAGTTTCATTGCTTTTGAAGCACTTTTTTGCCCAATTACATCTACAAGTCACCATTTTGGTGATGTCTCTACCAAATGGAAAATTAAAATCTCTACAGCATTCATAATACACATGGGCCAAGGGTTGAGCACAGTATTAGTTTCCATGACACACAGCAGTTTAAATGTAGACTAAGCTGGCCCTGAAGTGATCAGATCTTTTATAGCTGCACTTGATTGGCAAACATCATATGGAACTTAAATGGCTGTCTTTCAGCAGTGGCTCTCTTTTTACCACTCTGAAATTCCAGTTTCTAGATGCGCAAAGCAGGTAAAGCTGTTGCAGCAACAGCTGGTTGTGCAAACTATTAAAGTGGGGAGGAGCTTTATATAAATGCACAGCATGCTTTTCAGATCTGATTATGTACTACAATATATTTGCAATATCACATAAAATCCAAATAAAAGCACTGACATTTGTGATAGTAGCGTGACAAAATATGAAAAAGGTGGTTAAATACTTTTGCAAGACACTGTACATACTAACACACATTTATTGATTTTAATAATCCATAATATCTTTACATCCTCACTTGAAAATAAAATCACACAAATGAAAGATTTACTTGAATTTGAAGGCATCCTTGGGTATCGCTTTCTGTCAGAGTAACATACAAAATATGTTTTTCTCAGGCATTTCCTGTTCAAACCAGGTGGAACATCACCAATGTATTGCACAACTTCACCGGGGTACCCTCTGACCTCCAGCACGGTGTACTCGCCTCCCCCACGCCCTTTACCTCGAAACACCTTCTCTCGACCTGCCTTCAGCTTGAAGAAGCCCTACAAGCACTGCAACTGGAAATGTGCTGCTCTCAGTGCCATCCTCATTTCAGTGACGCTGCTGCTGCTGTTAGCCTACTTCGTTGGTGAGTAGCGTGTGTCTTCACTGATGCGACACCCCCCAGATCTCAACCCTTCACCCGCACGCAGACACAGGATGAGTCCGTTCTCTGCTGTATTTCTTTCATTATCTGTTTTAATGGTGTTTAGTCTCCGCCTGGAGCTCTACAAACACAGTTATATGGAGGCTTATAGATTGAGTCCTTACTCACACAAGTCGACAGCAAAAAAAACATTATCATTCATAGATTTGGTCGGTTGAATCTGCAGATGGGCAACCGGGCGTCTCGGTCTCATGAATAGGCTGGGTAGGAAATAGATTAAAAAGACATCAGCCATCACTCGAGAGACAGGGGCTGCGAGTTTAGAATATTCATCTTGCGGGGTGTGATTGACCAGCTCTCTCAGGGTCCCAGCTGGATTAGAGGCATCAACTAAGTTACGCTATTAAATCAGTTCTGCTCAATTTGTCTGCTTCCGTCCTATGAGGAATTGATATTCATATTTGAAGATGCAGTCTGCAGTTTGTATGATCTACTTCTGAAGGGATAGAAGTATTGGTGGAAATACTCTTAGCATTTAAAAATGAAAAAAGGAGGTCCAAACAAAAGAGAGTACAAATCAAACACCTGCTGTTCTACATGGCAGATGATATACAATGATGGTGAAAAGTTTAGATTCTCACCAAAGGATTGAATGATATAAATCTTTGACTTTATTTATGTATTTAAACATATTTTTCAAGGTGAAATGACTACAGTGTAGAACTTGAGTGAATTTTTGTAGTTTGATTCTGGATTTTTTTCCTCCTCACTATTTGCTACAATTATCCACAACTTTTAATATTTATTTGGCTCAATATCAATGGAAGTTTATTTAAAATGGACGGTTTCTTGGCATGGGTCCAGTTTCAAAGTATAGTCCATACACTTTCAATAGACTTCAGGTGCCAGAAGCTTAATGTTAGCCTACAATAAAGACAAAAAAAAAAGAAAATGAGGTGGACTAGCAGTGATTGCCGATATCCATGACAAGTTTCTGTGGAATATTGTCTCTGCTGCCAGAAAGCTGAGCTGTTAGCATTTCTTGACAGTCATAAGACTATCATACAGCAATAGTCTTCAGTCAGAGGCAACATTTAATTTCCCTTTGAGATAAAAAAAAATAATAAAGTACTTTTGAACATTTATCTATGCCACAAGTAGTCTTGATATGTTTGGTATTACTGTCCTGCTAAAACACCCAACTGTGTTTTAGACTATGTCAAATTGTTGTTTATTTAAGGTAAAGTGGAAGAAGTTGGATGTATTCCTGTTTTTTGCAGTACACCAACATTGATAGCTAAACACTTCCTCAATCTGATATTGCCTCAACCATGTGTGATAATTTTTAGTGTTGTAAAGTTTAGATGAGTTAAGCTGAGACTTTCAAACATATTTCTTGTGTCAGAAATCAGGGCCAAATAAATCAATACTGAACTTTTGACTATACTTTTTTTCTTTTTTTGATAAATTCTGTTTACCCTTATTGGTAAATTCACATTTTATTTAGTCTTTTGAATAAGATTTTTGGGCAAATACTTATTTTTTAGTCAATCTATGTTGATGTTAAGCTGGCTTTGCCACAGACAGCGACTAACTAACTCAAGCCTCTGTGGTAACAATGTTGTTAGACTGAAAATAACAATTGGGTCCAAATTAAAAGCAGGTTTTGCATCTTGTGAAAGTTTTTTTTTTTTTAGTCCTTTTTCCTTCAAACAAACATCTTAACTGATTTATACCTGCAGTATGAAAACAAAGACCTTCAAAATCAAAAAGAAGACTTAGTTTATTTTCTGTAGAGCAATAATTTCACGCAAAATGGTTTCAGATCCTGATATTATCGTCATTTATAACTCATGTAAACAACACTTAAAGTAAAGTTTTGACTTTTAAATATGTGCTGTGTAATTTTTTTTCAGCATTTTTGATAAGTAATTAAAGTTCTATTGAATCCCATGTTGTGTACGCATGAAAACAGTTAATTCCCACTTCCTTTTCTTACATTTTATACTATAACAGTGCATCTATTTCACAGTGAATACCTTCTTAACATATAAATGGTGTCACTATTGAATTCAGTCTCCTAGAGATAAAGAAATAAATTAAGTCGCAGAATGATGATGGGGCCCGAGTTGATTTGCATGAGGGGAATAAAAGGCAGATCCTCTGTGCGGCCTTCATCAGGGAGATAAATTAATTCTTCTTCGAGGACATTTGTTATAGATATTCATTGGGCTGTAACAATTACAAAACCAATAATTTCTGCTTCACCTTGAGGCTAAACAAGCTAAAATCGTACTCATTTTTTTGTTGGCGGAGACACTTGAAGAGTTTAATTTAAAATTCAAAACAGTACAAATTTAAAGTCAGAACCAATGCATTTCATCTTGTGGAGATTATCTATTAATTAGCAATAAAAGATGTGATCAAGTTCTGGTTTTGACTTGGGTTTGGGATCAGCAGGTTGCTGCATTCAGTCTGCACCTTCTGCTGGTGACCTGGCCAAACGCCAAATCATCCTGACAGCTCCTAATCAGACAATGCAATTACACCTCAACCATCTCCTGTTACAGCACAAGTAAACATGTTGGAGACCAAACCCCACCCTCAGATTGGAAATTTCAATCAAGAACAAGAGGCATTTTTAATTAAAGGCTGATGAGAAAATACATTTAATTTCAAGTGCAGTTAATTATTGAGGCCTGTAATTGGGACCTCTGGATGAGATGTCTAATAAAGCCAATTACGGCTCATGACAGATGTTTTGACTTCAGCTTGGTTTTCTTTTTTCCACACAGCTGGGTAAATTGACCCATTTTGAAGTGCAGAAAAGGTTGGGAGTTTTTTGATGGCACTATTTTCTCTGTGGTTGCTTGCTCATTAGCACATTTGTTATACGTTCCTCATTTTAAGGTCATCAGTATCCTCCTGTGTTCACTTTCATTCACCATGGGTATCCAGTCAAGGACGAGAAGGTTGGGCCCCGGAAAATGTTTGACTTTGCAATCCTCACACTCAAAAAACATTTCTTATAACAAAATTGTACTTGGTAATTTGGAATAAAACAGTTTGATTATTTAATTTTTCCAAAACCTCACAAAATGCATCTTTTTATAGATACGGCTTCATGAATTAGAAGATATAATTGAAAAGTTAATTTATTTCAGTTGTGCATTTCAAAGAAGTGAAACTCATATATTATATATATTCATTATAGATTTTCATCATTTATTTTAATTAGCTTAGATGATTATGGCTTGTAGCGAATGAAAACTCAATTTTCAGTTAGAATTTTAAATATGACCCACTGAAAACCAATTTTAATAGAAAAGTCTCACTGTTTGACTGTTTAATTACTTACACAATCACAACATATGTAGCTGACAATCACCTTCAGCCCCCCACAAAAGCTGTGTCACAAAAAAATAATTTCTTTTGAAGTCGTTTACACAGAGCTGGGTTTAAACATTTTCATTGAAAACTTAGTGGAATAAACAAGAAGTTTTTGACCGTGATGTTTATTTCTAGTTTTAACAGAAATTAAACATTACAGAAATGACAATGAAATATTAGCAGATATGAATGTTCAAAATATGTCCCTCTGTGTGGAATGAATTACCTATTGGATTAGATTAATTATTTGACAAAAGCTACTTTGATCAATTGAGATGTACCAATTATGTTAAAACATTTGTTGTTTTGTCTAACGTTTTCTAGATTTTATATCAATTTAACCACACCACTATATTCAAACTGGAAAAAAGTTAAACATGAACAAAAAAGCAACTTTAGAAAAACAGCAAAAAAAAAGTGCAACTGTGAGGAGTTGCAACAGTTTAATTGGGTTAGTGTTAAGATGTGAATAGACATTGGCTGCTTTCAAATAAAAGGCTTCCTGTCATTGACAGGCATATTGATTATTGATGTCTGGGTCTAATCCAGTGGAATATCCATGCATTAATTCCAATTAATGGAATTATCCAATGTAATTATATTCATGTAAGACTAAAGTAACTTCTCACAGCAGAATTACAAGAAGGAATAGACTTTAAGTCAAACTTTGGTGTTAGTATTGTGTAGAATAGAATAGAAACATCATTTATTGTTCCTCAGTGGGGAAATTCAGGTGTTCTGTTCCAAGAGCAAAGTGAGAGGGAAATTTAAGCTTGGAGATTCAACCTAAATGTGAATTGGGCGTGATGTGAATGCAGTTTAAACTCAGGACAATCTTAGAGGCAGGTTCTTACCTGTTTAATGTTTTGTTTTGACAGAAATACAACACAGCACTTGCTGCCTCCTATAAATTTACAAACAGCACCCTCCACATTTAGTGGGACCCCTGGTAAAGATTAATTTCAGCTTTTATTGCAGTAATATAATTTTCAACTTAAAAAAAATGATTCATTTCTCTGAGTGGGTTTTGGTTTCGAGTTTTTGTTTTGTGTGCATGGTGGGAAGTTGTCATGTCATATTTATCACCTTGGAGATTGTGGATTTAGAGACGTCTAAGCCATGTGGTTAAAAAGGCATTAGATTTTTGGTAGATGCAGAACTTCAGTGCTTTATTTCCAATTAATTACACAGATTGTTATGCATTTAAATTTTTGACACAATTAACTATTGCTGGGGGTTTTTATGACCTATGTATTTGTACAAGTAATATCCACAAACGACAGCAGTGGATGACAGCTGCTTCTCTTGCCCTACTGGGGATTCATTTTTAATCTGATGGGACTTTGAAAAAGATGATTCCTGAAACATTTGAAGACTGAATTGCTATAACAGCTCCTTGCATCAATTTGGTTAAGTAACCTCAATAATAGATTAAAAATAATAAATATACTTGATAAGTTTATATGCCTGTATATTCAATAATTCAGCAGCAAAAATGGTTTCGAATAGAAAATGTTGCTTATTTTTTCCATTACATTAATTGCGATTAATTATCTAATTGTAAAGTTTCACCACTAATTTTTATATTTACATCTTTAGACGCCTGCATTGCATTTAGGTTTTGTCTGGAACATGACAAGAATGTTTCTTGACATTATAGTTTCTTTTGAACTGTGAACCAGTTAAAAAGTGCCATGAACAGGCAACAGAATCATTTACTGCTGTGGCAGATGACCCGTGCTCCGACTTCGCCAGATTGACTTAGAAGTCTCCAACTACACTACCTTTGTTCTGTAATTGGCACATGGCGTGACCCAACTTCCTGCTGAGAGATAAGCGAAAGGACAGCACAACGTGTACTGAGGACAAAGCAGAGATGCTACAAAGTGCAGTCCTCCTTACTCAGACATCTTTTCACTTCCTTCTGTCATTCTTGATATTACATCCATTTTAGGCTATCATCAGAGGGCTTGGCGGTGTTTGCAAAGTTTCTTCTCTGTTTCTCCTCCATGCGCTGGTGATAATAAATACCTGGTAGACACTGACATAAGTCTTAAAGAATCCATTACTCTCCAGGAACAGATGGGGTAAAGAAGACAGCTCAGGAGCACTTGATTACCGAGACATTTTGAATGACAACATGCCTGGTGATTTTGCAAGGGTTCAGCAACATAGTTGTGTTTTTTTTCTATTATTTTGTTTTGTCAGTCAATATAATTCAACAGATCAAAAAGAATATCTTTTGGGAGCTTACAAAATGACAAACAACACCATCTGTCACTCCCCTGGTTGTCTTCCACTGACACAGTCACTTCTTCAAGCAGAATGAGCAGAGAACAGATGCTGGTACTGCAGCTGAACTCTCATTGTTGAAGTTGTGTTTTCATTGATAGATATGCACCTAACCTACAGTTTGCCTAAGGATGTGGTAGAAAATAAGGTTTTTGTTCATTAGGATTTTTCTTGGTGAATGTGTATAGGGAATCTGACATTTCACACACAGAAACCGGACAAAATACAAATAATATTTATTTCTATGGTGATCGTGTTTGCTAAACAAATTTTATGTCAATTGCTGAGAACACCTACTTTCAATCCATGCTTTCGTTCTGTGATTTAGCTCTTTTTTTATTTATTTTTTTCTTTGAATCTCCACAATTGTTAGCTTGCCTGTTTAACTTGCACTAAAATATTTCTTCATTTCCCCAACACCTAATGTTTGAGGGTTTCTTTTCTTTCTTATTATCTTCAATGCTTATCTAATTCTATAGTAGTCCTAATGTTCAAAATGCTTTTTATGTTTTTACAAAGTAAATAGAGGTTTTTAGAATGCCTGTAGAATGCACAAAAGCAGATGCTTTTAACTTTAGCATAATTAGTAACTAGTAGTTAGTCACAGAGCCTATCAAAAATATTAACTAGTTCAGGACGCATTTTATTAAATGTGCACATTATAACAGGATTGAATTGTGGGGAGGCTTAGATATTTGCTTATGGTTGAATTGTGTTTTCTTCAAAACACAATATACAACATTTATCATGCTGTATATTTCAACATGATATCATGTTGTAAATAAACTTTATAGGGTTTATTTATTTTTTTAAGCAGGAAGAGTGGCATAGCAAATTAGAATCCTTGATTTTACCCTCAAGTTTCAGTAATTTGGCTGATGACAACCTATGGAAAACCTTGCACATAATAATTTTGTATTTTATATGTATTCATTTATTTTAACATATTATCAATCAGGTTTATTTGTTTAGCACACTTCAGCAGAAAGGCAGTTCAAAGTGCTGTACATCATGAAAACATAAAAAGCCTCATAAAACATCATACAGTCCCCAACTGTGAAACCACAAAACATTACATTTTGTCAAGTGCCATAATCAAAATCATCAGTACTTATCAAATATGTTAGTCAATGTTCCAGTGATTATGGGTCAAAAACAATTCTGAACAGGTTGGTGTTTAGCATTGTCTCAAAGTAGTTTAGTGTTTCAGCTGTTTTGCAATTTTCCGGCATTTTGTTCCAGATTTGTCATTCTTAAAACTGAATGCTGCATCTCCATGTTTGGTTTTGGTTCTGAGAATGCAGAGCAGACTAAAACCAGAAGACCTGATTGGTCTACAGGGTTGATACAACAGATCTTGAATGTATTATGCGTAATATCAAATATTTACAAATTTGAAATGAAATAGAATGCTGTAAGTGTTAAGTCGCAGTCAGTGAATTGGAACATCATATAGTGAGGTGTTTGAATGTCATTTAGACCATTTAGGTTTAGCTGTAAATTTTAGGAGCTCATGTCATTATCATTTTATTATCACTTTCATTTTCATTTTTTTAGCAAACAATTAATCATTGCTAAATTAAGTTTTTAATCAACAAAAACATAACAAAAGTAGATGTTAGTTTTGATTCACTTGCTGATTGTCAAGTGATTCAGATTAGTCAATTACAATTCAGGATAGAAGAATTAAGTTCAGATGTAAAAACATGAAATTTCACATCATTTTTTCATTGTCCCAGAAGTACTTAGAATACACAACCCTAATTTCTCTATAGACAAAAAATTAAATGAAATTAAATCATCGAATGCAGATGTTTATTTTGCCCCATCTGGATTTTAAACTGTTAAGTGGTTTTCTGATTAAATTGTGTTGCTATTTGCATGGGAAGCTTAAGTGAACCAACCAAACAAAGACATGGCTGTATTGAGTGCATTGCCTTTTTCTGCTGACTCTTGCCTTCTACATTGGCTTTTGCCTTGGTAAGCTCATCTTGTCCATTCTCTTATTGGTGATCTGTCATGGTCAGCCCCTCCTCCTCCATGCTGTGCTCTTCTACCATTGTTCTAAAGGACATTTCTTTTGTCGACCTTGTAAAATATCTTTGTGATTCATCTGCTTTGTTCACGCAGAACACCCCGGGTTTCTCTCTGCTGATGCGTTTTTTTTGCCCCCAGGTTTGTCCTTTGGTTTTGTAGGGAAGCTTAAAGGTAATAGTGTTGGGAAAATGACAAGACACAGAGGACTGACCATGCCAGTGTTGGTGTGGAGAGACACACGTTGTCCCCTGGGCTTGTGATACAATTCATCCTGTAATGTTCGTGCTCAGCACTTTGGAGAAACAGCCATTAACCATTAAGCCGAGTCCCACATTCTTCTTCAATAAAATCTTGTTCACTCGGGTCAATTTTATGGCAAGTGATTAGTTTACTCAACGGAATGCATTCAAACTATTTCTCTCTTGTTTTGTTTAATATTCCAGCCATTCACCTATTGGGGTTAAACTGGCACCTCCAACCCATGCAGAGACAGATGTACCAGCTGTCAGAAGATAATACAAGTGGCCTACCATTCCCTACAGACTTGAGTTTACCACCGCTAGGCAACACAGGGCTGGAGATACCAGATCACAGGGGAAAAGATGACGGTAAGTACACTCTTCTCGGGCCTCATGCAGAAAGAGTGCGTGGGCACAAAAAATGTGCTGCGCCATATTTTACACACGTCGGCAGGTATAAAAATTAACTCTGCGTCAAAGTGTGCGGAAATATACGGACACTTTTTTGCTGCCGTGAAAATGTGCGGGAGCCACGCAAAATTGTTTTGTGGACGATATCAAACTATAAAGTGTCTAAACTCACCTAAATACACTGACATCTGACCACATTCAGATGTTAGTGTATTTAGACCAAGAAATTTCAAACCCGATGTTTTTTCATTATTTTAATATTTTATTATTTAAACGTAAATGATGAAATTGAACCTAACACGAACACAAAAGAAAGAAATTTAAAATGAAAGGATGTGAAAACCTCACCCGAATGTAAATTCGGTTTTTGTCTCATAAAGATTGGTCTGTGCGCTGAAGCTCATGAAATGCATCTATTGGGTAATTTCATTCTGACTGAAAAAGAAAAAGGGTTGACTGAAAAAGGATTGGATCAGCAGATTAACTCCAGACAGGTTTGATTATTTTTAAAGTGATCAAGGTGTGTATAATTACACACATTCAAGTACATGCGCGAAGGTATTCCGCAAAAATGGGAGCGCTTTGACTCTGATGGAGAACATCGCCAATGGAAGGATTCAAAGGGAGTGATTGATCATATTTATCAGCTGGGGAATGTTGATGATGGTTTATTAGCATTTAGATTGCCCAGACTGATCATCTTGGAGCTTTGAGCAAAACTTAAAGAAGGAGCCGTGCAATACCAGTACCGGTCCAGCTGCAATCATCCTTCAGTGGATGTTCTGAATGCGTCCGCTTTGTGAATGCGCCTTTATGGACAGAAAGTATCTTTATTCTCTACAAGTACAACTTATGCACATGATTCCACTATTTAGAATAAATGTCCACTTTCCCCATTCGATGACTCTCTGATTCACTGTCTGTCTTTAAATTCCGCCTGAAAGCGCTACTGTTCAAACAGGGATTTGCACAATCTCTTTATTTTTTTATTTGGATTTTTTTTTTTCTCTTTTTATAATGTATTATTTTTATTTTTTGAGATGACCTTATGTGTCCTGAAAGCACCTTTTAAATAAAATATATAGTTGTTATTATTATTATAAACATTTATACTGCTACAAACAAGAACGTTGCCATGGTTATTTTTTCATGCGGTAGCAGACTTCCGGGTATTTATACTAATTTACATGTGTATTTATGGGTGGCAACAAGGCGGACCAGCAACTGCGCTCAATTTCCTGCAAATTGGGATTTATAAAGGAAAGGTGCGCAGCTACGTGCGTGTACAAGGCTTTATGCGTCCGAATTTATTTGTTTACCGCATTTTCTAAATTTTTCCGTACACCAGGTTTTAGTGTGAAAACTGCGCACTGTTTTATGCATGAGGCCCCTAATCTTTCTTTTGTTTTTCATGCAATGCCTTGTAAAGGTACAACCACAAACTTTAATTCACTAGGACACCGTGTGATAAAAAAAATTACAAAAAGTCAAGGACTACAAGATTGAACTCTGCAAATTATTATTTTTTATTGTGAGAGATTTTGATAGTCAACATCCTTCACTGGATTTCTTTTAGGTTTGTCAGTGCAAAGAAGTTGAAAACATACTTGTCATATTTTTCTAAATATGTGAAAAAAGTTGAACTGTATGTCATTTGTTTCCCAGTGTTACAAATAATCCCAATAAAATACGTAGAAATGTATGGGTCTAAAGTGACAAAATATGGAAAAGCTCTGCAATACTTTTGCAAGGCGTTGTATGCTGTGAATAAAGCCACCTAAATTCATCTGCAGCTCTCCAATGCTTGGCACAGCTCCCAGTTTTACCCTGTTTAGAAAAACACTCAATAGCAAACAAACTTCTCAAATCTTCATTTACAGATGGCATTTCAAAGCTCATGCAAGTTTGTAATTATTTTGTCATCCAGCATCACATTGCGCTTGCTTGTCTCCATGGTATGCACAGAGATCTGCATTGTAATCCTATAAAAGTTGTTGTAAGTGGGAAAGTGTTGTTTGTTCCTGGAGGGAGAATATGGGGCAGCTTAAGGGATGGAGTATCCAGGGGCTGGAAGGGGATTAGCCACTCTGTCCCCTTCAGAACGGATGTGATCCTTTCATCTTCCAGCTTGGACTGCCTTTCCTGGCAACCAAAGAAAGAATGTGCTCACCCTTTGGTACCAACTGCTCGAGTCAGGAAAAGTTTTCTCTGCTCCACTCTTGAGCAAATTCCCCCACATCTTCACCATGTGATTTGCCACAGGCGAACTACAGTAGGTATTATCATATAGATGAATCCAGGTGTTGTCTTTTTCATTTACTAGACAGCAGAAAGTGTGTTTAGGTAACAACAAGGATGACTACAGCAAAACCCCAAAGCCTACACCGCCATGACTGCTGATAGTGAATCAATGATTGTAGTTTTTTTTTTTAGTTTCATTTTCCACTGCTGTCAACAGCAACAGTGCTAAACTACCTAATGTATAATGAAGATGATGCACAGCACTGAACCCTCTCTTCCAGCCTTTTCTTTCCATCAGGACATTGTTACTTGCAGAACAAAAAATATATATATATTTATAAGAGCCATTATCACTGGTCTCACCTTATAATTTATTTAAACAGTCTGATGAGCACACCATTAATGTGCTGCATAAATACACACACACACACACACACACACACACACACCATTTCCCCGCATGTGGAAACCGTAGTATTATGTAAAGCCCCGATCGGGGAGTTGGGGAGTGTGCCCTGCCTTCCCTGATAAACCCCTATTGTCACTGATGGACTTTTGAGAGAACTTCCATCTGCTGTGCCACGTGTAACCTAAAGCCGTGTCTGCTTCTCTGGACTGGGGGGAGATTGTATGGATGTCTGCTGTAGCCGGCATTGCTGCTGAAATTAGCTCATCTACACAGTCAAACAGATGTTGCTATTTCCACTGAGTCCAATAAAAGTTGTGCTATGGAGCATATGGGGGATTTTTGCAGGTAAATTCTCTAATACCCAAGCAGGTGATAGCAACTAAGTTCCCTCTTTACTGTAATGACTCCTTTTACTTCTCTGTATTAAGAAGATATTCTTAATAGTTTTTTCTCACCTCTGTCCTGTATCATTACTCTATACCTGTATCAAAATAACAGGTTGTCTTTTACTGTAGATACTTCTTAAAAACATATATTCCAATATTTTGGGTTTTCATTGAAAAAAATCTAATTAGATTAAGACAGATCCATGTAAAAACATTTTTTTCTGTTTAAACTTATTCACATGTTTTTCTCAACTACAAACCCCATATTTTTGGGGGGTTTTATAAATATTTTGAAAGAACAAATAGATGGAATTTGTGGCTAGAAATTTACGTTCAGCATCCCTTACTCTCCTATAAGTAAATTGCTAAAATTTTGTGTAAAAATGTTTTTATAAGCCATCTGATTTTTAGAGTGTGTTTGTGTTTGTATGAAGGTCCTATGAAGGGTTTAGAAGCTCATTATAAAACATGAAAATACATCAGGAAAAACATCTACAAAACACCATCGTGTCAGTGTTAAATTGGTGGCGACAGCTTCAGCTTGAGTTTTTCATTTTCATAAAAAATATATATAGATTTTTTTTTTCATGTTCAATAAAAATGTACTGAGAATAGAATATGAGACAAATAATCTACAAAAAAAGCTGCTCTGCCTCCTCTCATAGCTCCTGTTGCCATTTGCAGAAAAACACCCTTGGTCAGAAACAACCCTGTTAAAATTTTCAGGCTATTCAATGGTTTTCTCAGATCTCCCTTTTACAGCTTTAATAGGAAGATGAATAGAGGGTAGACTTGGAGTTGACATTCATCTTCCAGCAGGATAGAATCCTTAACATGCAGTCAGAGGTACAATATAATGGATTTCATCAAATCATATAAATTTTTCAGACTCTAGATCTAACTGAGAATCTGTGGTAAGATTTTCCATTTAATATGACAAAGCTTGAAGTGGTTGGTAATGAGGAACAGGCAACAATTTCAGTCTCTGAATGAACAAAGCTGATAAACAGCCTACAAATCTTGTAGCTGCAATTGCAGCAAAATGTAGTTCTCCAGAGTTTTTACTCTGGAATGCTGTCACACTTTTTAAAGATCAAAAGTAATTAAGAACCATGGAGTGTTTCTTTCATACCACAGTTATGCTGAGAAAGTTCAAAGGTTCTAAGGGTATGACACTGTTTGCAAGGCACTGTATAAAATGAAATTCAGTCAGATCTTTCTCACTTATATACCCTCTTCTCTCCTGTGTAACTGGTAATCACTGTCAGTGGTCAGAAAGATCATTCATTATATAAATTTTTTTTCTCTGGCTGTCAGCAATATGATTAAATGTCTGTGATATGGTCAGACCCTTGCCTCCGCAGACCAAACCTCACCGCTCCTCTGCTCTCTGGATTAATGATGTGATCTCTTTGACCGATTAACTCTGTGTGCATTGCAGGCAAATTGGACAGCTTGTTCCCGGATGACAGCTATATAGATACGGGGGAGATTGACGTGGGACGCAAGGTCGCCCAGCAGATTCCTCCTGGTATCTTCTGGAGATCCCAGGTCTTCATTGATCATCCTATGTACCTAAAGTTTAACGTTTCACTCAGCAAAGATGCCTTAGTTGGAATATATGGAAGAAGAGGCCTTCCTCCGTCACATACACAGGTGGGAAATATTAAAATACTCATAAAATGTAATTTCTATTGTATTTTTTGCAGTATCTTTTGTTTGCAAGTTTTGTAAATGTGCTTAGTATGCTGACTGAAAAAGTCTGCATAATAAGCAGAAAAGTATGGAATTTAATTTTATCATTTGCAAATTTGGGTAGGCCTTGGTTACCTGAATGCTTTTTTTTCTTGATACTGATCACGTCTTATATGGTTTATATCTGTTTCTTGTGATTCAGTGTGCTAAAAATAAAAATTATTCTCTTAAACAATTCAGACATGGTTGGCATTCCAGTTCCAGAGTGAAAAAATCTGAAAATGGTGGCTTCGTTTTTACAATAACGTCAAACCACCATCTGTCCAACAAATAACAAACATGGTGCGGTTCGGTATTACATTTAAGCTGATACTAATATTGGCTTTGTTTTGGTTGTTACAGTTGAATTTTACTGCTCCCCCGTAACCATGAGCACCAACTTCTCAAGGAGAACTATGTCTGCCATGTTGCTGTTTACGTTACCTGACTTATTTACTCATGTTTGTTGTTTTTACGTTGTTCACTTCCACCAATTAGCCCAGCAAACCAAACAGACTGTTTTCATTGGTGCTGTTGCCAGTCATTTGGATGCACATTTTCTCTTAATCACTGATGCAAATTTACCATTTTCATCTTTGTATGGATTTAGCCCTAGTCAACTATTTAATTTAGTTGTTGGCAAGTTTGTTTTGTTTTTGCACAGTTTGGTTTTTGTGTCCATATCTGCTGACGACATCTTACTTTTTACATCGAACCTCCAAATTTCTTTACTACATGCTTCACTATTGCTTGTTTGGTTGCTTCACAGAAGCTATATTTAATTTGCACAATTTCTTTTAAATGAAGAACAGCTCAAATTGGACCAATTGGGGCTCTGCTGGAAAACTGTTGTGGATTAGTTTTTGAAGCTATTCATGAACACGTTAGCAGTTAAAGTGTGCAGATTAATTGCATGTTGCTTTTTTACTTAAAAGTTGCATTTTAAAACTTCCAAGTTAACGTCACCAACTATGACCTCAGAATCTAAATTGGATTTCAAAGTTCTGTACCATTTGCAGTTCATATAGGACATAAAGTTTCCCTTTATGCTGGTGGTATTTGACTTTCAAATATGCATTATTACTTTTTTACCCACTCAGGTTGCTTCTTAGGTTATAAAATAAAATTGCTAAAAGTTAACTTTGCTTTTAAATTATGAGGTTTTTAAGCTGGAACTGTATGACCTCTTTAAGAGCGAAAGAACAGTTTAGCTAAGTGGTAATTTGTAAAAGTTGCATTTTAAAACTTCCAAATTAATGCCACCAACTCTGATCTCAGAATCTAAATCGGATGTCAAAGTTCTGTACGATATGCAGTTCATATCGGACATAAAATTTCCCTTCATGCTGATGGTATTTGAATTTCAAACATGCATTTTTATTTTTTTCCCCACTCAGGTTGCTTCTTAGGTTATGAAATAAAATTGCTAAAAATTAACTTTGCTTTTAAATTATGAGATTCTTTAGCTGGACCCGTATGACCTCTTTTAAAGAGAGAAAAAGAGAACGGTTTAGCTAAGTGGTAATTTGTTGACAATGCATAGCTGGTTGAAAGACGAAGCTTAAATCTGGATTCCATTTTTCTTAAGAATATAAACAGAATGACCCCATGAAGTCTGACTTCTAGACAGACACTGTACTTTTAGTAATATTCAAATTTCAAATTGGAAGACAGTTGAGTTTGCTCCAGATTCTTATGTTAACTGTCATCTGATATTTGATTTGGGGTTCACTGTCATGAATGTTTTCATCCACACTTAATTTACAAATAGAAGACAGAATTTCTTTGCAATATTACAAAATGTCAAATTCCACTGATACTTCATTTTGTGAACCATAGTTGTAACTTTCACACCACAGCCTGACTTAGAGTCAAACTCTGGTTTTTGACTAAGGCCAAAAGCCATGTTCACTTTAAGTGCACATTAATTCAGAAGACATAAATTGTACATTCCACATGTATTTGCTGCCACAAGGTCTTTGCTAAAAGTTTAAGCTATGTAAAATATATACGGTATATTTAAATGAGGATTTAAGGGCAAATGCAGCAATATGACTACCTTTTTTGTATGTATCATAAAATTATCAGAGATCCTGATTTGTGATTGGAAAAAGTCCCATTTATTTTTTTATGACAAAAAAAAATATTTAAGTGTTCGACTTTCAAATACAACATTAAGTTAATACAGAAACCAGAAAAGCTGTGACATAATACTAGTCTGATGAAACTGAAATGAGCTTCAGCATTCTGTTGTATGGTCTGTTGAACACAGAGCTATTAAAACAAAACATGATGATTTTTTGCATTCAGATTTCACAGAATTTTCTTCATACTGCTAGAAAAATTGGTCTGGAAAAGTGTTGAACTTTAAAATGTAAATTTGTAGGAACCCTGCGATGCTATAAAAACAGGGCTTAAAATGTCCTGTCAGTTTAGTGGTGATATATTTAAGAATTTCCTGCACTAGTGCTGAGTTTTTCTTTTTTTATACAGTCAGGGATGAATTATAAATGCCGCGCTGTGAAACAATTTACAATCATGGCCACACAATATAAGATTCTTTTTCTTTTTCCATTTTTTTTTTCATTCAGAGAAAACAAATTGGAATATTGTTTAAAAAAGGACGAACCATGTTGGAGTGTGTCATGAATACAAACGCCTTATAAATATCTGTTGCATTATGAATCACCGACTTTGTTGCAAAAGGAAGTTATGGCAATTTTCTTTCAGGTTCCGTACCATCAATGAATCACAAAGAGGCTGGACTCATGAGCCAAGAGAAGAAGATTTTTCTTTTCACTAATTTTCTATCTATGTGTTGTACAGAATGAAATGTGCATTGTATTAGTCATTTCTGATATCTTGCCTTGCAGACTTTACATTTCTGCTCTGAATGCAACATGAGTTCAGCAAATTGCACATAGCATGATTTTTGTTTTCGCTAATGTCCAATGTAACTTTTTTTCTTTTTTTTTTCAGTAGAAAAATCAGGCTGGTCTTTTTTCCCCCTCCATTTTCACTTCAGAGAAAATAATCCAGAGTCGAGTATTCATCCAAAGACTGAGCACACGAGTCAGAATTCCTTTCATTTTGCGGATGAAAACGAAATGCTGCCTCATTGGTATTCATTGACTCTCCACTGATATGAAGCATATCAGAGCAGATGTTATTTGGTAAACACTAACTTTACATTTAATTTTCTCAGCTTTCCGTTTTTGAGTTTAATAATTTCAAACAAGACTTTCATGTCAGATATTTGGACTATGAAATTATCACAGCCCATCCAGCTGAGCTGTGTCAAGGCTTAACTCAGTCTCCTCTGGAAAGATGATGAGTTACGCATGCAGACCAAATGATGCTCTGCTATAAAGAGGGGCTGAAAGCACTGGAGTCTCATGTGTCACTCCTAATGGCATGTCTGTGGTTCATCCATCAGTTCATTCTCACTTTCTGTCTGTAGTTTGACTTTGTAGAGCTGTTGGATGGGCGGCGGCTCCTGGCCCAGGATGTTCACAGTCTGGAGGGGCCTGCAGCTCTGCAGCGGAGCCTCGTACCAATCACCACACACGACACAGGCTTTATCCAGTACATGGACTCGGGCATCTGGCACCTGGCAGTCTACAACGACGGGAAGGAAACCGAAACCGTTTCCTTCTTCACCAGTGCCATAGGTGAGTGCCGCAGGCTTGGCCTGCTAATGAAACCTGTAATAGCTATCTCTAATCCCTATAATACCAGCCTGTAGCACCCTGCAGCAAACAGTGCAGAACTGGGGCAAAAGTAAGCGATACAGCTAGATTCAGTGGCTGCGGAGAGTGTGGGTTAATCAAGGTGAAACAGAATATTACAAAATCAGGACATCAGTGCGATCCCGCCAAGCCACTGAGAAGGGCGTTGAGAGATCTTAATATCCTCATTAGCCTGAGTGTCTTCCAAGCGAATCAGGGGTCCAGCGTCTGGGAAACATTTGCATACAATTCAAAGTATGATTGTCCCCTCCTGCAAGTCCCCATTTTTTGATCACGCTTTGCTCCAATTTCCATCTGCTTACCATATATCAAAGACAGAACGATATTCCTGTGCTCTGACTCCAGAGTGGCACACAACTGCGTTACGCACGCATGTCCTTCTTTGTGGAGGTGACTCCGTTTTGTACGTCGCTCTTTGTTCTCCCTTAAGCGCCTTTGATTAGTGCGGCTGTATCAAGCAAGGTGTGAGAGGGCCCGAGGTGTCGACTTTCACAGGCATGGCAGCTGGGAGCTGTTCTCACATGCTCTTTAATTAAAAGCTCTCGGGCCACGGTCCATATGTGACAGTGGCTGTGCCAGGCAGCAGATCGATGAGAGGCTGTCCTCGAGTGAAGACGAGCAGGAGATGCACTGCGCCCCTCCTGCTGTTCTAACAACAACTGTAATTTAATGCTTAAAATATGATACGACACGAGAAAGGGAGGGAAGGAAGAGCGCCGTGTTTGCTTTTGCTTAGTTCTTCTTGACTGGATGCGCGCAAAGCCCTCCTGTGGTTTGCATCAGAGAAAACACAGCAAGATAAAGTATTCAGTACGTCGGATTGGGTGGGGCAGAGATAGTCGGAGCAAGAATCCTGGCTCTGTTCATTTGTGTAGGAGCTGATCTGCTCACGGGAGCTCAGAGGGAGGCAGAGGGGCCCTTCTAAAATGGGTCACCGGTTAAGTGCCCTTCAGCAGAAATTGAATCCACCGCCTGCCTGAATCGTATTGAGCTGTGGAGGGATGGAGTTGACCTTCAAATGGAACTGCACAGGTATAGAAATATATGTGTGCAATATCCAGAACAGGCAGACAGTGAAACAGAAGCAGCATTGTTTAAAAAGACACTCACGGTGAAATTATTTTAGTTGTCTCTCGCAGCACTGGGTGGGAAAAAAAAAAGTGTCGTTTTACAACCTTTTGCTCTTTACATGCATTAAATGGAAGCTTTTCTTGCTGTCTACCACCATAACAAAACACACACTTGAAAGCAGGTATCCTTTTTTTCATCACTCTCTGACATTAAATAAGACTGAAATGGACCTGTTTTCGGTCAGTTAGAAATAGCCCTTTTTTCTATTTTCTAAAAGGCAGAAAAGCACAATTTTGGAATTACTTTCTTTATTTTTATAAGTACACATGCTTTTAAAAGGACAGTATTGTGTATTTTCCAAACACGTAGCGCCATTTTGTTGCACAATAAATAAATATGTTGCCTTTAGGTGTTATAAAAATGTTGTACATAGCAAACACAAATTAGAAGAAATTTGGCTTTGCAATTTGATGCATTACAATTGGGCTTTTGTCTCTTTAAGGTGCTGCTACCTTTTCAGACTCTTGTCTTCCTTTTTGTTGTAGGAACAATAATAACATAATATAAAGCTCATAATACCCCTGCGTTAAACAATTTTGAGAAGTCCAGATGGTAATGTCATGTATTTGTAAGCCTATGATTAGCCTTATTTAATAGCTTTCAGTTAATTTTAGGCACCGCTGTACATGCATTTTAATGTTGTATCACTTCAAACAAACTACTTCCTGGGGAAATCCAAAGATTTCATGAAAGATATCAAGAGTTACCAGACTTCTGGTTCATCCTGGGGTGTAATTTCCAGATGGCTTAAGGTGCCATGTTCTGTTCAAACAATTATAAATGTTTTTTTGAATGGTGGTCTTAAGAAACAAAAAATCAACTCTTTGGCTATGCAGACCATCATTACATTTGGAGATTTGGAGTAAAAACGAAGAAGCTTGCAGCCTTCAGAACACCATCTGTTAGTGGGAGAAGCATCATGTTGTGTGTCGGTGCTTATCTGCAGGATAGACTGGAGCATTTTATAAATTTGATGGTATCATGAAGAAGATACATTATGTATAAATATTGAAGAATATAAAAGCATCAGGCACTATGCTAGGGCACCAATGGGTCTTCCAAAAGGACAATGACTCTAAGCATACTGCCAAATTACAAAATAACTCAAGTCAGTGATTTAAAATAGCTATATAAAAGCCCAGATATCAGTCCCATAAAAAAAAAATGGGTCAGCATAGCTGAAAAGTTGTGTGTGACTGAGGTGGACTATAAATCTGACCAGCTCTGTCACAATACCTGTGGATAAAGATCAAAACTAATCATGGCCAAAACCGATGTTATGCATTTTAAAGACAAACACTAAGGACATGCATGGACATTTCTAGGGTTTAGCATATCAACATAATTTGGTTATTCTAACTAACCTAATACAAGAACGATTTTTATATGATGTAATGTCAAGTGAGGAACCAAAAAATGTCACACGACAAAGTTTACCTGTTTATTTGAGTAACAGAATGCCTTTAATCTGGGTTAAAATATGTTCTGGTGAATGTTTTGTGTTGCAACCCTCTGGTACCTGAAGCCATTTGTCCTTGCTTGCTTGTGCCAGACATGCTTTTGTGCTCCACATCTGGGGAAAGCAAAAGAAGTAAAACCCAGCAGCAGTGTCTGTCTTTTTACCTTGACTCACTCCGTCGCTGAGGTTCTTTCTGTCTACTGCCTGCCATCTTTCAAAGGTGTTGAGCGTCCTCTGAGACCGTGGCAAGTTGCTGATTAAACCGGCAGCTCCTGAACCCAGCTCTGTCCTCGCTGACTGCAGAGACTCACAATAGTTAGCTCCCATGATATGAAGGGTAATGAATTTCAATGAAGCTCAGCTTGAATCCGTGATTTATGCGTTGGCCTATGTCGAGTGTGTGGCTAAGAGATATTCATGGCCTCCCTTCCTCGCTCTCAGAGGAATCACAGCCAACAGACGTGGGCACTGAGTAATCTGCTAAACTGTGCCAGCTTTCAAAATAAGAGCACAGCACAGTACAGGTATGACAGGTTATATGGTGTTTAGCATAGAGATGTGCATAATCAGATACATCCTGATGCAGGCTGTTCCCAGATAATTATTTTAGCTGATTAGAAATAACACCTGTGTAAAGCTACAGTGGCTTGTTTACTCACCTTGAACTTTTTCACACTTTTTCACAAACCAACACAAATTTTAAAAGGAGCAGTGTTAGAGACTTTCTAGGAACATTGTGCCATTTTATGGCACAGACAAGTAACTGTTACCTTTATTAAAATGCTGCAGAATCAAACATAATTTGGCCTTTGTCTCTTTAAGAAGCTCCTACTCTTCCTGGCACTCTGCTTTCAGGATGCTGTCACAACAGTGATTCTCATTATGCCATTCACAATCATTCTTAGGCAAGTAAGACTTAAAATGACTTTGTATGGAGACACAAGCTCCGAGGTGGAGCTTTGTCACAATAGGTGTCACCTTATGAGAGCAAAGGTTAGACCCCAAGAATGTGTTTAATGAGGGAATAACATTATAACATGATATAAAGCTAAAGAAAGAGTTTATTTTACATTATACCCCATCTCTAAGGTATTTTATTAGGATTTTATTCGATAGACCAACACAAAGTTGCACAAAATCAAAGTATGAACTGATTTTGTTTTTAACTAATTGCAATTGAGAATCTGGGGTAGGATTTGAAGACTGCTGGGTACAGACGCAGCGAGACATATCCTAAAAAGGTCTTAGCCTACTCTTTTCTTTTGGACTTAATGCAAAATGCAATTTGTGTTAAAAAATAAAACCCTGCGTTTACCAATTCATCTTTGCAAAATGGTGGTGATTTTATCATGCTGTGGGGAATGTTTTCTTCAGCAGAGACAGGGTAGGAGATCAAAGTTGAAAGAAATACTCTAAAAGACTTGCAGCAGTAAATGCAGCCAAAAGTAGCACTATGAAGCCTTGTTGCAAGGGGAAAGGAATACAAATGCATGCAATAGTTCTCTTCTAGATTTTGTTAGGAAATATAAAAATTGTGATATATTTTCTCCCTTTTTTAAAATATACTGCTTTTTCTGTTATGAAATACAGTCAAAAATAGTCCAAGTTTGTGGTTGTAAAATAAGACAATATGAAAAAGTACAAAGGTTCTAATTACTTTTGAACGGCATCTCGAATCTTATTTTTGTAATGACAAGTAGGAATTTCTCATTTTGAGCAAATGCAATCACCGTATTTAATTTTTGTAACCATGACCATTGTGGCCTGAAGATGCTGCTGGTGTTTTTGGCTTTGTGAAAAAATTCTTGACCTCTTTGTGTACTTAGTTTGGTTGGAGGCCATCAACAACCAACCAAACCTCAGAGTGCTTCTGCCACACCAGAGGATAGTGTTCCCTTCATCTCTTAGCTAACCCAACGTGGCATAGGGAAGCCGACAGCACATTAATACAACGGGCCCCTCCTCCCTGTCTTTACAATGCTTCTCTGGTCAGCTTGTATCTTCCTCCCCCTCTCTCTTTGTCTTTTTCCCCCTGCCTTCCATTGCATCCTTAGTGATGATTGACTCTCTGGGGTACCGGGAAGCTGAATCCTTGGCTCGCGTTTCTTACTTTTTGTGTAGTACAAGGGAATCTTTGTTCAATAAGTTTTAGCCCTAGAGTTCGTGCTGCCTGCAGGCAGTGGACAAGATTGGATAGTTTTTCAGAACCATTTCAGACTTAATTCGCTGAGCATCATGTTTCTGGCCTGTGCTGCTGTCGTTGGAGATCACTGCTTGGTCTTGTTTCTAATAAAGGAAGTGTCAGAGTACAGCGCTGGAGTAAATGTTTTTAGGCAATATATTGTACATAATTTGAGAGACAAATAAAATACTTTTTAGAGATGTTTAGGAAAAATAATTTTGACTTGGCTTTGTTTTCTTTCCATTGAAATGAATACAGCCTTTATGTTGAGCTATACTGTTCACCACTTTCATTTCATTGATGATGTCCTTCACTTGGTCTTCAACTTGCACTCCAGATGGTTGTAACTAAAACTGAACCATCGTACAAAACAATGGACCTGCGAGGCAACGAAGAATGAGCATGCACATTTTGAGGTCATTTTATAATCATAGCACCATTGGCCTGGCATGACAACTACTGCAGATTTAAGGTGTCTTGGCAGTCTGTGACACAATACTGTTTACATAAAAATACCTCAGAAAGTTTTTGCCATGAATCCACTCTAAACCTTTGTGGAATGAATTTTACTTTTTCAGTTACCGACTTTCCTGAGATGCTGAAAACTTCAAATTTTGAAAAATATGGAATTCTGACACTGACTGTAGAAACCCTGAATGTAGATTTTTCACAAAGTAATGCAAATTCCACTTACAAGAGTGTTTCTTTTAAAAAAATGGGCTACTAATAATCTAAAACACCTGAAATATTCAGTCTGTTTTAAAGGGTTAAAAACAGGGTTAGATTGACATCAATTTCATTTGAAAAGAGTACCAGTGACATATTAAAGGGAAAAAGAAAATCCTCTAGACTTATTCTTCACACACACTCCTGCTGTGCAGTGGCATAAAGGAAACCTATACAAGGATTTAAGTCCATTTTCATAATCACTATCATTGGTAGTTTGACTAAAACTCAGGGTAATCTTTATTTTAGAATGTAAAGTTTATTCATCAGCTACGTTCTTGACTCGCTGCATAGTTTGAAAGTTACTATTAACTGCTTTGAAAATGATCTATTTAGCATGAATTATTATGAGTCTGCTGTAAATTACTCGTTTGATTGCAGTCCAACTACAATTAGACAAGATGCCAAGGAAGAAATTCTCGGGTCCCTGTGGAATTTTAATTTACATGTTGCATTTAAAGACTACAGTACTTGATGTATTGACAGAGAAGGAATACAAAGTGTTCTTTTCAGCTTTCTCACAATTTCTGTAAATACCTTCCCTGACAGCAGAACAAAGACACAAAGCACTGGAATGAAAACGTGCAGGTTTCACAGTCGCTGACCTCATTTTGCAATCAGTGCTTCAAATTAGGATTATCAAATGTTGCTAATGTTGGTCTTTTCAACATTTGGGTAATTTGGAAATTTTGAGAACTGGAATGATTTGTCATTTCGGTCCAGGCGTAAGTAATCACTACTTGTTCTCCCTGCCCATGAATCAGCCCATTTGTGTGGAACATAAGTAACACTCAAACAAGTTGCATGCAGTGAAATATAAACGTCGGGGCTGATGGAGCGTGTTCTCATCACTGTCATTAGCAAAGGGAAATAATCAGCAGAAGGAAATGAGTGGCATGAAATTTTCTATTTTTTTCAAATCATGTTACTCAGAAAATCTCTTGATTGCTCTCTTGTAGAATCCATTGATGACTGTCCCAGTAACTGCTTTGGAAATGGTGACTGTGTTTCTGGAACGTGCCATTGCTTTTTAGGATTCAAAGGGCCCGACTGTGGGCGAGGTGAGTCATTTTCTCTCATAGTTCATATTTATTCCCATCATTCAGACATATTTTAGGTCACTATAATAATCTCATTTATGGCTTTTATGCTTGGGGGAAAGTAATTTTATCTTATTGTAACATTTAACTGTAATTCACATATTACAAATCAAGACCAAATTATTTATTCCTGCTTCTGTCTCTGCTAGAAAAGAGCGTATCGCACAAGCAGATTCACGTAGAACCTGGCTAAAATTGTTTTTGTTTAATTAGTTTTATATTTAGTGCTTTAAAATTAAGAGCTCTGTTTAGTTTCGGAGGGAAAAATCCACAAAACTATCAGTATTGGCATCCCTAGATGTTTCTCAAAAGTACTGGTGCAGTTTTGTGGTTTATAATTTTTTTGTATTTTAATGTGGAAGAATCCTCGTTGACATACTGTTTGCTTGTAGTATCGCAATGTGACACAGAAATCACATTTTCTTAGCCCCTCCTCTTCATAAGTCAAGTTATGTCTTGAAGAAAACATCACCTTGCCTAAATTTCCCAACTTCTAAACTTGGAGTATAATGGTGTTTTCCTTTGCTGGTAACAGATTTGTTTTATGTCTTTTGGCCTTTAAATACTTTTGTAATATTCAAATATCAAAACTTTCAGCTATTAACTACACAAGATTATAATTTCTGCTAGGCTGTAGTTTATAAACTTCTCTAATATTCTATTTTGATAACATAAACCATCATGTTCTCTAAAGCATATTTCACTTCCTCTTACTTTCAATTGAAAATACCATTCAGATTATTTTCCATTTTTAATAATAGCATATTAACTTATGCTAGCGCAGCATTGTCCATTAGGTAAGCGTGAAAGTGTTAGGGTTTTAGGTAAAGTTAGCTATGTTGGTAATGCTAGCATCTTAACTAATGTTAGCTTTTCAAGCTATTCAGTAACATGTCTAAATTTCACACTTATGGTAAATTGTCTAAATTTCTATAAATTGAACTTAGGTGCTATGTGACTTTAACAGATTTTGTTTTCATTTGATTTCAAAAGTTTCAGGCTTTTAATATTTGAACTGATTTGTACAGTTTAACAGATTGTTCTAAGCAGAATTACATTGTATACTGAATTCAGACAGCATTTATGAATTAGTGGAATAAGTTTAAAACACATGGGTTGTCACAAAAAGAAGTCAGGACAAAGATCAGAGTTAATTTTGCCACTGAATGTGATGCGAGAAGGACTGCAAGAGAATCACTCATTTATTATAAGTCTCACTTTTTGTCAAAAGAGGCTTTTGTTTTACAGTAAGCGCTCCATTTAAATGGATTTCTGTCCTTTGTTCTTTTCACAGCTGCCTGTCCGGTGCTGTGCAGTGGGAATGGTCAATACCTTAAAGGTCGTTGCATGTGCCACAGCGGCTGGAAGGGCTCCGAATGTGATGTTCCCACCAGCCAGTGCATTGACATCACGTGCAGCGGCCATGGGACCTGCATTGGGGGAACCTGCATCTGCAACCCTGGATACAAAGGGGAGAACTGTGAAGAAGGTGCTTGTTTTCAATGTCACTTAACTTGCCTTAACCTAATAAAAGTCCACATAATATGATTCCAGCTCATAACTTCCTATTAACTTATTAGTTACACATTTAAAAGGTGCACTCGTGTGGGGGTTTCTGTTTTGACTTGAAAGCTTGAACTCTTCAGTAGTGAAGAGAATATACATAAAGCTATGAAATATACATCGTATGTGACTTTGCCTGGTTAAATCATCAGTATGAGGCAATATTCTGGTTGAAAACAGCGCATTTAATGTCTGAAGCTCAGACAATAAACTCTGATGTTAATCTAGGGGGAACTCCACCTTCATTTGTCGCTGGATAAGGTTTGACTAGATAAGATTGAAGGAGCCATTGTGTTTGTCAGCTCTTGAAGGCTCTCATTTCAAGATGAAAAATGGACTTTGGGACTTTGATAAATGGGGTTTGTGACATCCATAGGCCCCCATTCTATTTTAGGTGGAGTGTTAGCCATAAGGAGTGGAGGAGAATGTGCACAAGGGCCCTTTAACATTTTTACCTTTCTTCCATGTGACCTTCAGCAGAAATGATTAATTGCCAGGAGAGAGTTTCTTGTCAGTTAGCCTCTGATCTTTGTGTCTTGAGCCCAAACCATCTGCTAAGAGGCGAGCGATCCCGTTTGTCTAGCTGTAACAGTCTTTATATCCATTTTTTTGTTATGATAAAGGAGACCTGCCATGGGGTGGCCTACTGCTCTCAGAGGCTAGACATTGCTCCTACTTGGCATCCATTTGCCATCTGTGTGCACAAATAACTTGTAGCGAAAATGCTGATTCTGTGATTGTACGCTCCTGCGACTGTTGCTCCCTGGAAACAAGAAATGTCAGTGAGGGGAAGCGATTAAGAGAAAAGGCTTTTTCATTGCCATGCAAATTTGCTCATAGTTATGTCATGTAATATGACCTAAAATGTAAATGTATTTTCTGATGATTTTATCTAACAAATCGAAATAGAGTATTATTTTGAACTTAAAGGAAAATTATGTCTATTTTTTTGTTTGTTTTTTGCAAACATTTACCAATTATCTTTGTGACCAGGATGGGAGTGATTTATTTAGAACCACAAAGACGAGGCAAGTGAGCTCAATTTTCTTCACAGATTTCTTAGATTAAACTCAGGATATAGTTTAACAAATATGTAAAAAACACATTTTTACAAAAGTTACCTACTGCAACTTTAGTAGACATTGCCATGACAATCCTCTGCAGCTGGCCTTGAGTTGCCAAGGGCCCTTCTGGTTTCTTTTCCTATCAATGCAATACTGTCCCAGCCTGTCGATTTTAGATGGATGTCTTGGTAGGTTTGCAGTTGTGTCGGAGTTCAGACTTTAAATTCGTACCACACTGTTCTTATTTTCATGAATAAAAAAAGTTTGCCATGTTATTTTTCCTACTAGAATGATGCACTATTTTTTCTTTCATAAAATTCTAACAAAAAACATCAAAGTTTTCCACTATAACATGACAAAATGTGCAGCGCTTGAGAGATATGACTTGCCTATTCACTGTTTACTGAAATAATGGAGTGTGCACAGCAATGTACAAAAAAACAAAGTAAAGCCAGCGAAATGAATGGACCTTACAATGCTTTTTTTGCCATACAAGTCTGTTTACAGACTTTTATTTACTGCTTATTTACATCCACTTAATGTAGGCTTCACTTCTTTTTTTTTTCTTTTTTTTGCTACATCAATGTGGCTTTTATTTTTTTTCCAGCTATGTATTTAATAAGCAAAGCTGTCCTTTCAGAGGAATTGTTTTACACAAAATAAGTGGAGAACGCCAGCAGAAGTGTGGGCAGAACCTGTAGGTTTGGGCCATAACACCAACTAAGCAAACAGCCATTTAATTTGCTTCTATGTAAATCATTTCTCTAGCCTCTAGGGAAAAAAAATATATTTTCTGTCTGCTCCTTCTGTTCTTTCATTGTTCACGTGCATTTGAGCTGAAGCCCACTGCTGCTGTCATTCTGTTCAGGCTTGAGAAAAAAAAGAAAGAAAAAAAATGCCTGGGTGCTTATGAAAAGAGGGAAACAGTAGGTGACTGGTGTGTCTAACACTGTCCCCTTTGTCAAAACGCTTTTAGTGGACTGCCTGGATCCAACGTGCTCTGGCCGAGGCGTTTGTGTCCAGGGAGAGTGCCACTGCTTCATCGGCTGGGGAGGGCCGGGATGTGAAAGCCCCAGGGCCTCCTGCATGGACCAGTGCTCTGGACATGGAGCTTTCCTGGCAGACACTGGAACCTGCAGCTGCGATCCCAACTGGACGGGCCACGACTGCTCTACAGGTAAGCAGTTCCATAATGAGAGGAAACATTGGCAGGGTATTCTTTGCAGAAGCCAACTGAGGTAGAAAAACAAGGCAATGGTATCAGGCCATCATCTTGTTGACTGTTAATCAGTGCTTCTCAATAATGAAGCAAACATATTTGCTCTAAAGAATAAGGTTGAAATACAAAATTAGTTTGAAAATTACAGATTTTGACATGGCTTATCTTATTTAGAAGTGGAACTACAGAATTTTTTATTGAGTTAAGTGTAGGGTTTGTGATTAATTAATCACAATTAATCCCCCTTTTATCACCAAAATAAGATTGTACAGTTGCAAAGTGAAGCAATTTTGTCATCCATTACTCTTGTTTGCGGATGTCGCTTGTCTGACAGATTTACGGGGGTACATTAAACACAACACAAAAGTTCTGTCTTAGGACTTTTGTGTGCAAGGAAGAAAAATGCAATTAATAGTTTTTATATTTTTGTCATTTGCTAACCTGAGCTGGAACTTGAAATGTGTGCTTTGATCAGATGAAACTAAGCTTGAGTTTTTTCTGGTATGAAACAAATTGTGAATATGTGGAAAGGCATCTCACGCCCATTGTTAGGTAGGGTAGAGGATCTGTTATGTTTTGGGCATGTCTGTCTCCCAAAGACCAAAGAACTTTATTAGAGTCAAAACTCTTTAAAAACAAATGAGAGATTTTAAATGAAAATCTGGTTGCCTTGACCAGAAAACTGAAAATGGGTCAACACTGGATCTTTAAACAGGACAATGACCCAAAACATGTGTCCAGATCTACACATAAATAATTAATCAGACACAAAATTAGACATCTTTTCATGACCAACTAAATCATAAATGAAACCTGAAGATACAGAGAAGAAAGTTTAGACAGATGGTGCTGAGATTCTTCTCTGTGTTCTCAAATTTGGCACAAAAGATTATGTAAATTTGCTAATTTTTATTAATTTTTTGCTTTGCACACATCGTATCCACAGGTATCCAATAAACTTTTGTTGTGCAGTTTATCACATCAAAGAATTAAAACAACCTTTATTTTTTTTAGAAACTTGTCAGTCTTTGATTAACTCCACTGTTGTGTGTAAATGCATTTCTGCTTGATTACATGTTTCTTCTAATAATTATCAGGCTTTTCTGTCTGAGGTAAACATTTAGTATTTTCCAAATTCACACAAATGCCTCAGTGATTCCCTTCAATAATCAGTTTGAGGTTGACAGTAAGCAATCAAATCTGGTTGAACTTTTGTGATATTTTTCTCTTGCCCATCAGAGCTTTAATTTATCACAACTGACAAGTAACATCAACAACATGTAGCACAATTGACGTCTCAATCACTTCCTCTGTGAAATCCCATCACTCTTGCTTCCAAATTTATCTCCCAGCTTGATTCAGATCAACTTTGCTAATTGCGAGGCTCATCAGAGATGTGAGCATTGGTGATTTTCTTAATAGAAAATGTCTCACGTAAAGGCATAAATTAGCCTCATCAATTATCGGTTGGAAGTCCAACGCCAGCAATTACATTTTTGTTGATTCTGTTCTTAATTTACATCTTTTACGGACGGTTTCCTCCTTTAGTTTCTGCATGGTTAGGTGGCAGCTGCGATTGGAGGAAAAGATGCACAGCAAAGCAGGTATTCTGACAGTGGAATGATGAAAGTTAATGCTTTCTCGAGATCTTGCTACTTTCACAACTGTGCAACATTCACAGCTAAGAATATATTTTTTTCTTCTCTGCTCTGGAAGGCTGTTTCCATTGTGTTTGTTAAGTCCATAGGGAGAGTTCTTGCTTGGTAGTCAAGAAAAGGTGAATGTTAACTAAAATTTTAAGGTAGAACATTCCATCTCTCAACTGACAGAAAAATGAAAAGCTCCTGTTCTTACAGCAGCAGAAAAATCACAAGCTGCTGGACATTATGGGACTGTTGAGGTTGACACACGTCAACAGTGTAAACAGCTACAGCGACAGTCAGTTGTTTTCTATTTTTAATAAAGAAAACCATAAAGTGTGTTCTAACTATCAAGGCAGGATAGGTTTAGTTGCTCGGCACATCTCAGCAACAAGTCAAATCAGAGCTAGCAAGAAACATCACAGTCTTTTGGCAAAACTTAAAGAAATGTGGTGAAAAGTTTGAATAACAACTCATGTAAACATTGCAGGACCGACCCTTGAGGACTGGAGGTGCAGATGTCTGCTGGTTGTTGAACCTCAGATTAAGAATCTATGTGGTTTTCAATGTGTAATCATGGAACAATGGACCATGTTTTAGCTGAGTGGGCTCACGGGAATTTGGTTTTCTGGGATGCCTTTTTTTTCTTCTTCTTCTTTTTGTCTTGTGGGATTGGAGAAGACTTGAGCAAACATCTGATTATTATTTTTTCTGGCCTGTATGCAACCCATGTATGACTTTTTTGTGGCAATCTGAACGGCCCAATTCTGACCTGTTTGTCCAAAATGAATCCGATTTGTGCCACTTGCATATGTGGTGCTAAACGTATCCGATCAAGGAGTCTGCAGTCTGTCGCATTTTGCCTGATTGTTTTGGGGTCATAAGCCGTTCACACAGAAGTCTGATTGTAGTCACAAAAGCCACACAAAAATAATAATCTGATTTCAGCAAAGATTCAGAATGGAGCTTCAAGTCCTGCTGTGTGAACATAGCCTGAGATTTTTTGTCTCCCAAGGCATTTTGTAGAGATAACTAGAGTAGTAAGAGATGGCAAAAAACTCCCTATAAAAAAACACCCAAACTGTGTGAAGTGAAGGTTAGCCAAGCCGATGATAGTCTAGTGGAAAAGGGCCATAAGTGTTCATTTTAGGTGTTTTTTGAAGACTGTGACATTTTGCCATATATATTTACTCACTATTCACATTCAGCCATACACAGGCTGGTAAAAAAAACATGTTTACAGAGCCTACCATGTCAATCTTCTTGTTAAGCATGTGTCACTCATGCCGTATGCAGAATGTTACAGAAACGGGAATGTGAACGGCCAGCTGAATAATTCCCCTTCCCACCAGGGTGCATTCCAAGACGCCATTTGTGAAGCCAGAAACGGCAGTGAGAAATCAGGTGTCAGGGTCTCAGCTTCGCTTTTTCACAACGATGTGGTTCTGTTGGCTTCTCCTTCCCATAAATTTAAGCATGCACCAGAGTGGTTCACAGTTGGAATGAGAGTCAGCTCAAAGTCAGACTCCATGTTCTCAGTTGGAAAAAGATAGATTGCTCTATCTATGTTGGGGGCCAGTTTCTGCCCTAAGCAAAGCAATTTAAGAGACTTTTTGGCAGCAGAGATGACAAAATTGTGTGGAAGATGACTAAAACTTATTCATCTTCATTAATTTGTTTGTCTACAGACAGTAACTTGATGAATAAATGCTAATGCAAAACTTCTTGTGTAATCTGTTATTGTTTCCTTTTAGATATTTTTGGTTCAGCAGGTTTCTGATGTGTTGATAATCAGCTCCAGTTTTACAGCTCCAGTCTATTTTAATTTGTATTCACATAATTCATTCTGAAATGAGAGCCTTAGTACAGCCACAGCCTCTCTGATCCACGAATCCCTTTTGTATTCCAAGCAGACATGATGACCTATTAGGTAATCCTAAGGCTTTGGGGGGAAATGGGCAGTTAGTCTGGGTGTGCCTTGCAGAGAAAATGCTCTGTAAATGATGATGAGTTGGCTTTTTATCCTCCTTTATCCTGTTCATTGTAGAGCTTTCTAGGCTCTAATACAGCAGTAAGCTATGCTGCGAGGTTCTGCAGAAAGCTGCATATTACCTTACACCATGACAGAAAACATGGAAAGCTTTCAGAATACTTGAAATTGATTTCCTTTCTTCCTATATACTTTTTATATGACAAACTTCTTTTCTCTGCTGTCTTTGGAGCTGTGTTCCAAAAATGTACATGGTATGTAGTAATTCTGTTACTACCAATAAAAGTATGCCTGAGGTTTTATGTATGTCTTTTATGCCAATTTTACCATTTCCTCCCACCCAGAGGAATCTCTGTTTACACAATCCTTTTGTCCAACAGCCACCATAAGAGCATAGGTGTTTCTTGCTGTGTGAGCTCCTCTTGCCAAAGATAATGAGAGTTTATTTGTAGGTGGTAATTGCATCTTTATTATTGCAAAGGTTCCCTTTTGGTTCCAAGTGAACATTTGTGTGAAAATCACATTGGCTCTGGTTTCTCTGACCAGTATCCATTCCAGTTAACTGCAAGCATCTGTTTCATTCTCCTCCTTTTTCAAAAACATGTATGAATGAGATCTCTATTATTTGGTTTATTAGCATCTTGTTTTAAATGTGATTTTATCTCTAGAGAATATGAAATTGAACTTGCAAAATATTACAACAGCACATGTGAACTTTGAAGTTTGAAGTGAGAGATCAGCTGTAGTGCATACATGTACAGGATTAAAAATGATGAATGCTCTTGAACGTTTCCATAAATAATTCTTGACAATCTGAAGTATAAAAATAGTGTAAAGAATGCACAACTTTGTAGGCTGGTTTAAAAATGCACAATGTGCAAATGTGTTTGATGGGGAAAAGTTCAGAAGGGGTGAAAACTTTTTAAGTCAGTGTAAATGTTTTATGAGTGAATCATTCCCATATGTTCTATTTGCTTATGCAGTAATCTGTTTGTGCGATGGCTGTACTCAAAGCTCTTTGGAGGCAATTATCCAGACACTACTAGCATACGCAATGCATCAGAAGTCAGATATGAAATTAGGACTTGCAGAGTTTTTGCTGATCTATAATTAGCAGAGGAGGGTGAGATTCTTTTTTTAAAGCTTTTTACACACTGTTGCCATGTTAGGGTTTTTGACTGAAAAATAACACTCAGATTCAATTTGTTTCAACGGCAAAATAGGCACCGCAAACGTTGTAATTGACTTATTAAAAGATTTTACCTCCAGTTTGGTCCCCTGTGGTCATACATGAATTGGTTTGGCTAATAAGCCAGTAGTAATATTGTTCATTGTTGCCCATACGACTAAGCCCTCTTTTACCACAGAATAGTTAATAAAGAGGTTAACATTTCAATGAGACTCAGAAGTAATCTGTCAGTGTTTAATTTCTTTGCTTGTCATGCTCTCCCTCGAGTTCATGAGATGAGGGTAAAGTCCCAGGCTTCATCACACCGAGTCAGGGAGGTCTTTCAGCTGTTGCACAATGGCAGGACCAGACTTCACTCTGACTCTCTGTGTCATTCTTCTGGAGTTTATGAATGTCCTCCTTCTCTGCTCAAAAAGCTCTAAAAAAGAAAATGGAAAAAGTATACTGGAAATATTCATCTAAAAGACATCATCCCACTGGAGCACTTTTGTTTCACTAACAGTTGTACATTATAAGTAAGCATGGATTTCCACCTCAAGATTTGGCAAAATTAAAAGTTTTTAAAACTCTCTGAAGAAAAAGCATTATGCTTTAAGGAATATGGATTGATGGCATCACAAGAGGCACAAAAGACAGGGTTATCAGCTACATGTTTATGAATATTCTAATGGATGATTGACTTTTCATAGATTTAGGTCCATTAGAGTTGCGTTTGACCTGCAACTCAGTCCATTTATTTTTCAGACTTTAAATCTGGTGATTCAAAGCAAAAAATTAATACTACTGTGGATGGCAAAGCTGAACAAAGGGTGATTATCTTCAGAAATTCATCACTTGCCTTAGGCCTTGCGTAATGTCACTAAATGTATAGTGCTTTTAAAAAGGACCTGTAGATTTGTAGTCATGTTAACATATTTTCTAAAAAAGTGCAAAGCGGAAAACTAAAATTAGAAACCTAAGACAAAGATAAGACCTAATTGTATTGGGTCTACTGATAAATTTGCAGACATCTTCTCTCAGACAACTACTTTACACTTCCTTGGGGTATAAGTGGAAGGGCGTGGGACAAAAATATATAATTAGTAATGAGTCAATGTTATTGCTTGGATTTGAAATTGTACGTTTTGCATCCAGTGAAAGCAAAAATGTGAACACATAAATTGAATATTCTGGCAGTTTTGTGATAACTGCCAGAATTTTGAAAAACTGTAATAACTGCAAGTTTATCACAGTTTTGATAAGCTGGCAGCTATCAAAACTTTGAAAACTATTTTATTACAGTTGTCACAGTACTACAACTCCAATTATATTAAGTAGAACTATTTGAGTACTATAATATAGCTGAAGTACTATAATTCTGAATTTCTCTTTGTCGGTCTTTAGATTACTATCTAAAGTGAATTTATTACATTTTTAAGATGAGTTGACTGCAGGAAAGCGTCAAACTGTGAAAATTGACGAAAAGTCACAAACGGTGAACATTTGCTACAAAGCAAACGTAGCACTTGATTTCGTAAGTGTCTTTTTTAAAAACGTATTTTATTAAATCCTGCAGTGGAAAATTGCACTTCACTACGCTCTGTTTAACTGTCAGTAAAGGAGTTGATTATTCAAGTCTTGGAGTGTAAAATTTTTACACTCAGTGTAAAATTTTTACACTCCAAGACTTGATGTGATTTTTACCATTAAGTGCTTTCGTTACATTAGTTGATTGTTAATTGTTGTATAAATAAATTAAAAAAATCAATAGATAATTGATTCTGATAAGTTGTCTTTAATTGTTTGTAAATCAATTGCTTCACCTAATTCCTTAAAATATAAAGGAATTCTTTTTGAAAGATCTGTCAAAAATATGTTAGATCAACATGTTTTTTCTAATCGCTTTTTATGAGTACCTTCATTGAGTTCACTACTCATTCAGAAAAGTCGACCACTTATTTTGCAGTTTTAGTGACTAACGTCTTATTTTTGGAACTTGGATTTTCAAGATAATTTCAGGATGAGATTGAGAAAATGTGGCAGCAATATATTTTACATTTTTGTTAAACAAATTTTGATGATATTTCATTTCATTAATTAAATGTGAATTGTTAGATTTGAAGCACAAAAAATGTTCTTTTGTTCTTGAACACAGAAAAGGAAATTTCAACACCAGAAAATAATTAAACACAGCAGACTGCTATTTGAATTGGAGTTGATAACATAAAAATACAGGAAGTATGCAGAGTTCTCTATTTAATATAAAATGCTCATACCTTATAGCAAAACTAAACTTAGAAATGACCCTTTGACAATTATTGCAAATAGTTTGCTATTTACATCAGCTTAATGCAAAACTAAATTGGATAAAAACCTTCCAGAAAATATTCATGGACTTCGCTTTCTACTGCCTGCTTCAGCCCACGGCCAAAACAGTGGCAAAGCCTTTAACTGTGCGCTGTTTTAAAGTGAATAATGTTTGAATTTTTTCTGAATTAATGGACTGTTAAATTTGCAGCATTTTTTTCTTAATGCCATATGTGTATAATTTTTTTATTCTTTAGCCATTTTGTGGTTCAAATAAAGAGAAAACATAAAGAACAGAAGAAGTGAGGAAGAATAAGTCTGCTAAGGCCACACAAATCTTGTCTCCTCTCGGTAATGGACTTATTAGATTTGTATTGTCAAAAAAGGATTGTCCCGATGAGGTGCAGGAATTTCTTTTCAGCTGCCATCAGACAAGGTAGTGGAGCGTGGCCGCCTTTCTTTGACAATAACTTCTGGATTTGTCTTTTTCTCTCCACCTCTGCCTTGTCCCATCACCGCCCTGTCTTCCCATTTCCTACCCCCACCCCTCCTTTCTTTCTCTCTGTCGGTCCTTTTTGTCTTCCTCTGTGTCTTGTCTCCCACAGAGATTTGTGCAGCCGACTGTGGAGGCCACGGCGTTTGTGTTTCAGGCACCTGTCGCTGTGACGACGGCTGGATGGGCGCCGGGTGTGACCAGAGGGCGTGTCACCCGCGCTGCAACGAGCACGGCACATGCAAGGACGGCAAATGTGAATGCAGTCCTGGTTGGAATGGAGAACACTGCACCATTGGTAGGAAGAGAGGAGGCTGGTGTTTTGTTAAGGGGGGGGACAGCTTCGACGTATATGTCTGTTTGGTCAGGATGCAGTGAAATGGGGGAGGGATACCAACAAAGGCGTGCAGACTACCACTCTGCCTGAATGTGTAAGCGTCTGGTCTGAGAGGAAGTATCCAGTCGGAGAAAGAACGGGAAAGCATGCTTAATTGAATTTGTGCAACTCAGTAAAGCATGAACAGGTTTACTCAAGGATCTGAGGCTTGCCTTCATGCATTTTAATGTGGGAATGTGCTAAGGTGTCTTTTCATTTTACTCATCCTTATCCTCATCTCTTTCTTTGCTCCCTTTCCATTTACTATTATTTTCAAATGCTGATGTGTGAGTCATTGTAAGACGGTCAACCACCGCTTTCAGCTCTGTTTTTCAGCAACTAATACTGTCGCTCTCTTGCACTAAAAACTGACTGGAGCTAAGTTTTTTAAGACCTTGATTGAATGTCAAAAGTTTTTTAGAAAAGCATAATGTAACCTTAAAAAGAAACGTGATTATCTAGAAACTATCAATGGCTTCTTCTTTTTTTTTTTTTTTTTTTTTGTTATCAAGTTTATATGTTCAAATATGCTGGACATCAACAAGCTTGATGTGGCGCTTTGAAATAACTTTGCAAAAATGTTTTCATACTTCCTGGAGGTGTTTTGTTTTTGTTTTGTTTCTGAAAAAGAGTTAGTGGAAATGGAAACACATTTGTCAGCTAAGTTTTGACGTAGCAAACATTTACTTCACATGACTCATCAGCTGTTTCTGCTGCTTTCGAATTGCATTTCTCTCTCTGCATCTCAGGACAGCATGTCACATTATTAATGTTGACATGACTGAACAATTACAACTTGGCCGATAACACATTCCTGAAAACCAAATTTTCTGAGATGAGTGGTTCATCCTAGTTAGCAACATCTACTTCCTTTTTATTACAGCCATGTGCAGCATCAACATCTGACAAAATTACGTTTTCCGTAGCATGGTTGATTCAGTCCAAAACCAGTCAAGGGAAACACAGCTGATCTGTATTTCCTTTTTAAAAAATTTTTTGCGACATTCCAAAAATTTGCTTGCAAATTCACATATGCACACTGAAACAGACATTGTAGCATGTAGGTCTGGTGCATTAACTAATTAAAAAATGATAAACTTTTCCTGGTAACCCACACAAGCTAAAAAATTGAGATTTTGTTGCACACATTTTTGTATGTAGTATCATGAGTAATGAGTTTTGACTTCTTTTTTTAGCTTAAAGTAAGGGTACAATTTTCATGAACTCTTGATGAAAAAGGTGAAACAACCAAAGGAATATGTGGCTTGGTGCCTGTTCTGTGTTTTCATATGCAAATTCACCAATTTCTTCTTACTTCTCTTTGTTTGTTTTAGTATATCTCGAGACATATCATATAAATCAAATAAATATAAGCTTTACTCATACATATAAGTATAAAAGCCAGCAAGTTAAAACACACCAGTCATGATATGTCAGGAAATCAATCACATTGGTAATGTTATGTTTTAAAAGCAAAAGTAAAAGACAAGGCCTTTTCTTGGTGGTTGCTTCGACACATCGTGGTTTAATTTTTCTTTTACAGCTGATACAAAAATCTGACAGCACAATGATAATCCCTTTTCTTAGCTGCCTCAGTGATTCCCCATATGTTTGAGTCAAAGGGAAACCAGAAATAAAAGCTCATAAAAGAAAAAGCAGATTTTTCTCACAGTATTCTCATTGGTCTCGAGGCAGCACTATCTGAGAACAGAGCTTCGGCTCAGTTTGTGAATGTTTTATATGCTGGCCCGTACATTATTGATGGCTCTTTTATAAAGGCCATATTGAGATCCAGATTCAACAAGAAGATTTCTCTGTGTCATACATTAAGATCTCAATTTAAATCAATTTACATCACAGAGGGCCCAATGTGTTGGCCTCAGGCCCCCTACAGGTCTGATCTGGTCTCATTCCTGACGAGGCCACTTGCATCGTCCACAGACGATAATTTAAAGAGCTTTTTGTGACCTCTGTCCTGCATAATACTGCTGACGCCTGCAATATGCACGTCAGTGCCAGAGTTTTCAAAATGCTCCTCTGGACTATTCAGTTGTTTCCATCATTTAATAAAAAGAAACAGACATTTTTTTTTTTTTTTTTTTTTAAGATTTCATTTTGGCGACTGCAATCTTCCTCTGCGTCCCACAATTTCCCCCTGTCTTCCTTCTGTCTCCATCCCTCTCCTGTGTGGGATTGTTCTCGATGTCTTGCTTGTAATGCATGCTGTTAATGCTTTGTGGCTGTTTTTTTTTTTGTTGTTGTTGTTTTTTTAACCGCGTTTTGTAACGTATACTAACACATTGCCCTGCTGTCTTGTCATGGAAGTGCCACTGTTCAAACCTCCCTTATATGTCCTGTCTTTTATCTCTCAAGCTCACTATCTGGATAAGGTAGTGAAAGGTATGGCATTCCTCCTTCAATCTTTTCTGCGCTTAACTCATTGTAACGCCGGTCAGCATTAATAAGCCATGAAACACACACCTAAACACACGCAGACACACACCATGGTCCATTCCCATCCAAAACACTGTGCTTCTCATTGTACAGATGCATTTCAATAAATTAGAATTTATTAGTTCAGTCGGTAATTTGAAACTTAAATAGATTCATTACTCAATATTGTTTTCCAAAAGTTTCTCTGTGTTCATTTTGATGATTATGGCTTGCAAATAATATTTTTTTTAATTAAGTTTTTCAAAAATGTTCAGTGTTACATTAGATGAATAAAAAATCTGTAATACAAGATTTTTATGTTATGGACATAGTTTAGCCTTCACAATTATGTAAAAAAACAGCTATCTTCAGAGTCACTTCTTTCCAGAAGGAGTGTAATCGACAAAAAGTAAACGGGTTTCAAAAATACAGCATTATATGGTGTCAAAGCATTTTAATATAAAGTTTTTGGAAGGAAAATGTCAATTCATGCAGACATCCATTGTCTTCCCCTTATCTGAGATTGGGTCACGAAAATAACAGGTCCAGGAAGAAAAAACAAACCTCTCTCTCTCCGCCACTATTCAGGTCTTTCTAGGGAAGGTGTGAATTAGCAGCAGTTCTACTTGGATTTTCCCTCCAGGTGAGGAAACTCCTCCCCCTGTCTTAAAGGCTAACCCCAGCCACACCAAAGAGGAAGCTCCTCTGAGCTCCTTGTATCTGGGATTTTGTTCTAAGAGTGCAGGTGGCCCAATAAATCCAGGGCATTGCTTATACTTGGCATTAAAGAAAACAACACTCCGATCTGTCTATCCACCTTCCTGTAATTACTTGTGAAGAAACTGCAAGATGCAAGAACACCTGCACTTTCACCAGAGGTTGAACTCAGACCTGAGCAGTCCAGGAAGTTGTGGTTGAAAAATTGGAATAAGCAACTTAAGAGTTTGGCAAAGTTTCACAAATAGTCAAAAAGCACAGACAGATCCAGGTCATGAACTCCATCTGCAGTATTCCTTTTGTCAAGCCACTTTTGAACCAGAGACAGCAGGATCAGACTGGGGCTCAGTGGTCCAATGTCATCTTCCAAAGTAAATCTTTGGAAGCCAGAGTCTAGTGGAAAATTTGGAGACAGAATCCTAGCTGTTGGTGGTTCAGGAGCAAATTTCCATAATTGGTAAGGAATTTAGCTGCAAATTCACTTATCATTCACAAATTTTGCACAGACTTGCTATTTTCACTAATCACTGCAACTTCTGACCTTAACATTTTTTGTATTTCCTTCATTTCTGACAAGTCGCTGCACTCTTTGCCTCCTAATTTAACTTTCTGTTTTTTTTAACTGCATTTTCAAAATCCATTCTGAAATGTTGTTTAGGATTTGCTTATACAGTGTATATTGTTCAAGTTAAAATCCTTTTTTTTTCTTTTTTTGGGAGGATTATGTGCAGCAACTTAAAAGTTGATGTTATGCAAAAATAAAACTGAAAACATTAGGAACTTTGACCGCACCCTTTACAATAAAGGTGTGCAAAATCAGTAATTTTAGGCCACAACAATCTCAAAAAAAATATGTGTTTTATTACATCCTGGAGGGCCTGATTTAGAGAGTTATGTTATCTGTTAGTGTTTTCTCAAGTTGAGACTTGGTGCGGCTCCCTACCAGGAAGCGTATCACCAGAGTCACATGTTGATCGATGTAAGCCAAAATCATCAACACTAATGAAAATACATGCTTAAAGATGTATCACATTGTGTGATGAATCTTACACATTTCACACTTTGGGAACTGAATATCTTAAATCAATTAACTTTCCTGATGATATTCTAACTTACTGAGATGCACCAGTCAAAATCTTCTTTTCCTCTCATCACTTTTTCAACATAGTGTTCCATAGTAATCTCCACTTAGCACCTTCACACCCAATTCAAGCTGAGCTGCTTTCTATATATATCAAATGTTTGGTTTGTGCATTTTAGCTTTCTCAGTAGGGGGATGTTGGGAGAGGGGATTCATAACCCGTGCCTTGCATTATAGATGAGCTTACAGTCCAGTGCAAAGCCTGATAGGTGCTGAGGCTGCAGCCTCTTTAATTAAAAGACTTTATGGTTCTAGGCAGAACGAGAATGGAGGATTTGCTTCACCCCTTGCTGTCTGCCACCGGCACCCCTCTCTTAGCCTCCCTGCGTACTTGGTTATAGACCACCTGGCATCAGAGAGGCTGCCAGAGGGGCTCTTCGAACGTTTGCATCCTCATGTCTGGAGCTGTTTCAGACGGGCTCGGGCAGGGCTCTGCAGGGGCTTCTCTCTGAAATATTCTGCCAGTTAAGTTGAAACCAAGCCAAAAGAGAGTGAAGCTTTATTTATCCGTATAACAAACATTCTGAGCTCCTTAATCGTCCAGCTCCACTGGCTTAACCAGAGTTGTTTTTGTCCATTTGCTCAATAAATGGACAGCCAATGCCAAAAGTGTCCAAGAGGCAAGCCATTTCGAACAGTTCATTAAATTTGGTTGCAGTTTTCTAGAATATTATTTGAGTTTTCTCTCTATTATTGATGATAAATTCTCTAAATCATTTGTAGAAATTGAAGTTACAACAGTAATAAACAATTTCTGTTTGTAATCTCTTGCAGCGATGAGCAGAAGAGTTAGAAAAAAAAACTTTCAATTATTATTTAATTGCAAGAGCAAAATCTCATACTACACACATTGTTTCTGGCAGTTTTTAACCTTTTGAATGTTGCTTTTAGTGAAGATATGGGAAAACCTAGTAGTAACTAATAGAAATGGGCCTGTGTTAGCTGATGTTTATACCGCAAATAAGCAGGAAATCTTGGATTACTGATCAATTAGTGTTTCTGTAAAGTTTGACATGCCAATACTAATTTTGACTAAAATAAATAATTTAATATATTTTTGCAACATTCATGCTATGAGTTATCATTAATTCTTTACTTTAGTGTCAGAGCTAATGTCACACTGTGTGTGTACCAGAGCCCTTGCTGTAAAACACGGTCTTATTACTATTTTAAGATGAAATGCTTACAATATTGATATTCCAAAATGTTGTCCGACAGCCTCAATAAGCAGACATATGGGGGAAAATACAATGTTTGCTTTTGCAACTCTGATTCATTTTACCTAATTTAAAACACTTAACTGAATTTGAAAATTGGTAGGTTCCAGTCTCTAAAATGCAAAGTACATATTGAATAAATGCTTCATTTAGAATTACTGTAGAGAAATTGCTAGAGGTCCCTTTTGCTGTAGCACGAGAGATTTCATTGAAAATTGTCATTTCCGAAGCGTAGGAGTGGCCGGAGTATATTGACTACAGAATGGCTATTTCTAAATATTTCAGTACGAAATTATGGTGCAGCTATAAAGAGCAGATATATTGTAAGACTTCTTTAGCTTTTTTGGGGTTGCAAATCACTACAAAGGATACTAAGTAGCTTTTAACTTCTAAAATTGAATTGTGTGAAAAATTTTAATAAATGGAGGCAGACAGTTTTGCTCAAGAAATTTGGGATGAATTACTTTGTGTGGCTCTTTATTCTATTCTAACATTATATATTCTCGAGACTGTGGCTACATTGTGAGTTATGTCACGATATAATTGCAGCCCTGATTCATCCATCAATCAGCCTTTCCTCCCTTACAATTATTACCTTATAAGTACACCTGCCTTCCTATTTTCTTCCATTTCTATTTTCCAGTCCAGTTCTCTCTGTAAAAGCAAGCTGCACAAGAGGGATAGATGATAAAATGGGTCAGCTTAGCATTCTCTATCAAGACATCCTTCTAACACCATGACATAGCTGTTCGTTTGATATCTTTAGATTTTACCCTCTGCCTCAGCGAGGGGATAAATATCATAATGTATCAGATAAATGTCAAACAGGGTAGAACAATTGGCATCATAATCGTCTGATCTGTGCCCTTGTGAAGACCTATCCAAGAGGAAACAATGAAATCTTTCACCTGTCTCTCTACTCCAGCCTGCCTCCGATCCCCTGGGGCACAGCTCCCAGAAATACAGCTAGGCGACCTCTGCTTAAAGCAACCAAGCACAACCTTTTCCAATTTATATAAAACCCATTTTGTTTAGCTTTGAACTTCTCCTGAAGGGATATCATGGTCTCTCTATTTGAGGGGATATTACTGATTGTTAAAATCCCATTTCTCTGACAGCAATTTAGACCACTTTTTAAACTTCTATATTTACTTTCCAGTTTTATTTTTTTTCCTGGAAATCTTCAGATTTTGTCACGTTACAAACAACCTATGTTTTTTTTTATTTTTTTTTTTATTTTTATTTTTTAGGAATTTCATGTTACACACAAATACAGAGAAGAAAGATAACAAAGCAGACAGAAAAGGATATAACAGAAGTGGACACCACTAACTATAAGTTAGTTGTGCTAAGCATGGCAGCAAGATGGTATCGGTAATGCTAAAGTGACAAATTCAATCATGTTGATGCTATCCATGTGTCTATTGCACGTTATGTATTACACGACTGTGTGCAAAACTGCGCTTTAACAAGTGATTCTTTGGAACAGACCTTTCAGTCATGGTTTCAGTTTTACATTTGTTGAGAAATAATACTGCTAACTGTTTCTGATTTTTCCCTAATTGTAGGACTCCAGTCAGAAAGATTTTTTACTGCAGTGCATTCTGGGTACAGAATAAACATCATTTGCTGCACCTCATCATACCGGAGATTGTGAGAACAGGAAACGGAATTACTGCCTAAATAATCTTCAATTTCAAAAAAAGAGCATGAATATAACCATCTTAACTACTTGAAGGATAATTTAGAAGATGCTAAATGTGCCAAGCATTTTTACAGTTAGCAGAAATGCTAAAGTGCTATATGAAAAATTTGCTTCACTGTAAGTGTTCCCACGACTGTGATAGAGTTATTAATGGAGTTAAATACAGGCAATTCTGGTAGAAAACATTTTAGAGGCACCAAAATACATAATAGTGGAGATTTACCTGTTGCCAGAGCTACAATAAAAAAGCTTAAAACAAATTTGTGTGTTAGAATGGCCCAGTCAACTCCAATTTAAAATCTGCTGTAAGACTTGAAAAGTGATATTCACAGATGTTAGTCATCCAGTCTGATTTAGGTTTCAGCCTCTAGATGTGGAAAGCTGGCAGAGATATATTCTAAAAGACATGCGGCTTTAAGTGAAGAATCACGTAGTTCTACAAAGTATTAACTGAAAGGGGCCTGAATGCAAATTCATGTGAAAAACTTCAAGAACTACCATATAATTTTCCTTGCATTTCACAATCATTCACTACCTTGTGTGGGTCTGTCACTTGAAAGTCCTAAAGAAACACATTGAAGTTTGTGGCTGTAATGTGAAAAAGTCGAAGGGATGTGAATATTTTTGCAAAGATAAAAAGAAAAAACAGCTTGAAATCCGAAATTACCTATTAAATTATTTCAAATTGGGCAGTATAAACTCCACTGCTTTCACTGCACAGCTAAAGTACCATACATTCTGGCTAATATGCTGTAGTAATAAGTGAATATTGATTAATAAGATCCCTCTTATCTGATTTTACTGCAAAGGGATATTGGAAAGCTTTACAAAAGGTGTATCAAATTAATCAAGTTTAGCTGAGGGTCATTAGAGCTGCTCTCATCCATTTAAAATTTCACATAACATTAGGTTATTGCTGCTTAAAGTACGAGCAGCAAACCAGTTTTTTTGTAAAGCAATTTTGGTGCACAAATGATGTTCTATATTATTTGTTCATTCATTTTTCTGTATTTGAGACTCAGTTGTGATCGTTGGTCTTTGTCTTCATCTATTTTTCATAGAGGGTTGTCCTGGTTTGTGCAATGGAAATGGCAGGTGCACTCTGGGTAACAACGGCTGGTACTGTGTGTGCCAGCTGGGCTGGAGGGGCACCGGCTGTGACACCTCTATGGAAACCGCCTGCAGTGATGTCAAGGACAACGATGGAGGTAAAATCACAAATGCCTTCTGACACTGACCAGACACCAACACGGACTCTGAACCAGACGCGATTTGACAATAAAATTCACCCCCTATGGGCTTGAGAAATATTCTGTACTTGCTTTAAGCTTTCCATGCTCTGTTATACCTTTTATGTAGGCCATTCCAATTTTATTTATATAGAGCCAATAACAGTTGAAATTGTCTTGAGATGCTGTACCGATTTCACTGCCTTGAATCCCAGGAGCCAGCTTGATTTTAATTGGAAGAAAGAAAGGGGGACGGGGGAAGAGCAAATCCAAAATGTAAATATTATACACAAATCATAAAAAACAATATAGCTTACATATTATGAATACATACTGAAGCAGAAAAACTGCAGAGCTGACTTACAGTTAGCATTAACTTCTCAATTCAGGCTAAATCAATGCTTAGAAAAGGTACAAAAATGCTTCTCTTTCTGAAGCTAACTGGCCATCTAGAACCATAACAAGTGGATATAATGCATGGATCTTATTGTGTATGGTCTGGCTCTAAGTAAAGTCCTTTAGATGTCTTTTCCTTTAAATAAAATACATTTGAATACAGCATGTAAAAGCTACATGCACACATCCGGTGCAATCTTTTCATGCAAATGAAATAGAATTGTCCTGATCGGAAGTATTAATAAATTTACCTCAATTTTTATTAACCTCTGGGATTTTGAACATTTTCTATCTCCACAGCGAAGTCCTTTTCCCTCTAAATAACCCTGAGCAGAGGCAGGAACACACTCCCACACACACCCAGCCAGCCAGGGATGTTGCGCCAATCTCTACTCCAAGTGGGAGATGTGACTTTCTTTATTCCAGACCTGATTCTTCAGCCTGAGCTGTGCACTAGCCTCCCTTATTTATACAGGGGGTTGTTTGTCTTCCCATCACTTAACAGGGACCACACAGCTCTCAACAGCAAAAGCAGTGTACTGCCTGGGATTTGACTGACTCCTGACAGCACAGTTTATTTTTATCACCCCATCTGGCCAGATATGCCCCTGAAAGCAATGGTTAGGAGACGTTAATGACCCACTTTAGCAAAGTAAAGTGCATTACATAGGAACACTCATTTTAGTAATTTTTAGTGAGAAGGAAATGTATCTTCTGTATATTATGCTCTTTTGCAAAGGTTTACAACATTGCTTCCACTTGTTTTGATACACCTGACTACCAGGGATGGGCACACTTCTGCTAATGTGGTAATAGTGGATCTACATTTAAAACATTTAACATTTACCGTCTCATTTTTGGCGTCTCTAAAAGGTTTCCATCCAGGAATGCCCTGTATTTAGCTCCATCCATAACGCTGGGCGTGTTCTGGACAAACTTCTACTAGGTGGCTAACAGAGGAGCTAATTTTTTACTTTGAGTTGCTGAAGCTTAAATTTGTCCACAATTTTGGTCTGCACTTATCTATACATCTCTACTCCTAAACTCCAGCATAAGTATAGTATTTAGCTTTATATTAGTACTCAGTGTTACCCACTGAATAAAATAGCATATTTTATTCAGTACACTTTCCTGCATTTGCCAGGTGTGAACCACACTTCTTTTTTTTGTGAATCTGTTTGCTTTTGACTTGTTTAACCTTCTCAGATGGCCTGGTGGACTGCATGGATCCAGACTGCTGTCTTCAGGCAACCTGTCACACCACCTCTTTATGCGTGGGCTCGCCCGACCCCCTGGACATCATCCAGGAGACGCAGATGTCCTCTGCACAGAGCAACCTGCAGACGTTCTACGAACGAGTGAGCTTCCTGGTGGGCAGGGACAGTACACACACCATCCCTGGAGCTAACCCCTTCGATGGAAAGTGAGTGACAATGTACTCTCATCTGGCTTTTTTTTTCTAAATTCACAGAGCTATTTGTCTTACACAACATATACATTTTTGTTGCATTAGTAGAGTTCTGTGAATTCCAGCTGCTACAACAGCTCATGTTTATTTAGTGCCTCGCTAAGTATAATGCATTAGGATTTAAGTCTATTCGCATTCAATTTAAAATTGACTAAAAAATGTGTGATACAATAGGTTATCTTCCATTCTAAGCTGGATTGCTTTTCAAATCAGTAAAGCAGCAACAAACAGGAGCAGATTTACACATTTGCAATGTTATGACCTGGATAAACTGTTATCTAGCACCACATTTTGCTGCAGTGACACGCTCTCGAACAGATTCATAAATCGTAAAACAATAGTCACATTTTTTAAAACAGCTATTGCAGCACTTTTATTTTTGTTGAAAAAAAAAAACCAGAACATTCATTTACATATAAAGTTACGGGGAAGCAGCTGCATTCAGTGGGGGCTCAAATTGGCAAAGAGAATTGGCATGCATCGCTGCAAGGATGATGGACAAATGATGATGGACAAACATGGAATGTGGCAAAAAAAAAAGGAGGCAGTGTTCCCTCAGCAAGAAAGGCATCTCGTATTCATGCATTGTGATTACTTCTACTGTAATCCATCTGTGGCTCACTCCTACAGGCAGAGCTCATGACACCCCAGTCGTTGAATTTGAGAACCTTTTAAATCAGGCAGGATGGCAGTCAGAATCCCTTAAGATTACTCCGATGTTTTCTAGTGTCTCTTTTTCTTTTCATCTTTTATCACATGTGTGACAGGGTTGCTCATTTCCATACTACTTTATTATGAATCACTCTCATCTTTGTATATTATACTAATGTAGAAGACAAAGATGAGATTTAATATACACTCAGAAAAGAATAAGATAAGAGTGTAAACACTTAAATGTTTTATGTGAAGAATAGATATTTTATTCTTTGTTGTTTTCTTGCTGGTAATATTCTTGTATCTTTTTTGGGTGTAGGCAACCCCATGGGCTTAAACATCTTTATAATCAAAAGTATTCATTTAGAGAGAAACACTTGAAATATGAAAGCTTTGGCTCATCATGATGCCACCGCTATGCTTCACATTATGGTCCTTCTGGAGGATGAACATCTGTCTCTTTTTTAAGTCTTTGGCGACCTCTTACAGGTTTTCCTCCTGGATTGTGTTTCACCTCAATCCATCTTCCTATCAACTTCAACCAGCTTTTCTTTCCCCTCTGAAAAAAGTATGACACTGCGACCACAGGGTTCATGGTGGGCAAGTTTAAGTAACTTTTCTGCCAGAAATAGCTTTGCCTGTTGGCCAAAATGTTCAGCTTTGGTCACAGCTGATGAGAGGACCTTCTTACACAGGTGTATTGTTTGCCAAACTGCAAACAGAGCTTCTCTATGCTTTTTCCTCCCCCAAACGGTGGGTTTCTTCCGGTCGTTCAGTCATGTGAAATAGCTATGGATCTCTGTTTATCTCAGAGAGGTTAGTTGGATATCCGTGTTGAGGTAGATTTTTTTTTAGTTTAATGATTTTCTTTTTCAGATGTATAGATGATATCCTTTTTTAACAGAGCTCTATGAGGAATTCAAAGGTTGAAATATGTTTTTTGCAACCTAAAATATAGGATTCTCTAAGGTGAAGAAATATGACACCTACCTATTTGAAGTTCAGTGTTCCATTTTTGGTTTTTTTTGTAGTGCATTGAAAAATATTCAGAAGAAAATGAGAAGCTAAAATAATTAGCGTAATGCTACTTGGCATGATATTGGCTGGCGTTTGCAAAGCAGTCAATTGGCTGTTGCCCTAAGAGCATAAATAAAGAAGACTGTAGATATTAGTCTTTGCATTAGTGACATGATGATTTCTATTGTGTGAATTTATGCCTAATAAGAGTTTTCTAATGTTTTAACTATTAAAATAGGCAGGAAAAAGAATCTTTAGAAGGGCTCTGAAGTATTTTTATATTTCTCCTGTTTGCTATTCCTTTATGGTCTCTAACCTTCACAAACGTTATGAAAAAGCTAAAATTGCAAAATTTTCTTCACAACTCTGGTTTAACTCTGGTTAAAATATGACAAAATGTGAAGAAGTTCTTCTTCAACCGAATGCTTCAAAACATAAAATGCATCATTTTTTGGTCTTATTTTTTAATGCATTGCGACAACGTCAGCTGTTACTTCAGCGGAAGCGCTCTGACATTTTCTCTCATTGACATTTTTCTGGCTCTCAAGAAGCACTCAGCATTTTGCAGTACGTCCCCGGACAGAGTTAGAGGCATGGAAGGTTGAGTAATACTCTTGTCTCTCACACAAGATTCGGCCATAAATAAGTAAAATGAAGAATCCAGAGATGAGCTGCAAGATCGCGTGGGCCTCGGCACACCTAAAAATATCGGTGATAATCTATTATTCATGCTTGGTATTCATTCCCCCTCCCACTGACAGATCTGGACAGTTATGACGAGGTGGCGGTGGTGGCGGAGGGGTCTTCAGACGGGCCGAGCGTCAGCATCTTTCCTTTGTGATATGCTTGCGTTGCTCACGTGATCATTTTTTTTTTTGATCCGCTGGCCACTTCCTCATGCTAGCAGACGTGTTGGACTGCTATTTCTGATGTTTCCGTCCGCAAAAAGCTGCAGCGGTGCCACTGAATAAAGCATCTGCCACTGCATGAAATGTCTTGATTCCCCACCATGACACATAATACAACAGGCTGCTGAGGCCCAGCAGTCGATGCTGACCAGAATAGTAAATAGGGACTTTGTCTATGGAACAGTTTGGACAGAGATTGATGGTTGGTTTCTAATAGCCAGGCTGAAGTCATCCACTCCATTTGCTAGCTGGCACTTTTCTAATTTTATTTAGAGCTACTCTTTTTAGCATTAAGCTATTAATGTCGGAAATAAAACCGTTGTAGTCTGTCCGAACGCCTTTTAGTAGCATTGTTTGCAGAAAAGAAATTAGTCCAAAGTGTTTTCCATTTGCACTCTGAGCGAGTAACATACAGCGAGGGAGAGGAAGAGATCCACGGTGACATGCTAATATTTGCATCAGGATTCACCCTGTAATCAAGTCATTTGTGTGGATAATGATATTTTCGTTGAGTGCCTGGTAATGGGGGTGTTTATTAGGATTGGTCTAAAGTTCTATATTTACCTCTGACAAGCTTTTTTTTTATGGTGTCTGAACTACAATTATATAGAAATGTGCTCTTCCTTCATTACTGTATTCTGATTAAAGGAAATAAACTCAAAATTTGTTAATATGTTTTTATATGACTTTTTCTACTGTTCATGCTGACAAAACCGTCATCAATAATATTTTTTTTTCTTTGCTAAATTTATTACAATTGTCTAAGTGAGACTCAAGGTCTCACTTCTGCATAGGTTTGGATGTATTGTCCCTGTCTAAAAAACAGAGAATATATTTACATTTTCAAATTATGTCCTTACCTGCTGTCTGAATATGGCGTCCATCCTTTTTTGCCCATGAAATTCTACAGAAAAAGTCAACATTAAAATTGTATATTGGAACTCTGCTTCATGCCGTCAGACAAATACAGATATTTTTTTACTCGGTTAACATCAATATAGGCATTTTGTTGAAAAATGGTCGCATTCATAGGCATTTCTTTAAAAAATGCTTAAAAAGTCTGGAAGTAATGTATAGTGTAATGTCACAGAAAATTAATATATTAACTGAGAAGGGGAAAAATGTTGGAAAAAATGTTTTTGTGGTTAAAAGAAAAATCTCATATTTCCACCTACTGATGCCTAACTGCAAAGTTGAAAACATCAAGACGCTGCACTTAATTTTAATAAAAGATGTAACTTTTACGAAAAAAATATTCTTTACATATTTGTTAAAACTTTCACTACACCTTGACAACATAGGATGAAACAGAGAGAAATGTTTACTCTTCTACTCCCCCCTGTGGTTCTGCAGAAATACGCAGCTCAGTCAGAGGAAGTTCTTAACACTGTCAATCATTCTCGTGTATGCACTGCTCATGTCTTCCCATTGCTCTTTTCTACAGCACAGCCTATTCACTACACCAAAACTTAATGTGAATGTGCAGGATAATTAGCAAGGCCATAGATGATTGCAGATGAGCAGTTTTTCTGTAATGGTACTTTGTTTCTCTGACATTAGTACAGCTGCATGGTGTAGACGAGCATGATTGACAGCGCTAAGTCCTTCCCCATTGCTCTGATTGGTGGTTTTTGACTAAGTGATGTATTTCTGCAGAAGACAATAGGAACACAGGGAGGAGGCAAAAGGAGTTTGATTTTTTTCACAGATTATTTGTCTCATGTTATACATACTGGTGATAACAAATATGTAACATTTTTTATATCATGTCAGCTGGAAATTTCTCCAATAAAGTCCCAATGTTCACTTTCTTCCTTCTTCATTTTGATGTGAATATTTAAATAATTTCTCTCGACAGTGAGGAATCATTTTCCCATGGGCTTCACACAGCCTGGAACGAGATAGTTCCACTTTTACAGCTTCATCTCAAGAAAGCAGGGATGGCTGGCTTTTCAAACAAATCCCTTCAATAAACTCACACCTTGAATGACTAATCAGGCACCCAGAATTTGACTGGGTTTCTTTATTGGTTATTATATGTAAATGAGTTCAGAAAGTTCTTTAGGTGTGAGCCTAATCATTTATAGCAGTGTCCTCCTCCTTGTTTACGCTGCACTAGTGGACATCCAAGGTCCTCTCAAGGAGACTTGGCCTAATTAACATAAAACTGGGTTCCTAGGGACCAGGCTACTGTGGGGTGAATGATCTTGCCTCTGGTAAGGACATGTTGAGGGCAGCTCCTAACATGCTGGTGTTAATTGTTTCCAGTGTGTGGCAGTGTTTAAGGCCCAAACATATTAAAAATAGCCATGGTCTAATGAAGAAGTGACAGTACAGCATTTATTAGGGGACCAGCTTTTTTTTCGCAAACGACGACAGAAACTACGGTCAACCATGACTTGGGCCTTGATAATGATGGAGACGAGAGCTGACGGGAGGGGAGATGTGAGACAGCAAGGTCTCATCTCATCACTTTAGTAAGATTAGGAGGTGAGTTTGGATGACTTCCCACGATCGATTGGTGGGGACTGATGATCAGATCTAATTTACGAAGCTTCTTGAGACCTGTTAGACTGAGAATCTGTCGAGGACTCGATAATCAGCCAAGCAAGTCCTGCAATCTGCAGTCTTTTTTTATTTTTTATTTTTTTTACAACTGCATTCTGCAATGGGAAGATAAATCTTTTCTTTTTAATTAGAGCAGGGGCAAAGTAAAGCTTTCTTATCACATTATTTCTCCTTTCTGGATGAAAGAAAACAGTTTTAAAGGTGCAAAGAGCCAGATTTGTGTAAGAGTGCTTTCTGGATATAGAGTTGATTTAACTTAGGTACTGTTTGGATTGGAAATTTAATGCTGAAAACACCTAAAAACACCCTTGCACTTAAAGAGTTAAGAAAGCTTAACTTCTGGTTTAGGGTTAAATGAATCTGTACTGTAAACGTTCACTAAATGGCCTGTAAAGAATCAATGTTTGTTGAGCTTTTTTCTGGTTAAAAGAGAATTAAATAAAAGTTGGGGCCAAATGCTTTGGCTTATCCCCTTCATTTTCTGTTGTACATAAGAACCTGCAGCACATTATTTCTGTTCTATAGTCCTTTAAAAAATCAGTAGTGGCGTATCACTTGTTACACATTTACAAAATTGAGCTCCCTGCAAACCGTCACTATTGAAGGTTATGGAAAGGCAGATATGCTGTCTTTCCAGCCTTAAAAAAATTTTGTTGTATCCTCTATGTAATTAAAACTCAGCAGTATAGATACTGGTTATATTAGGTTATATTATGTGTTCTGACTGCCGGCTGTAATCTTTCACCACATAAAAAACAGTTTTCGCTTTTGTTAAACTTTTTTAATTGGTGCTTGTAAAGTCACTGGAAATGATCTTGGTGCAGAGTGCACTATGGGTGCATACAAATATTAGGTTTTTACTTTTTTAAAATTTAATGTACAATAGTTATTGGCCTCATTGTAAATATCTTCCAACCGTGAATAATTAATCTTTGTTTATTTCCCTGGAATCCGTATCAGTGTGGATGTTTGTGCTTTAGAAAATGTCTCCTTTTTTTGTTTTTTTTTTCTGTACCTTTTCTCAAAGCAAAATATGAAAATTTGTTATTTTCCTCAGGATACCTGGTCTAAAAGTCTTCATGTTTCTGTTTTCTCCTGCACAGCCATGCTTGTGTCATTCGTGGGCAGGTGGTCACCTCGGATGGAACGCCGCTGGTTGGAGTTAACGTCAGCTTCATCAACACTCCGGCGTTTGGCTACACAATTACCAGGCAGGATGGAAGGTAAAAGTTGGCCGTCTTTATCTCAACACTGACTCAACCATCCACACAAGAAACAACAGATGCAATGGACTGATATTGCAATGCAGTGATATTTATGTTGTGAAAAATGTGATTTAGCTGATCTGCAGTGACTAAAAGCACAATCGCCACCACAAGCTCTGCCGCAATTGATCTGCTTTGTACTTTTGCCGGGTCCAATTTTGGAATTCTCGGCTCAATTCCCAGAGAAATCAAACAAAGCCCGTCTGGTGCGCGCACAAGTTCTGATACGGTTGGAGCAGAGAGGTGGTAGCGTAACTCGTGCCAGCTCAGAACGCAGTGCAGATGGATATTATTTGATGATGGAGAAATCAAACAATGAAGTTTAGTTGCTTCATACTTTATTTCTTAATGTTTCCTTTTAATAATTATTGAGTAATTTTAAAGGTTTTGTTTTCGTGTGAAGACAGTCACTGTTTTAATTTGTTATTTCTTTTATGTTTCATTGATAACTGAAGTGAAGATACAAACCTGCAGTGTCGATAAGAAGATCAAGAATTGGGTGCACAAGTCACACTTTTTGTTTTTATTAACAAAATTCTACATACTGGCTTAAATGTAAACACAGGCCTCATGTAGCAAACTATACCTCTACCAAACACTTTTGGTAGCCATTATTAAGCTTCTGGCATTATTGTAGCTGTTTATTAATTTTGCTAGAATTGTTGGGTTTGTTTATATGCATTAGTTTATCACTGGAGTCAGTTTGCATATTTTCTATAGGGTTTAAATTGGACCAACTCATTAACTTAATCTTGGTCTGCTGTGTGGAGTCATTGCTTTGTTGGAACTGCTGTGACCAAGTTTGTAGGGCTATCAATTGATATTGATTTGAGGGATTGTTGATAATTTCACTGAATTCCAATCCAGAACCAAGTTCTGCACATAACTGAAATTAAAGTTAATTTAAGTTTTAGAACTGTTGTTTTGGTAAAATGATGTTTCATAGAAATCATTAAAAACTCAACATCTAGCTTGATATTGATTCATTGACTCTAAAATGAATCAATATTAATGACTAAAAGCATTTTTGTCAAAATATAAATAGTTTTTTTTAGAAAGACCGGCTTGAATTTGTTCCATGGAAAAAAGGGAAAACGTTGACATACAAAAAACTTTCATTTTAAACTTTGCTCTTTTCAGGCACACAGTTTAGGATCAGATTGCACAAGCTCCCTCAATCCCCTTTTATATCTCTGTTTTAGAAGGGCTTTGTAGCCAACGAAGCCGCTCTATCACAGCACAACAGGAATCTCTGTTCATTCTCCAACTCCCACTTCTTCCTGATACTTTTATCAGCCTCATACTCTAAAGGTTTAGATCTGCCAGACGTTTGATCTTAATCATTCTTTTTTTCCATCACTCTATTACTCCCTTTCATACAGAAATTTCTCATCTTACCCTCATCATCTTTACTTATTTTGTCTGACTTGCAGTTGCTCACATTTTCCCTTCTCTAATCCTCCTCCTCCCTTAAAGCTTTTTTTTTTCTGACCACCTTCCTTGGGTACAGGTCTATGTCATTTCCACTGCCATGCCTCTTCTCATCTTTATCTTTCTCCGACATTTATGCGTGTTCCATTTTTCTCCATGCATCACTCAGCTTTTCAGGTGAAAAGCTTTATACTCCTTTCCCTCTACCAGCATATGTGTAAACACTCCTCCATCTCCCTGGTTCCCCCCCTGTAAACATGTCCAGTCTCCTGCAACTACCCCTGCAATCACTGTAAACAGGCTCAGTGCAGCGTGAAATCAGAAACGCACCTGTTCACCCACTTAGAAATGAGAAAGCTGTCTCAACTCATTTCTGTGATGTGTTCTTTATTTTCAAAGGGTTTACATTTTGAAATTACCCATTACTTGTGCTTTCTTGAAAAGTTGTTTTGGTCCAAACAAGAGATTTGTGCAGTTTTTTTTTTTTAAATATGTGGGTTGTTTTTTTTTCTTTTTTATATGAGCAGAGCATCAAGGTTGTCCGATTTTATAATGTGTGTCAAGATGAAACAAATCTGTATGTTATTTATGCAGTTTAAGATGAAAATTAAGGACGGACCAATATAAAAATTTAGTCCGATGCGGGCATTTGATATAAATTTTCATATTATTACTGATAACTAATTTTATATGTACATTCATTAACTTTTTGACAGCTTAGAAAAACCTGAACATGTTACTGCCTTTACCACTGCTTCTCTACTTCATTTAATCTCCCCATAATCCTGTGGTACACAATTATCACTGTCATGTGATAACAAATACCACATGACTACATCACATAAATATCGTTTGGTAATATCAGCCATGTATTATTGATCAGACATATACTGAAATCAGTGTTAGTCCTGGTGTACTGTATTGTTGTCCAAGGGGAGCACACCCACCACTTCAAAATCACTTTCATGTTTTGGAATGTCCTAGTCAAAGTCCAGTTGAAAATCTTGTTCAAGAATTGGAAATGTTGATCACAGATGCTCTCTGATCTAATTGGCAAATCTAAAAAGATGTATTTTGAATACAATTGTTACTTATTAATCATTTTGAAAACTGTATAATACTTTTATTCTATTTCACAAACATATACTACTTATATTGGTGTATTACTTGAAATTCCAACATAATGTATTAAAGTTTGCTGTTGTAACATGAAAAAATGTGAGACAAAAACAGGACAAGTGAATCATTTAATAAAGATTTGTAAGCCAAAGGTAGCAGGTTCCTGGGCAACTTTCTCCATTTTGTAACATGGTGTTAAACTTGATTGATAACATCTCCTAAATCCAGTAATTGATTGGCTCCCATGCCCACGGGTGTTTGTCCACAAGTGTTGAGTGTGTGCTTAGCCTGCCTAGTGTCATGCAAACTGACAGGCTGCCACTGCCAGACCGCTCATGGGTCACGGCAATATGTTGGCACCATTGCAACAGCTCTGCAGCCTCCGGACCGCTTTGCTGCTCTCACCCAGCCAAGGTTGAACCACAAAGTGTAGAACAAGCTACTTTTTTTTTTTTTTTTCTTCTTTATCCCTGCAAACATTCAAATACTTACCCTCAGGGGAAGCTTGACATAGCATATTCTTTTTATAGAACCTTAAACCAACAGGGAGGCTGCCTATTTTAGAGGCTTCTATTTGGACCTACTTCTTTACCTGTAATTTAGTAAAGGTGCCTCCTGTGTGAGGATGCGGGAGGATATGGCCCCGTCCCAGGGGCCCGGTAGGTGACCAGGTGCTAATTGGTTCTTAGCGAGAAGTGACAGGAGCTGCGGAAGTCCAGCGCAGGTGCTGCCATGTCGTTGTCACGATGCAGCCTGTTTACTGAAGCTGAGGTCAGAGCGGAGGTACAGGGCCTTTTAATGCAACAGCAGATGGGATTGCATTGCAGGGCTTTTAGACTGATGTTAGCGTGGACAGGCTTCGTCTGAGGGATCAATAAAGCAGTGGCGGCTGCCTTCATCCGGCACCGCAAAGCTCTCTCTGTGCACATAGAAATGAGAACAGAGCACAGTGTTCACACACATACAGATGAAATTGTTAAATCTGCTGTTTTTATTCCCTAACATAATATATTCATACAGTTACAGTGAAAAAATGTGATCTTAGGATTGTGATCAATATAACTCCTATTGAATATTCAGCATGTATGTGCCTGACAGACTGTTTAATAATGCCTAATGCTGAAAATAATTCTTTCTTAATAGCCTTCATTTATAAACCCATTCTTTATGACTGCCTGCCTCATTGTAACCGCAGCAATATGAAAGACAAAATGTGAATCAGTTCATCCTCTGTGTTTTTCCAGCTTCGACTTGGTGACCAATGGGGGCATAGCCATCGCCCTGCACTTTGAGCGAGCTCCATTCATCACTCAGGAACACACTCTGTGGTTGCCATGGGGACGGTTCTTCGTCATGGACACCATTGTCATGCGGCACGAGGAAAATGACATCCCGAGCTGCGACCTCAGCAGCTTCTCCCGGCCCGTCCCCGTGGTGTCCCCGGCGCCGCTCACAGCCTTCGCCGGCTCCTGCTCGGAAAGGGGGACAGTGGTGCCCGAAATCCAGGTGATGCTCCGTCTCCCGCCCTGCTCACTTCCCTGCAGGAGGAAACCTAAGTGGGTCTCTCCTTCAAATAACTCTTGCCTAACAGCTGGGAGAGGATTATTCATAAACTAAAGTGGAAAAGGAACCATGGCTCGTGGCTGTACTGTCATTTTTATATCCCTTGTAAAAATGGCTGAATTGGGAAGTATTCCTTAGCAGACTGGCAAAGTCTGGAAAAGGAGGGAGTTTGACTGAAGTACAGAGGAGATGTTAAAGTTTGGATTAGCATGAAAAAATAAAATATTTCCCATTTTATATTCCCTTCCCATTTTTTTCTTCTTTGTTCTGTCCTACCTTCCAACATCTGTTTCATCCTTTGATCCTTAGTTCCATTTTTATTTTTTTTATCCTACCATCCTTCTTTTTGTTTAGTCTTCCTTCTTTTCTTTCTTCATTCCTTCCTTTCATTCATTTATACATCCATCTATTGTAATATAACCTTGACTGAGTTCTTCTGCTGTTAAAAATATATATCAAAATGAATATAAAATTGATGATTGTCAACTTTAACATGCAATTATTACAGACAAATGTATTTCTAAACCTTATTTTCTGGTCTGTGCATCCCATTATTTTTCAAAGTTTGGATGCAAACTATATTCTTTTTTTTCCCCTCTTCATGACACTTCATTTTTGACTGAAGTGACTTGTAAATACGGTAGTTTCCACAGCATGACTTCCTGTTTCTACTTGAACTATCCAGTAAAATTTGACCGGTAGAAACAGGTTGGAAAGGGTCAATTAGCTTATAGCTCCAAACAGCCCATGCTTTGTCGCAGTACAAATGCCACTTGCAGGTTAGTGCACTCAGATAGAGATCACAGGCGGAGGACACACACATTCTTTTAAGTGCCATGACAGAGAATGGGTAGATTAAGCTGCCTTTTAAAGCAGGGCCCTGCAAAGTCAGTCCTTAAGGATTGGTGTCCTGTATGCTTTGATGTTGTCCCCTTTTACTCACACCTGAATTAAATGGCTAGTTTTGACCTGAAAATGTGTGGACTCCTGATTAAAACGTCCAGATTTTATGATCATTTACAGAGAAACAAGTCAGCAAATATGAGGTTATTGCTTTAACACATGCATGCACCACTTTACTACAGGATTTGCTTTTAAATTTCCCACCCACACATTTGTTTGTCGCTCGCCCACATCTGCGTGTTTTGTGGTGCAATCGCACACTTCAGCATGTGTGTGTGCTTCATTTTGTTTGATCCTGTTTGTCTTCGGGCATATCTCTGCCCTTCGCATGATTGATGGTATATCTGTAAATTTAGTATGCAATTTAGTCTATTCATAGCAGCCCAGTTTTTAGATAGTTCTGATAGTGCCACACAAGGACATCATCCCATTTACACTTGCAAAAGTAAATTTTGATCAGTCAACCACAAATAGCTGCAATCTGTGAGCATTTAAAAATAAATACATCAGAAGTGACATGTCCTCTGACCAATGTCGCTTTGAGCAGCTGTTTTGATTGCTGCTCTACATGTCGTTTCGGGCTGTGGAGACTGGCGACAAGAGGCGATTTAATTTTAGTCCAGAGGACCAGGCCAACCAAACCATTGCTGTCAGTCCTTGAACTTAAATCTGTACACTGTGTAGTGTTGTGTATGAAAGTGCTCATTTACAGCTTCTATCATCCAGCGGTTGATAAAGGTCCCATACTGAAGGAAATTTCCTAAGGCAGCACTGTTATCTCTCACCAAGCTAAATTTATAACTAAATATGTTATTGTACTGAATAGACTCAGAGCCAAAGGGCTTCCTTGTTATGCTGTTGTCATATGCATTGCTGGAGGGACTGCTGTTCTAATGAAGCGCTTGCAGTTATTAAATCTGCTCTTAGAAATGCTCATTGGAGTACTTAAAAAAAAATCCTTCATCAGATACCATTTTATCCAGGAGCATAATTGTCCACCGGTTAGTGTTTCCCAACTTCCCTCGAGTGCCTACATATGGTTTAAGGCATGTAATTAAAAAGCACAAGACAAAAGGCTTTTCCCTGACCAACTGAGTAACATTAATTATCTGTTTTATCTGTCAACTCATCCTTGTCAATGCCTAACCTTGGCTTTTGATAAAAAATACAATACAAATACTCCTGCTATGTAGCACAAACATGTACTTAATCTTAATTTGTCACACCCATCTATTGAAGGTGTTTTTACGTTTCCCTTCTTTTAATAACTTGTGTTTTTTTTTTTTTTTTTTTGCCCCCAGTCTCTACAGGAGGAAGTGCGGATACCAGGGACAGAGATGAAGCTCAGCTATCTAAGCAGCAGAACTCCAGGTTATAAGTCAATTCTGAGGGTGACCCTCACGCACTCCACCATTCCTTTCAACTTGATGAAGGTTCACCTCATGGTGGCTGTGGAAGGCAGGCTGTTCAGAAAATGGTTTCCTGCAGCTCCCAACCTCTCCTATGACTTTGTGTGGGACAAGACGGACGTCTACAGCCAGAAGGTGTACGGCCTCTCTGAAGCCTTTGGTGAGTGATGAAATATATTTTTCATATGGTGTGGGGGTTTTTTTAAATCCAAAGCACATGTTACTCAGCCCTAGTTTCTCATCTTTGCTCTTTTTTTTTTTTTTTGTAGTTTCAGTGGGTTTTGAGTATGAATCATGCCCAGACCTTATTCTGTGGGAGAAGAGGACTGCTGTACTACAAGGCTATGAAACAACCGCCTCCAAACTTGGAGGGTGGACAGTAGACAAGCATCATGCTTTAAATATCCAGAGTGGTGAGTCAAATCAATATTCCTTTGAAAGCTCTGGTTCTCAATGACTTGTTACTTATTACATCAGTTAAAAAAATAATTTTACCAATTTCATTCAAACAGCACATGATGCCGAGGTTGACAAATTTATTCCAATATTCATCCCATTGCTAAGAACGTATCATTTTTGGTTATTTTAAGCAACTCACTGCCTGTGAAAGTACAACAAAACACCCCAAAGTTGTGTAAATGAAGCATTTTCATTCTTTTACGTATTTTTTTTTTATTAAATGGTGACTGGAAAATCTGAAGGCCACCCAAAATTTTGACAAATTATAGTTCACGCATCACTTGTTGGAAGTGTACAGACATTTTTAACTTTAGGCAGTGAGTACAGGAAACTAAATCAAACCAACAAAAAAACCCTCTTCTGAGTATGATTTCTGACCTGAACTTAATACATATCATTGAAGTATATGTAAGTCAGAAAATTTGCTCTCATGAAGGATCCCAATTCTCTTTTGCTTTTAGATTTGATTGTTAAATAAAGAAAAAAAAAAACTTTTTCAGAAAAAAGATGGATACATTTTCTTCTGTGGAATTTTGAAATGTATGAAAGAGAAAAAAAAGCACATAGTTTCTAAAACATTATCATCGGTATTTTTAGTGTAATTGTGTCAATTTAGTACATAAAAAACTGGTCAAGCTGACATTTGTTATGAAATTTATAATTAAAACATTTGATTCTTTATCATTTTAAGCCAGAGTTATGAACATTAACACAACTTTATACCATGCATTTGTTTTCTCTGTGCTGTATGTATTGTAGACTTATTAAACGCGCCACAAAAGCCTGAGTCCGACCTAATCTGACCATCAGGCTAATAATTTTGGCCCAACCTGGCCTTACTTTCGGCCAGGTTGGGCCCATGCCATAAACCCACTTCACATTTTGCTCATGCAAAATCGACCAAATCTGCCACATGTGCTTGATCTAATGGTTTGGATACAGTAAACCAACCAGCATTTCTGTTTTATGTGATTTTTTTTTCCATGCAGCTATGTCATTCAGCTGTAGTTAGATCTGATTTTTTATATTTGCCATAAATCTTCAGGAAGAAGTGGGTCAATTTTCTTATTGCCGACAAATTACTCCTCAAAGGCAGCGCTAGGAATACGTTTTGGCAGCACCTGTCACTAGCAAGGCTTCACAGTCTGTTTTGCGTCTGGAGAGTCTCATCTAAGGAGATGAGGCATACTTGAAAATTGCTCAGAAAGATGGCACTTTGATCTATAAGGCACCAAGCCTGGACATGGTGTCCAGAGGATGGATAGAAGTGCCTCCCGACTTTTTAAACCAGCACTGCCAGTTTCTCCACCCTCACATCCCCTTCCCCTCCCCTGTTTGGCACCTCCACGTCTCATCCATGCCCAGCATTTTTAGAATCATCCCTAATTTAATTGCTGTCAGACTGCTGCTCAGAGCAGCAGCAGTCCCAAAGATTAAATCACGTCCCAGGAAAGAGATGCTTGGCTGATCGTTTCTGATAGCCCACATGTTGTTCTGCTCTGAGAAGTCAGGTCACCGAGTACCATCAGAAGCAGAAAATCCGCCGCAGACATCCAGATGCTGAATTTCAAATATGATTACATTGACTGACCAGCAGGAACAACTTTACATTTACATATTTGGGGATTTTCCAATGATGAATTGGCACCAATGATGTGAAAAATATCAAAGCTGTCCGTATGTGTGTTTCTGAGTCCTTTACTATGAAGCCCCTGAATTTGGAGTTAGAGAAATGGGAACAATGCAGGTGTGTTGTTATTGCAGTCTGTATGATTAAGATTGTGTTTGTGAGGTGTATTTTTCTTGCTCCAAGAGATTTCACTCGAGCCACAGCTCTTGGTTCCCATTTTGGCGTGAAATTGTGCCTGTGTTTTCATCCACTGAGATGACCTCTTATTGCACACACAGACCCGCCTTGCAATTTCCACGCCTTTCGCCACAGATACAAACCTATTTAAAGTCACATCATCTTCTAATCTGTCTTCAATTACATTCTTCTTTTTACATTTGTGATCCGATCAAACTTTGCCACAGTGTAAGATTGAGTCTAGAGGTAATAAAATTTCTCTTGTATAAGGAGGATAAATTGAGGTCGTTTGTATTGTGCATTTATATGACTAGCAGCTACCTGGCTGCTGTCTGTGACTTTAAAAAAGTTGAATTCCTTGAAGTTCATAAAGATCTCAATTACAAATGAAAAAATCTAAGTAATAAAAATGTGACTACATACAGAAAGTAACCTATATATTTATTTATATGCAAAACTATATCAGTTTGAACATACTCATAATTTTTCTTCTCTTTAAACTCTGCCAATGTCCATTATGACACTTTTATTGGACAGCTTAGAGCCCCTTGTTGATTGACACCGGATTCGACCAATAATGTTATGAAATGGCTTTTCCTGAGCCAATAATATCCAGAGAGCGACTTGAGCTCATTTTGACATGCCTGTATTATTTCTGGAATATTTCTGACTGGGCAATGCGGAGACTAAATCTAAAGCCACAGATGTGTAGCCAATACGTGTCCTGTCATAAAGATATTAGGTATTTTGCAGTTTGTTTTGACAGGAATCCACCAGCTGCATGCGTAACCACACGTAATGTGTGTTTCTATTCTGAGTCAAAGTCAGGCTGTGCGCTCTCATGTGTAAAGGTGTCATTGTACCACTAAAATTCGGGGGGGGTATCATATCGTAAGAGGGGGCAGGAGGTCTGACTGTACACTGACCACCTCTCCGTCTGTCCCTCCCTCGCTCTAACAGTGCTAAATGCTTCCTGTATTCTCAAATCCAAAACTTGACAGAAATCCTATTTTACTCATATAATTATAAGTAATTTCCACTATCAGTAATAAAGTGTCTATCTAAGGATTCCTCTGGTCATTATCTTTCATTAGAGCCCTCATTAATAACTGTATGTTGAAGCACTGAGGAGTTCTAATCATTTGAAGTTTGTATATCAGGTGTTGTCCGAGTGTGCCATCTGGAGACGCCAAATGGAGACTCCGAATGGCACACATGGACAACACCTGTACATCCTCAGCAATAGACATGTCCAAAATAACATTTGTTTTTATGCTATCTTGATCAGTCTTGAAATCCACGAACAGAATACTTTATTCTACAGATTTATTGTATTTTGCAGTCCATACATTCAACACTCAATGTGCATTTACAAGAAATAAAAATGACAAATCTGGGTGAAGCAAAATCTTTCAATTTCTTTTGTGTTACAAACATAATAGCTACAAAGTACTTACAGTTAAAGTATTTTTGACTGAAAAATAGAAATTTAGCTTGTCATTTTCATAAAGAGACCAAGCTTTTGTATGTACTCCAAATTGTTCAAGAACTGCAGCTGATTGAATTTGGGAATGCCTTTTCAGCTGTTTTTGGTGATTTTGGTACCGCCAGTTAAGAGGTGGTAAAGAAAAAAGTTATCGTTAATTATTGATTGATCTTGTGATGTTTTAGAAAGAGAAAATATAGAAATTTGTTGGAGAATTGAGCTTAATGGACTTGCAGTTTTGGTTGCAATGAAAATGTTGACTTAATACAAATTAATGTCAACCTTTTTTTTGACTTACTGGTAAAAAAAAAAAAAAGATCATCCATCACTTTGCAATTCAACTGCCTTATTTAAATCTATAACATGAATCACAATAAAATACAAATGCGAGTTTGTGGTTGTTAATTTGGCACAATAAAAAAAAAAGTACACTTTTGCAAGATATGATAAATATTGTGGAAAAATCTGAATGTATCCATTGACCACAGGACTTTAAATTTGTTTCTCTTGTTGATCAATCAAATTTTATCTATCATTCTGGTGTAAGAATGTAGCCTCAGTAGTCACTTTACAACAGTGACTACTGAACTGAAGTGCTTTCCATTAGTGCTGTAATAAAAAAAGAAGATAAAAGCAAAGAAGATGGCATTAGTAGGAACAAAAAAGTATCCCAGTGCCACAATGTGCTGACGGCAGTTCCAAACAAATGCGTGTTTACCTTAGTTTTTTCATAGTTTTGGACTTTGACCTAGGGACTTCTAAAAGAATTTGGTCAGCCAATCAAAGAGCCCTGACTGGTCAGAGTGCTTACAATGCACAATGCCATGAGCAGCATTAAAACAAACATTATTTTCCATTTTCTTGTGTGCAAAATAGATGTTTAAACTCTGCTAAGCGGAAAGTGCTTTGCAGGTGTCACTTGGGTATTTTCTGTGTCCTCATCAGGCATTCTTCACATGGGCAACGGAGAGAATGTGTTCATCTCCCAGCAGCCACCCGTAATCGGCAGCATGATGGGAAACGGGCGCAGGCGCAGCATCTCCTGCCCCAGCTGTAACGGCCTTGCTGACGGAAACAAACTCCTGGCCCCCGTGGCTCTGGCTTGCGGCTCAGATGGAAGTCTGTACGTGGGCGACTTCAACTATGTGAGGAGGATTTTCACCACAGGGAACGTCACCAGCGTCCTGGAGCTGAGGTAACTGAGGAGCAGCCTACCAACATTCGCTCAGGACTACGAGCAGCTTAAATGGGCTTATACACAAGCTATAAACTACCTAGTGCAATTGAGATAGACAGAAATGCCCTAAAGGCAGAGGATTGATGGTCTGCCTCTTATTCACCTGCATCAGCTGGCGTTTGGTCCTTCGAAGGACCTAAAAAGGATGTAATAGGACTTCAACAGATGATGTCCTGGAAACAATACAGCAGTTTCTTCTGCCATTTAATGTGTTCACAGATATAGATAAAAGAATGTATATAGTAAAATTTTTCTCTTGCTTAATTCCATCCACTTCTTTGAATTTTTCTACGAACAACTTACCATTTCCTCTTCTTTCTGTTCTTTCCTCTGTCACTTTTCCTGCTTTTCGTTAACTTTGAAAGAAATAAAGACTTCAGGCACAGGTAAGCCCTACATAAAAAGATTACCATCAGCCTGTTTGTTGTTACAATTCCATTAGTTTTTGTCTTTGTTGGATTCACAATTTATGAACAGCCATCAACATTTAAGAGTGAACCAGTTTATTAGGTACATCTCGATACAGTTTAACATACCCAAAGGAGAACAAATCTTCACTTTTTACCTTTCTACTTTGTCTCTCTTTAAACAAGCAGCTGGTGTAAGAATGTAGCCTTGAAGGAAAGTGTTTAAAGTTCTGAATTAATTAGTACAATATCTTGTTATGATTTGTTATCCATATATCTTCCAAATAATATCACAACTTATGTTCCTACAGTTGCATCTTGGGGTACATTTACATCAGAAAAGTCTTTAGATCTGCAGACTTTTTTCCCATGTGATCTGGTTCGATTCTCATTGTGCTATTTCACAATCAGACTTAAATTTGTAAACAAAAACTACCTGTTGTGCACATTTGTTCCACTATTGCAACAGAAAAATTATTTTTAATGTCAAGAGCAGCTCATTCAATGCTGTTTTTGTGGTGAATTATTTCTAATTGTGGAACAGCGCCAGCTGAATGAGTGTGCCCTGACTCTTAATATGTTGGCAGCAGCATCACTAAGCAGAAAACAGCAGATCAGGTACAGTTTCATTGCAATTGCTACATGCGGCAGTTGCTTTAGCAACATTGAATGGCATATTTTTACGATAATGCTCACCAACAGTGGTGCGTAAAGCCAAAAAGACATACACTTCTTGTAGCTCGTTAAGATCAAGACTGGACTGCACCAGATACTGAGTTCACAAAATGTCAGGACCAATGGGGGAAACAAACATTGACCTGAAGCAGACCAAATGTGTCAGATATGAGGACACATTTAAACGAGCAAGACTTCTGTAACATTAAGCATTGTAACAATGTTTGGTGAAAATTCAGCACAAATGTTTTTTACTAACGTTCAAGCACGTTGGTGGAAGAGTGATGATTTGGACTTATTTTACAGCCACATGATCTAGGTGCCTTGCAGTATCCAAAAGTTAATTCTTTATTTTTCTCTGTAGATGAATTCTTATTTTCTTTACCACAAAGTCTCTGCACCCTCTTCAGAAATTCTCAGCCAGGACTTTAGAGAAGCAATGTCTGCAGAATGCCAGATAACTAGACTTGCAAACACCCCTAACCATTTGTTGAGCACAGTGGATGTGGGATGATGATATTGCCTTGCCTTATAGCCACTGAATCAGTGTAGTTCTCAGTCTACAAGTCAATTTTCAACTCCGCAATGATGCATTGTGGAGTCAAACACGAAGCCATCTGTCCACCAACTGAAGATCATCCACACCTGGGTTCTTAAGCATTTAAGTTGTCTTATGAAAAGAGTTGGGTCAAAATTTAGAACTTATAAAACAATTCTTTGTTTAATCCAAGTGTGGAAATGTAGAGTCTTCTGACAATTTGTTGAGGCATGAAACCGTAGAATTAAAACCAGCTGTGGTTTCATTTTGCTATATCTGCAAGTGAGTCTAACAAAATGACTATAGGTAAAGATTTTATTAGTAGCTTAAGATACAGACACCTCATTTTCCATGGCAGGAGGCAGCGAGGGAAATCTCAGTGTGCCCTCTTCAGATGCTGTGTCTCAGGTGAAGGACTATTGATTGATTTTCTGTCTAAGGGCCTTGACTTAAGCTCTGAAACACATAATACAAATGAAGATAAAAAGCAATGCAATACTTGTCACTTGCTCTTGTTTTGTATTATTTTTCTGTCACTTTATTTCTCAATTTCTTTTTGTGCAGGGGTTAAACGTTATTTTCTTTTTACACATTAGCTCACACATTATACATGAGCTCTGCTCGCAGGAGCTCCACTAAAGAAATATTGGACCTTCAGCTCGTTAAACTCTGTGTGCTACATTTGCATCTTAAAAAAGGAGATTTGTCCAGGAAAGATACAAGTGTTGGTGTAAAATGGATGATCACTTCCTGTTTATATGACAGCTGGCGATAGGATTAGGAACTGGGTGATTATAATTTTCTAGAGATCTAGCTAAGTATATCCCCATCCTCTACAACCAATTCCACAATAGCATGCAACGAAATCCAATGATTTTCCACAAACAGTAAGAAACCACTTACTGAGATTTACTACTAACCAACAATATTATGAGTATTCAAAAGTTAGAAAATCATTAAAAGGTTGGCAACAAAACACAGACCGTAGAATATAAAAAATAAACATAAATTTGATGACATTATGTAGCATGTAAATTATAATTTCAAAATTAAATTAGGCTTCAGGGTTGCAGTCTTTCAAGGACAGATATGATTTCAGTTGATGTTAGCAGATTAGCATTAGCTTCTGCTAACTACCATTTCAGTGTAGTTTCTGATTTTCTCTGAAATGGTACAAAAATTGTACTTTGCTTCTTAGCTTTGAGACAGTATAATCTAATTTAAATACATAATTGATATATTCCTCTTTGTGTATTACAGCCATAGAATATGATGTTCATTTTTGGCATTGAGTTGGATTGAAGTAAATGAACTTTTGATTTATTGAGATGCATTTATATTCTCTTTGCCAGCACATTATAACTGACTTGTGTTGAAAAGCACCCAGTGTGTCGCTTGGGTCACTGGTCGTGTTTCGACACATGTGCCTGAGGTTTGCTGTCACCACTGATACACTGAAGGTCAAGTGTCATTTAATATTATGTACCCGAGATGACAATAGCACAGACCCACTCTCCTTCCCTCTTGTATTTTAGAAACATAGGCTAGTGGTGCTGTCACGCTAAAAGAACCCCCAAGGTTGAACCTGAAATACTGTCTTAATCCACTTTGAATGATACCAAGATGACAGGCCTCTCCACAAAGCTTATCTGTTCTGGCAGAATTGTGCCATACGTTGACAATGATAACTGTCAACATGTTTAATGTGCCAAAAAATTTTATTTTAATAAATAGTTTCACATATAAATATTTTCAGTTCAGCATCATAGAGTTGTTTAGCTGTGCAAAACGTTAAACCAGCACTCAATATTCACTCATGTCAAGAAAGAATATGCTTAAATCAAAACCTCCATATGTACTGTAAAAGGCATTCAGTTATTTGTACTAACAGTGCTACCACATTTATTGGCACCTGAAGAAAAGCCCTATGGAGGGAAAAAAAGTATATTTTTCTATTTTATTGGTGTAGCAAAAATAAATTTTTTTTGAAAAATCTAGCTTTATTTTGGGTACGTTAAAATATTAAGTTAAAAGTCAGTCTTAATCAAAATCGCCTGTGGCGTTGTTATTGGTACCGAAAACCAATAACGATACCTTTTAAAATGTATTTTAAAATTTTTATGTTGTTCTTTGTTTCAATTATTGTGTTCTTATGAATGCCACTTGATGCAGTAACTAATTTCTTGTAGCCATTGGGCTTAATGAGGACCCATTTTTATAGTCTGAGAGCAAAATGGAAGGACAGATAAAGAAATCATCAAAGCTTACTGCCAGTTCAGGTACCAGGCCTCCATAACAATCATTGCATGTCGCGACAAGCAAACTTTTTAAAAGCTGTTCAACACATTTGCTGAGGCGCATCTGCACACTGATGACATTAAGTAGCTATCAATAGTGGCAGTCAAAAAAGAAAACCACATAATTTCATGCACCTACAACCAGATTATGGGATTTTTGGACTACAAACTCACACAAGTCTGCCTAAGGTCGTCAGAGTAATATTGAGTTTTTGGTGACAAACACTTCCTGCACCACCGTCATGTTTATCAGAGAATATGTGATTCTGTTGGCCTGTCTTTCAAAGTTCATCTTTGAGCTACCAGAAGATTTTAAAATGAAACTTTAAAATGGCCTTTAACAGAAAACTGAAAATTAATCACTGTTGGGTCTTTCAACAGTATACTGACCTTTGGCCAAATAGGTGATCAAATCTGCCCAATAAATATTTCCCCACACAAAACTTTACCCCTCTTCAGTGGCCTCTGCAGTCCCCAGATATAAATGCAATAGAAAACCAACGAGTTGAGTTGACGAGAGCATAAGAAAGGACCCTGGATGATTTCAAGAGATTACTACAGCAAAAATGAATTTATTTCAAGGCTTTTTACGCATCTTTACCAGGGGGAGAAATAAATGTGGCAGGCGAGGTATGTTTTATAAGTCAGAAAATATCCATCGATTTTTCTGCAGAGCCTTGCATCTATCACAGAATGCAGCAGATTTAACAATAAAAAAGTCCTATCTGTCACCTCATTTGTCCTTGTATGGATCCATAAACGGCTCTCTTTTGCCATCTTTGTTTTTCACCATCTATCTTCATTTTTGGAAACCAGGAGATTTTATGTATCTTGGCTGTGTTTGGTTCTATTGTCTGTATGTCTGCTGAAAATCTCGCAGAGTTTAAAGGATTACTTTGTTGATTTTGCTGGAAATTACACGGGATATGTTTCTGCGCAAAGATATCTGCCTGATGGATGCCTAATGTCTTTGGATCTTTGGTTCAGTATTATTTGTCTTTTACCAGCAGTAGCAAGGTAAAAATAAAATACAATGCATTTGTATTTGAAAGAGTAACCAGACTGCTGCGCTGTAATGGCTGATTTCCCTTCGTTGTTTTCAGATGAGATAACAGGAATTTCCTGTCTCTCTTTCAAGGTAATAAATAGGATTTCTCTCAAAGGAACTACTGGGCTCAAAAGACTGATACCCATCCAACTGTTTCTTTTCTTTTGTATTCTGAATTATACTTGAACTGTGTCATTGTAATTTGAAGGGGAAAAAAAGGGTACAAATCTATTTTTATGGTTCGTTTCAATTGTCCAGTTTACAAACAGAGGCCCTTGATTCAGACTTTACTGTAGATTACTCTACTCCTACGTCACGTTTAATCTCATTTCAGTTTGTCATGTTTAATCTCATTCTATTTTTTTCTTCTTTCTGTGTCCTGGTTTTAAACTGTAATTGTGCCCAATTGACTCTCTAAAAGGCTTTTGAATCCATTTTAATTGTATTACACAATGTTTCTTATTGAAAGCGATGTAGCTGCTTCCAGTTTTATTGACTCCTTCCCCTCCTCTCCCTTCCCTTTGCTCAGCAACAGCCCCGCTCAGAAGTACTACTTGGCCTCCAGCCCTGTGAATGGCGCTGTGTACCTGTCCGATACAGGAAGCAGGAAAGTGTTCAGGGTCAAATCTCTGACTGTTGTGAACAATGTTGCTAAGAATCTGGAGCTGGTGGCTGGAACCGGTGACCAGTGTCTCCCATACGATGACGCTCGCTGCGGGGATGGAGGGAAAGCTGTTGAGGCCACGCTCACCAATCCCAGAGGTAATGTTTCACCCGAGCTGGAATTGACTGGAAAAGCATGGAAGAGTTTGGAAGTTAATGTAATTTTCTGATCTCTGTAAAAATGGAAAACAGGATATAGAATACTTGGAAACATACATCTATCTTTACATTTTCATTCTTTCATTTGTTCCTTCCTTCCTACCATTTGATTTAGTTTTCATCATGTTGGTTCCTTCTTTCCTTTGCTCCTTCCTTTTTCATCCTTCCCTCTTTCCTTCCTTCCATTCTCTTTATTTTTGCTTCTTCCTTTGTTACCTCAATCATTCCTTCTTTCCTTCCTTCCATCCATTCATCCTCCCTTACTTTCCTTCTTTCTTTCTTTCTCCAATTGTTCTTTCCTTCCTTTTCTCTCCCTTCATTCTGTCCACCGTGGCTGGTTCCATATTTAAATCTTACTGTAAAAGTGTTTTCCATAAATCCATCACAAGTTTCTGCTTTTAATTGATCAATTGTAACAAGTAACACTATAAACTTTGAATTTAGAAAGTTGATCCATTTTACATGAAAGATTATCTGGAAGACTAATTTTAAACCAATCAGATTTTCTCATTTAGTATGAAATGTGTCCGTTTCTATTAATAAAACATACATAAACTCATATAATATGTTACAATTAAAGCAGATTGCACCAGTCAATCAGCCAGAAGATGCATAAACCTTACTGCTGCGGGTTTAGGTGTAATTTAATCAATCCGTATAGTAATCATCATCTGCTCAGATGGTTCTATTGTTCTCCATTACTGATTACAAAATCAATCCTTGCATTACTTTTCATTGGTACAATTAGTGCTCTACGTTATTGCAGCTGATACCTCTTAATTGTCATTTAGTAGTGCTCTGTCTTCGCATTGGTGCAGATAAGCAAGATGAAACGGATGGATATTTTCTTCTGTTCTTACAGTGTGACTTTTATCTGCAGGCATTACGGTGGATAAGTATGGGGTAATCTTCTTTGTGGATGGAACCATGATCCGCAGGATTGATCAGAATGGTATCATCTCCACTCTTCTTGGCTACAATGACTTAACCTCCGCTCGACCTCTCAGCTGTGATGCCGTTATGGACATTTCTCAGGTATGGCCTTTCTTTTGTATGCCTTCTCATGCTCTTATCTATTTTCTGCAGGGTTTTGACCCTTTACTGCTATCTAACTTAATTTACCTGCTGATACAGACATTTTCTGAAGCAGAATTATTTTGCGTTAACATTTTTCTTTTTCAAAGTATTGTATAAGCTAGTATGAATAAGACTCACAGGTACAGTCAGTTATTCTGCTCTCATTTAACATGTCTTTTAGGTGTTGTTTTTTTTTTTTTTTAGAAAACTCATATTAAATCCAAACTACAGACTGTTAAGGAACAGTCAGGGGAGTTTGTTTAAACTACCCTTTGGAAAGTGAATTAATTTCCCATATATTTGGAATTTTTTGGGAAAAAAATGCTGCTCATGACAACTTGAAGGGAGAGCTATAGAGGCCTAGAAACTTGGTCTTTTCAAACATGTGAAACTTTTTTTAACCGGAAGTGTTAAAAAAAATCTGTCATTGTGAAATTAGACTGAATTAGTGTGGACATGTTGGAAGTACATCCAGCTCCAACATGACAGACTTTGATATGGGGCACAGGTGCACACCAGCATCATGATAAAGTTATAAAAGTTGCTACATTTGTTTCTCATTGTTTTTTGTAAAGGAGTGACTAAAAGAGTTAAAAACTTGTTAAACACAGTGACCCAGCTGATTAGTTAGTTGCAGGAACTAAAATCAATAAACAATTGCTTACTGTAATGTATGTCAGAGTTTAAGTAAACTAGTAAGCTTGAAAATTACATCAGTTTAATATAAACATTTGTTGACTGAGATCTTATGATAATACTGTGCATAAAAAGTGTGAACCATGTTGGTTATAAACTGAAACATTAAGAGAAACATCTGCTGAAGTGGATCGCATTTTGGCTGATGTTCCTCAGTCAAGATATCCTGCAGGTTAACTCATCTGTAGCAAGACAAGATACACAAGTCAGTCTCAGTACTGGCTCAGATTGATCTCAGTCTTCTCTGATCTACTGGAGCATTTTCTTTTTCTCCACTGAGATACTCGTTTCTGTTTCTAGCTGCTCTCAAACTGTTTTCATCAAAATTAGAGATATTTATAATAACTTGGCAATTTTTTAAAGATGCTAAGGGAGAAGAAGAAAGTTATAATTTCCAAATATATATATTTTTTAAATTGTTACATTTTTAGTCTGATGGAGCAGACATATATGAGCACCACTAACTTAAAAGCTAGTCATTTTTAGGGAATAGCCAACAAACAATTTTTCCCTGAAACAGGAGCAGAATTATGCAGTGCATTTCATCAGACAGCAGATATACCCAAACCACAGGCAGCACTGTTTCCAGTTCTACTCTGCTACCTACACATCTCCAAATGATTCAAGCATTTAGCTGGTTTTACATATTATTGAGCACAACTAGCAAACAGTTGCTGTGGAGTGCCAGATGAAAGTGGGGGAGAAAAAAGCTTTTTCTTTTTATAGGATTTCATACACTCAAGCAAAGCCTCCAGCTGCCCATTTCCAGACTCCCACCCCGAGGAGGGGATTTCATCCCTCCTGCCACCCATGCCTTACCTTTTCTTGGTTCTTTACCTTTTCCCACACACAAGCACCTATATGTGCTCACCTTCCCACTGCTGCTGCCGCGAGGACACATGCAAGCTGGGTGCAGCTCGACAATGATGACAAATCACACGAGCACTGCCAGAGACACTCAGACAGTAAAAAGCATCCATTAAAAATTCATCCAGAGCACATGGGCTCCTACTTCAAACACTCTCTGTAACCTCGCTCAGAAATGGGTTTCTCTAGAGAAGGCTTGTGGCAGTGGTCATTACTTTTGTTGTGTTCCACACCTGATTTAGCCAAGAAATACTGTCAGATTTCTTCCCTCTCCGATGAGTTTGTTATCTTGCTGTACCATTTCTCCTGTGAGGAAACTGCAGCAAAATCTTTCTTAATTCATCTCTTTCATCTTTTTTTATTTTTATTCTCTTTCAACTTATTTTTTATTTTGTTGCAAAACAACAAGAGTTTGAACTTTTTCAAAAGTCTTTGTCCGTTAACACCATGGACCTAGATTGTTCCTGTTTTGGATTTTCAGTCTGTTAGATTTTTGCAAAAATGAAAGACTTGCTTTTCTGTGTTCCCTGCTGAGTTCAGATTTTAGTCAAATTAAAAACACAAACCTCCAGACTGAATAATTGGAATATTTTCCTAAATCAATAGAAGTTAGATTTAACTTTAGAAAGTGAGATAAAATGTGTTTTTATGTTTTTTCAGTATATGTAAAAATTTGGTTAGACACATCTTCTATGGCCTGTTTTGTCTTTTTGCTTATTTCTAATTACTGTATCAAAATCACTGGTTGAACCACAGCAGAGGTCAATGCAAAATTTTATCTTTATAACACTTACTTCCTTTCCTTTACATTCTTTTCACTTTCACTCTTAACTGTCCTCAGTTTGTTGTGAAGCAAAATGCCTTTGGAGAAAAACAGAGCTTAAAGTTCTCTGCGACGTTTATTTGAAAACAGCAAAGCAGTTATATCTTTCCGATATTATTGACAAAAACAGCAACAATACCCAAAGTTTATTTACTGTTGTTGACAGGTTGACAAATCCCTCACCACATTTCTCTCCTGAACTTTTATACAAGTCCAACATTTTTTTGCTGATATTTTTAAGACAAAATTCAGAGAATAAGACAAATGTGTGCTCCTATAACCTGATGATGTCTCCTGTGTCTCCAGAATCACTGCAGCATCTAAATAAGTTTTACAAACTGAATTATGTATCTTTGACAGAAGCAGTTCATAACCTAGAATTCAGAAACTGCTGTCTTGATTTGTTGCTCACCTTGTTTTTAAAAATTGGTTTTAGCTGTGTTGCTTCTGAAATATTGGAGATTCCAAGGGTATGTTCACTCCAGGCCTGTCTAGCCCCTCTGTAATGAAAACCTGGTTAGTTTGTGTAGAAAGTCTGGTTCTCCTCACTGTTTACAATTTTACAGGAGTTTTTGATCAAAAACTCAGACTAACACATGGCAGAAGACCTGCAGCACTGCATAACTCTATGCTCTAAACAGCAAGAGAAAAGGCTTCCAAGTCTTAATGTAATATTTTTTATAGGTTATAAAGCCCTAAAGTCATTTAAACATTCATTTTGGTAACCTGTTCTGGAATGCTAGCAGCTTTAAAGAGATTTATCAAGTTCACAAACTTTGACATTCAATTTAAATTGAGAATTTAGTGAAAACGACATCTTATTCTTTCTTTGATAAGCTTCCAAGCCCTATAGAAAAGAAATGGCTGAAAGAAAATAGAAAATCCTCTATAGGCTTCAAGTACCAAAAAAAACAAAAAAAAAAACTTGGTGTTGGTACTAATCTGGGATTTGCTCCCCCACCTCATGAGCATTCTTTTGGAAGTTTTTTCCTTGGGGTGGTGTTGGCAAAAGGCCTATCAGGCAAGCATTAGTGACAGCAACCCCACTGTATAAAGTGCAGGCTGTGATCGGGTTACAGCATGTGGGACGACAGCTCAGGAAATATCCCCTCATCAGTCAGAGTGGCGTGAAAACCTCCTTACAGGCAGGTCCCCTGAGCTGCTCCACACTCAGGCTCATGAAATATTTAACCAGCAGTGTTGACAAGAAATAGGTTTTAAGAAATTTAAAGCCCTCCCTCTTTCATTACCCAAGTAAATGCAGTTTTTTGCTCACTGAAAACTGACATGTATCTTCTGTCAGTTGCCCATTTGTTGCATGTGATCTATCCTATTATATAATCCTCCCCGATTCCTGTGAAAAATGACTGGAGGTTTATAGGACATGAGCTGCATGTGATGCTTGAAGTTGTTTCTCTTTCCACTTGGACTTGATGTCCTGTTAGATTCAAATTAATTATTCTGGCAGCATTCACTTCTCAATAGTAAAGTAAAGGGCTTATGTGTAAGTCTGACTTATTTATTTTGTTATGCAAAGGTCAGAAAGCTGGGAAATTTGTTACTCCTTTGTATGTCCATAGAGTTGTTGAATTCCCTCTTTATGGGCAAATAGCATTTTCAGTAGCACTTTTTGTATTTTGGTCCATGATTTAATCAGCAGCCTTCCTGTGAGCTCCCAGGCTCCCGGTGAAATATGACACTCTAGATTATGTTTCTTAGTGATCCCAGTGGGACAATAAGGGAGAAGGAGGCCAGTAAATGGGATTAATCCAATCATTTCAATTTGTTAAAAGCCTGACACATTGTCAGTAGAACAATAACTAATAATTCAAAAAGCCAAAGGCAGTGCAGGCTTTTGTTTGCTGAGGGTGTTCCTGTCTCTTTTCAAGGACTTGTGCTGTTGTGTTATAGCAATAATGATAATATGGGGAAAAAAATCATTCCAGACCCTTGAACTTCTCATATTTTGTCACATTACAGCTACTTAAATGTTTGTTTTTACTGAGAATTGTGTGTAACAGATCATGAAGCAAACTGAAAACTTGGTCTGAAAATTGTGGCATGTATTTTTATTATTTTTTTTTACACAAATGAAACTGGAAGCTGATTTTTTCAAATATATATTTTTGTCCTTCTAGGTACGCCTTGAGTGGCCAACAGACCTGGCAGTGAGCCCCATGGACAACTCTCTGTACGTTCTGGACAACAATGTTGTTCTACAAGTTTCAGAGAATCATCAAGTCCGCATTGTAGCAGGCCGCCCCATGCACTGCCAAGTACCTGGCATTGATCACTTTCTTATGAGCAAAGTGGCCATCCATGCAACTCTGGAGTCAGCAAACGCCTTGACTGTGTCACACAATGGTGTTTTGTACATCGCCGAGTCTGATGAAAAGAAAATCAACAGAGTGCGACAGGTGTCCACCAATGGAGAGATCTCTTTGGTTGCAGGGGCACCAAGTGGCTGTGACTGCAAAAATGATGTCAACTGTGATTGTTACTCTGGAGATGGAGGCTATGCCAAGGATGCCAAGCTGAATGCACCCTCTTCCCTTGCTGTATGCCCAGATGGAGAGCTTTATATTGCAGATCTTGGAAACATTCGTATTCGCTTTGTTCGGAAAAACAAACCCTTTCTGAATCCTCTCAGTATGTATGAGGTATCCTCTCCAATTAATGATGAACTCTATCTGTTTGATTCCAACGGCAGCCACATTTTCACACAAAGTCTGACAACAGGAGACCATCTCTACAATCTGACCTACACAGGAAAGGGAGATATAAGTGGTATCACAGATAAGAACAAGAACACAGTGACCATCCGACGAGACACTACAGGAATGCCTCTGTGGCTAATGGTCCCTGATGGGCAGACCTTTTGGTTCACCATTGGTACTAACAACGCCCTTAAAACTGTTGCTGCACAGGGTCAAGAACTAGCTGTAATGACCTACCATGGGAGCTCAGGACTTCTGTCTTCTAAGACAAATGAGAATGGATGGACAACTTTCTTTGAGTAAGTAATATTGAGAAACATTTCCTATTGTCTATGAATTGATTTTAAAGTTATTCAGCAATGAGAGCTTACAGTATTGTTACAAGATTATGGGACAAAATAAAGGAAGTTAGCAATGGGCGTTTGTGGTGCATTAACTGCACCTCCTGTAGAGAAGATTGTTTAGACTCGTAATAGGAATCAGGATTGGTGGGGTTATCATGTTATGTTTCAGTGATGCAAACTTCTTTCATAATTTTGTTATTTTCAGTCATTGTTTATGTTAAGGTTTACCATGTCTAGCTTCCTCTGGTGCAGAATTATGTCAGTGATGAAGATAAAATGCAGTATGACCATTGAGACTGCAAATGATTTAAAAACCATTGCATATGAATCCAATTTTGTAACATATTTGGAAGTGGCACAAATCTAATATTGTGACAAATTGTGGGAAAGTTGGATATGGGTTGCATTTATCTTCTGTGTGAACTAGGAATTAATCTTTATGTAGGTCAAAAAATATGTTTAAAATTTGACCCATTAGTTTACATTTTATCTAAATATAACTAAAACTAAGGCATTGACTTTTATCAAATTCACCCAAAATTCATTTAAACCACATTTAGATATGAATACAATTAATACAATTATCTTGAAAGCTGTTTACTACTCCACTACAATTTCACACTGATTAAACATTAAGCCACATTGTCTAGAGATCACCTCTTGACTACAAAATAGGTAAAAAAAAATTAAAAAAAAGAATTTGCTTCCTATGTGAGAAAAGTTTTAAAAGATAAAAGGGATGTCCTGGGTGGTTAAACTAACCCCACATATCACTGAAATCAGTGATATGTGGGGTTACAAGTGTCTTCCAATGTTATTCTGTGGATCAGAAGCCGAACAGGCTTGGGAATTTTTAATCAGGGATTCTCACCAAATAAGTAAGTGATTTTATTCGACTGATTTGCACTTACTGCCTTACTTTCACCCCAAATTAGACGAGGTAAAGATTGTGAAATTTCAGTGTGAGAGTAACAGACTTATGCCTCCATCTCAGCTTTTGATTCTTTTTTGTCATCCCATGTTAAGACGTTTTCGAAGAAGACTGAATTTAGTGTTTTTGGCATATGAACTCCCCTCTTATGGCTGGATGTCAAGTCCGTGAAAATGCAAGACCTGTGGAAGTATGAGTGTAATCCTATTTGCTGTTATCATACCAAATAGGATTACCGGGTGATATGTTACTCATCTGCACCCGTCCTTGCAGTGACAGACTGCAGACCCTCTGTTGTTGGATACAGGATGGATAGAGATGCATCTGCTCGGTAGAAAATTTTAACCCGTAGGGATGTGCAGGCTGATTAATGTAGTCGTAATAGAATAGCCAGAGGTAGTAATTGGCTGAGGTGAACCACACATTGAGTGGGAACAATTGAAAACCCTCCCACACTCTTCGGTATATGAGCGCAGGATTTCATGTTCTCATGATTTGTGCTGAGCAGCCTGTCCCTTATCCTAACATGCTGTATCAAAAGGTGGGAACTGTGCTAACAGGATGTCATCCCAAAACATGTGATTAAGCAGATTTGCCATTCAGACATCTGTCACACCTCACTAGTTAAATGTAACTTTGACATGTACTCAGACGCTCCATTTAATATGCACACACATTTATCACCTGTGTTTGATTCGGCTGTCACCTGAGATGCTTCGAATGATAGTGGAAAGCAGTAATGCACCCAAATATTTGCATTTCTAGAGGTAGACAAAATTGCCTCTGGCCACAAAACACACACTAGGTGTTTGGAATTTTAAGTATATATTTTTTGACGTTCTGCAAAACAGTTGCGGTTATTATTAGATCCGAGCCGCAACCTTTGCTTATGCGTAAAGAAACAGCAAGATCATAGAGCAGAGGTTGCACAAAAGATTTTTTTAAAGATGGAATAAGAACAGTTTGTTTTCAGGGTCAGAATTTCTTGTTTGTGTGAATAAACTGACATGGAGAATAAGTGTAGCACTTAAGAATATTCCAGTTTGATGTTAAATGTTAGAAAAAAAAGGCAATCTGTTTACTGATATAAAACATCAGTGATGATGTTTTCAAAGGGAAAAAAAGGTTAAATTAATATTGAATGAGGTCCTCCACTATTATTTCAGTTGTGTTTTCTCCTATTTAATGCTTTAGGCATCTTTAAATGTTGATTGTCTAGTGTAAAGGACTGATTGACCACTGGTTTTCAGTCCAGAATTCAAAACACTTTATTATTATGCACTCCAATTATCCCAAAAGAAGGAATATAACATTGTCTGATCAGCTAAAGATTTAAAAATGCATTTTTTATAAACAGGATTGCCTAGTGGTGGTAGTAAATGTGGCTTTTGTATACTTGTAAATAAAATAGTTATTTGGAAAAACACATTTACATTGTAACATCACAAGAAAAAAATGTGCATTTATAATTGGTAATGCACATCAATAACAGCACCTCATTTTGTTTATTTTTTTTTCTTCAAATGCATATAAATGACCATCAAGTTAACTTGTTTGTTTTTAATCTGTTCCTTTTACCATGACAGCCATACAACAATATGCAAAGCAGAAAGTTGCCTTGAATATTTTTAATGCATTGAAATAAATAAATCTGGATTAACATATTTACAAGAACTTTTGTTCCTAAAAAATATCCACCTTTGTATTTTTGGGGTTTGTATTTTCCTTTGAAAGTTGCACATTATGGCCTGCTTGAAACAAAGGAGAGATTCAATTACTCAATGTCCTGCTTCTTGTCTTTCAAGTCAAGCAATAACTTTGTTTTTGCCTGCAGGCAAATCAGTTCATCCATGTTTTATTTAGACCAAATAAAGAGCATTTGTTTTTCCTTGAATAATTAGCGTTGAAGGTCAGAACACCACCTGAGGGTCTGACGCAGAATTCGCTGCCATCAAAACCACCATTTATCTCCATCTAACAAAGTGCCCTGCTAAACATTTGCTGGTATTAATAATTATGTGGTTATATCCCGTGCTGTGTAGATCAAAGGATATTCTCATTAGGTGCAGATATAAGACTCAGAGTTGACTAGGGAACAAAAGATGTCTGCTGAATTTTCTTTTCATTGCAACCCTGGGCAACCTCACTTCCATTGACATTTATGGTATTCACAAACACACTTCTGACCCTTTGATAATTTTATCACTACAATCAATGTTCCTGAAAACCTTTGACTGTGTCTGTCAACCTGAGAGCATCTCAGAGAGGATGATTTTAAAACACATGGGACAATATCTTCATGTGTTGCAGGTTTGCATCTGTTTAAAAGTGGATATTGTAGTGACCTCTGACTGTCGCATATTTTACACTCTACTATAAACATCATACAACAAATTATGGCTGCTAATGGTGATAATTGTGAGGGCTTTGATGAAGAGAACTTTGAGACCAACTGTAGGAAATTGGAGGGCTACTGTGCGACTGACTTTAGTGTCTCTTTTGAGTAGAGTATCTTCCTACAGTTTGAACTGTGATCCAAGTATTTATTGTTAATCAAAGTGGTTTGAGGTCAAATACAATTTCATTGTATTTCTGCAATAATTTGTCTCGTCATTTAAAAAAAGATTTTTTTCAAGAAAACAAAACAGTGTTTACTATAAAATAGAAAGTTTATGTGGATAATATTTTTATTTTCTTGACATAAGTAATATACAAGCATTAATAGTCCTTAAAAATGTGGATATCACACACTAAGTTAAACACAGCAGATCTGATGCATATTAATAAATACTAATTGAAACTGTTGGCCACATTCCTCTCAGCTTGGATGCAGTGCAATAATTTCAACAGCCAATAGAAATGGAGAGAGGTGTTGAAAAAAGCTATATTATGCCTCTGTGGCGTAATATAGCTACAGAGTTGTCTGAAGCAGCAATGTCGAACTCATTTTCATTTTGGGCCACATTAATGACTATTAATGTCTTCAAAAGGCTGATTGTGGCAGAATGTATTGATAAAACCACATATTAACAAACTATTAAAATGTTACAGTTTTCTATGCATTCAAGAAGTAGTTCTTATTTTTTTCACACTGAAGAATTTTGGTGCTATACAAATGCAAACTGATTAATAAAACATTTAAGAACATAAGTGATATGCTGAAGTTCTGTTTCCACAGAAATAGTTATGGAGAGCTATATTTAGCCCAGAGGTCTTGAATTTGCCACATACACGCTCAAGTATTTAGCTTTAGCTGATGTATCGTAACAATAAGCTTTGAGTTTTTTTTTTTTATATGCCCTCAAATTCAAGGAAGCAAGCAAAAAAGCAAAATAAGAGAGCCCCGCGTAAAATTGACATTTACTGTGCTGCAGGTGATGCTGACATGAAGTGTTGGCCTATTGTTGGGCCCTAGCGTGAAAGGTCATGGAGTTAGCATTGTCACACAGAGCTGATGCGATCCGAATAGACTCATGGCCAACCATGGGGAAACAGTTCTCTTCTTCTTTTGAGCACCCTGCCCCTGTGTGCCCCTCTTGTTCAGAGAAAGCAAACTAATGGGCAGCTGAGCCGAGGCAGGCAGCAGCCATTAGCAGCTCAGCTAGCTAGCTCACGGCTTATAATTGAGACAAAGAGAGTGTAGGTCAGTGATCAAGCCACCTAATGTGAATAAGATTTGTCTACTGGACTTTTGTGAGAAAAGCAAACTAGTTGAATAAATTAAGCAGTTAGAATGTACAATTTAGATCATGAGTAATGTATGCTTTCAACGCTTAAGTTTGTTTACAAGATGAACGCAGGGAGGATCATATGCTTAGATGCTAATTACGGTGCTATTTTCTATTTCCTGAAGTGGAAGAAATGTGCATGAATCTCAGTGCCTTGCACCGGCTTGGATCAGATAACATTTATCTCTCTGAGATGATCCTTCTCCCACTCTTCCTTTCCATATTAGACATTTGAGATGGGAGCACTGAGGAAATATCTGTAAACCAGCACCCGCCATCTCATTTATTAGAGGCTTTATTGTAGCAGGCAGCAACATAGAGGAGGGCGTTCTAATACGTATTCAGTGCACAGATAAAAGTCTTCATTCTAAGTAATGCACTGCTCACTCACTCCTCAAACAGGCAATCTGAAAGATTTCAAATTGTTCGATGGCGACGTGCTCTCTGAGCAGAATGAAACAATCTGGCCACTCATGTTCTTGTATGTGATGAGCTGATTTGTAGGCTAGAGAGAGAGAGACAGCATCTCTGAGGATTTGCACTTCAGTGCTCCTTTTTCATAGGCTGCATAATGAGATTAGGTGATGTTGCTAATCTTTTAAGCTAATAAGATGTTTTCCAAATGCGAGAAGGTGTGTGCTTTCTCACCTTTGCTGTGAAATCTTTCTCTTTAGAAGAAGTTTACCCCTTTCTCCTGTAGCATTTCAAACACAACTAACAAAAGCGGACATTTGAGGCAACTTTGGAGTTCTGCCATATTATCCAACAGCCACTGAATTAAAGGTAGCTGGAAAATTGCCATAGACGTGTTACTTCAGAAAAAGATTTTTTGTTAACTAAAACACTTTTGCTGATTGTAGGTATTTCAAACAGATAAAAATACTTATTCACACTCCAAATTCTGACATAGCATTCATCAGTGAACCCTGTTTTACATGAACATTATCTCCTGCTGCCTCATATGAGACCCCAATGTAAGTGCAGATGGCTTTATATAAACAGCAAGATCAAACAACAGCTTCATCATTATATTATTATGAAAGACCAACATAATTATTTAAAAACACTACTTTGTTTTAGTTTAATTGAGCATTTATTGAGGTTAAAAGAATGTGCAGGCCATTTGAAATCAGCAGAAAAATCTTGCAATAAAAGGTAGAAAGATTTATTCAAGCAATGCTTGATTACAGGTTTCTATCATTAGAAGTTAGGCATTATGAAGTAATTGTATTTATGTTTTTTCCCATGTAATGTTGAAAAAGATAAAAGCTTCAAAATTATATGGTTGTATAATTACTCCTCAGACAATTTTACTTTTAAAGCTTGTTGTGCCATGACAATAAATATTGAGTTTATTATCTTTTCCTTTCCACACTGGTTCATTTGCTTCCTTCTTCTAATCACTTTTTCTATTTGTGACACCAGGAAGAAAAAAAGCTACCACTGAAATATTTTTTTAACAAGGAAGTTATAATTGCTGAAGTAGATGTCATTTCTCTTTTAAATTGGTTCTGTTCCCTACAGTTGATCCTTATTTCAAATATTCTCTATCGTAGGTACGACGGTTACGGGCGATTAACCAACATCACTTACCCCACCGGCAGAGTGAGCAGTTACCGCACAGAAGCCGACAGTTCGGTCCGCATCCAGACGGAGGGCTCCAATCGAGAGGATATCACAGTCACCACCAACCTGTCTGCCTCTGGCAACTTCTACACACTTTTGCAAGGTGAGTGTCTCCGTGATGGGAGTCAATTTTTTGTCTCAGACCCAAATTCGTTGACACAGTCACATTGTGACAAACTTAGTATTTACATTAAATTGTGATCTTTATTGAAACATGGATCTGAAAGAATAAAATGCGATTGCATGAGTAATATCCGATAGTGTTCACACAATAAACAAACATTTTCACGTCATGTTACACCCTGAATCTCAAATGGATTTTTGGGATCTGAGGTGATAAACCAGCATATGAACTAGGAACACTTGGGAATTAGTGGGGATTAGATGAGATATATTTTAATGTGATAAAAGGGTTAACGCCATTGATCGCCTTTTTTGTTTCTTTCACATACAAAATTTCCAACTGGAACTTTTGTGTTTTTGTGTTTCTGGTACGCCCTCAAATATGACACACAACCAATAGCAATGGACAACAAAGATGCCTTTCTTTATCCTCTGGGGGATCAATTTTACTTCAAAAGCAATCTGATGGGACGCTGGAAAAAAGTATTGTATGTGTAAGTTGTGCTAACAGGAGACAGAGAAATTATTCAAGCTTAAAATGCCACTTCAATGCAGAACATGTTGCAGTAAGCAACGACGCCCGCAACGTTAATGTCAGCGTCCAGTCCACATTTCTAATGTCGTTTTTCACAGAAAAAGCAGAATGAGTAAAATAGCATTTTGCCCAAGTATAATGGTTGAGTGACCAAAATAACTTACTAAAACATCTCTTTTTTTAATGATTTTAAAAAGGTTTTTCAGTTGGAAAACACAGTCTATGCTTAAAAAAGTAAAGGGTGAAGAGTTGTTCTGACAGGAGATGTGTTCCTCTCCTCATAAATTAAGCACCTCGTCGAGACTGTTTGGTCATGGCGTACACTAGATTCTCTTTGAAGTTAAACTCCAAAAGTTATATCTTTAGTGACGTTGGTGCTGTTGAGACTTTGCCCCAAGGATGGCCTCAGTTTTTCTCCTTACTGAGCAGGTTACTTACTTGTAAAGATTGCCTGATTGTAGTAAATTACATATTCATGCTTAAATTACAGCAGTTTTGGCTGTACAAGAAATGAATTCCCTGCAATGGACTAGCAGTATGCCTAACCTTGCCTCTCGCCCATCGACTGCTGGAGATAAGCACCTGCCTCCCTGCAACTCTGCAAGGATAAGCAAGTTTAGATAATGGATGGATGGATATTCACCAAATTTTGAAGCGCACCATGAGTCTTGGAGCTGTGGTAACAGTGGTGTCTAACTCCTGCTTTAACTCAGGAAGGCCTGCAGCTCCATGTAGGAAGCCTCAAGGCAAACTGGTTTCAAGAAAAGAGCTAGGGGAAAAATAGCTGTCTTCACAGACTGACCCTCTTTGAGAACTTGCTGCAATGGGAGTACCCTGTGGCTCAATCTGTACTTTGGGAGGCCAGACTTTAAACAGCTTTAGCTAAAGCAATACAAAGGAATTTCAACCTCAAAACAGCAATGAAGTGGATGAATAGAACCAGCATGACTTTGTGTTTGATATCAGGTTTTGACCTTTTCAGACGCAATTCATTCACACTTTTGTTGCAGAGGAAATTAAATTTGCCCTCATTTTACAACACTGAGACAAAGGCAGATGACTTGGGTACAAATCTCAGAAAACCTTTATAAATGGTACAACGCCTGGTGTGTGACTGCTTTTAAATCATCGCCCGTAATCAAAGCCGTATTTCTTTTCTGTTCTATTTTTAAGAACATGTGTTAGTGAGCATCCATTTCCCAGAAAGGAAAACATAAAAATTGATTTTATGTCATAAAAAATGAATCAGGAAACAGTGTAGGTGGTCCTTACTAGGCCCTCCAGGAAAATTGGTGAAAAATACAACTGAGTGGAGATTTTGTAATGCACTGTGGCAATAAACACATCTTGTTTAATCTGACTTGACACTAATTGATCATTAATAGCTGTGATTTTTAGCTGTTAGTTAACCTGTTCCTCATGATCAGAATCTGAACTTATCCTTTCTGAAACATAAGATGAAAATCTTCACTTCACTGTTGATCAAACTAAAAGCTTCTGTTGAATGATCCTGACTTATGCATTTGTTTATAACTATAGTAGCACCAGAAACTAATCTAATTAATACACTGCTATCTATGTACAGCATCCCCATGCCGGTGACAATATAACATGTTTTGTTTCTGTTTTCATAATTATTTCAACAATGTGTGAAACTGATTGGAAGAGAAACTCTAGATGAACAATTCCCATTTTTATTTTCTCTTAAGCCACAGGAAAAATAAGAGGGGTCATGGTTTACTAGTGAAAAGTTTTCTTATCTTAAAAATAATATCACCAGTTACATTTACTTTGTAGCAGTGGTGATCATTGCTTGCCCAAAGCAAGGAAAAATAGCAGAACCATGTTTACAACTACTCCAAAATATGCCAGTGTGCAGTTATTTTGATTAGATTCAGGAAAATATAACTGGACATAGGCTACTCTTTTTAGTATCTTTAGAAAAAGGCAAAACAATACCTTTCTTGGTGGACGTCTATAAGATACTCAGAGGTAACATTACTAACTGGTCTTGAAGTGGAACATAGGCGGCTGTCACCCAGGGAAAGAAGCAGGCGGGTTCAGATTTATCCCCTGTGAATCTGTGCGAATGTGCATGCCCTGCCTTCTCTGTGGCCACAGGCAAGCTAGCTGCTTTGATAGTTTTCATCTCTCAGTATCCTCCAGGCTGCTGCAACAGCTGTAAAATTTTACTTTACTGGTGCTTTGAAACCTCACACTATTGATCTTTGTTGTCACAGACTCAACGTTACCACAGTGGTTCGGTTAAATACTGCCGCTAAAGGCTTTCCTTTTTGCTGCGCGGCCATTTTAGGTCATTATACTTGTGCCTCACAGAAAGAAATATTAGATATGCTCCTCTTACATCAGCTAGACTGTTTCTTCCCTTGTAACACTTCTAATATCTTCTCTACGTCTTCAGAACAAGTTCGGAACAGCTACTTTATTGGTTTGGACGGTTCATTGCGGCTTGTTCTTGCCAACGGTATGGAAGTCTCTCTGTATACCGAGCCCCACCTGCTGGCCGGGACGGTCAACCCCACTGTCAGCAAGAGGAACATTACCCTGGCCATTGACAATGGCCTCAACCTAGTGGAGTGGAGACAGAGGAAGGAGCAGGCTCGTGGTCAAGTCACCGTATATGGACGCAGATTGAGGGTAAGAACACAGCTTTGCAAAACTGACATTGTTTTATTTATATATCATCTTTCACCTAATAAATTACAATAATTTATTAGCTCAGAATTGGTAAGATAAAGAAGTTTCCGCATAAAAGCTGACTTTTATTTGTCAGATGGATACAAGACTGGAGGAAGACAGAATAAATACACTCTGAATTTAATTGCAGTTTTAGGTCAAAGTGCTTATTATGTGGGTATTATCACTTTATGACACTTTGGACTACATAAAGCAGCTGTAGCAGCTGAGATTTATGCTTATGTAGCAAAGCTGAAGTTGGCTACCTTACAGACGTTGGCCTTTTAGCATGCTAACTGCACTCTAAGAAAAGCTTTCTCTGAGTACTGTAATTGACAGGACTCCTTTAGCTTAGACCCCATGACCGTCGAAACAGCTGAATTTCTTTCTTGTAAATAATTGAAAAGTGTAGGAGTGACTGGCAGTGGACTGAAACAGGTAAGCGAGGAGCAGTGCACTATTATTTTGCTCCATAAGGCCAAATACAAATGTGGTTACTCCAGAACGTTCTATGAGATGTTACAGATTGAAATTACTGTAAAACATAGGTATGATATGTTAATACGCCTCACAGCAGAAGTTTTTCTTTTACTACTTCAAAATAAGTATTACTTTGCTTGTTTAGCTAAACATGTTAAATAAATGTGTTGTTTTGTCATAAACTTACGAAGGTAAATTATGTGTTTGTGCTACATCTCATTCTGACATGATGAGCAGCTGATCCTCCATATGCAGGGTGTGCTGTCCGCAGTTGACAATGGAGCAGGAAAACCAGCTCAAAGAAGAGCTGCGTTGTACTGTGCTACAAAGCGGGGGAAAAAAGCACCATCATTTTTATTTTTTTTTCTGAATTGTGCCCTGTGAGATTCCAGCTGGATAAGGACCATTTGAAGCTGCTGAACAAATCTGGCCACATAAGAATGAGTTGCTGCCAAAGTCCCCCTGTTGTTATTTACTCTCTAGAAGCACTCCAGCAAACTCTTATATTAAAATTTCATCCATGAGCAATACGAGACAGAAGCTCTTATTATGGCTGAGGGAGCAAACACAAACGATACCATGTGCTGCTGGCATGGAGACTGTGTAAATTTCATTCATTCATTTGTTCATTCATCTATAAATGCCCACCTTTAAATAAAAAAAGAAAGATAAATCCTCAGGCTAGTACATTTGCTTTTCTCCTGCTCCCAGTTATAACCCAGTATAAAGCTTTAAAGTGAGTCTGAAATACCATCTAAAATCTTCTTGCTTTCTGACGAAAATTCATAGTTATGGCTTCCTGATTTATCCTGAGTTTGATGTCAACTGACAAATAAAATCACTTTCCTGTGAAAATGTACAATTTTGATTACTTGTGAGTTTAGGATAATAAAAGTTGACTTCATGAGTCCCTCCCTCATCAACCTATTGTATATTATTATTATTATTATTATTATTATTATTATTATTATTATTATTGGTAGTAGTAGTAGTAATAGTAGTAGTCCCATTTTTCAAAATTTCTCCATAAACTCATTCAGATTTGGTGCTGAAGAACAGAAACTGCATTTTTCTGGGCATCATAATCTTGGTTGAATGAACAACCTGTATGGTGGAGCCATTGTTATATAGAAAAACCTCCTTTACTGCTGTTTGCTGTAAAGGTTGACGACATAAAATCACGCTCGCATATCAGCGGATTTATTAGTTTAACATTTCAAACTACGGCTATAAGACTGAGTTGTGGACAGCAGTTAAAGTTGAGGTGTTTTTGTTATATCCCTCATAATCACAGGTTTGTCACGTAAAACTACCTCATGGTCTGAACAACTTGAAAAGTATTCAAACCCTTTTAACACATTTTACATTTCTTTTACATAAGCTGCTAAATGTCTTGATTTTGCAATGTTTCTGAAATAAAATGTGGTGCACATTTTGAGTAAGAAGAGTAAGAAGATCTGTATGTTAGTATGTTGTGCAACTAGGATTATTTTTTTTATGGGATGTTTCTGCCATCTTTTTCAAGTCTTGCCACCAAATCTTAATTGGATTTAGATCAAGACTTTCACTGGATTCTACCTTACAGACGTTGGCCTTTTAGCATGCTAACTGCACTCTAAGAAAAGCTTTCTCTGAGTACTGTAATTGACAGGACTCCTTTAGCTTAGACCCCATGACCGTCGAAACAGCTGATTTGATTTGATTTAAACCAGTGTTTATCAAAGTGGGAGCCACCTGGAAGAACTAGGGCCCCCTTAGAAAGCTGGAGGGAAGATAAAAAAGAAAATGCAATAAAGTGTCTGCTAGAATGACACATATAAGACTTCCTTTTGGTTTCTTTTTTTGTTAGCCACCTGCTTAATAGTTTTCAACATTTTTCCCACCTGAGCTGTGGATTGCTGCAGCTGCTCCAGTTACCGTCGGTGTCTTGGCCGCTTTTATAAGTAGCACTCTCCTTTTTCAGCCTGACAGTTTAGGTGGATGACCAAGTCTTGACGTGTTTGTTTTGGTGCCGTTTCTATTTTTTTCTCAATGCTTAAAGCATAGGAAACTGTTTTATCATTTAATCCTGCTTCATTTTTCGCCACACTTTAATTCATGTTGTGCACCTTGCTCCTTATGAGGCTGTTTGTTCACTACTGTTCTCAAACTGTTCTCAGCAGCACATTGACATTCATGCTAAGCCTTTTTTAGTCTTTTTCTGATATTAAACAGATGCTGGGTAACAACTCTGACCCATCTTTTTGCTCTGATTTGTAGCTATCATATCTGAATTGAAATTCAGTTAAATAATATGAGACCAAATTATTATCTTCACAGACAACCAACAAGTGTGTTTTAAACCGGAACCCGTTGGCAAAGCATAATAATGCTCTGCATGTCTTGGCCATGTAGAGCCAATAGAAACTTGGTTTAGACTGTCTCCTCTGTTTCTGGGAGGCAACACTGCTAATGGGGAGGTGCCACTTTCTGTCATTGGCTGTTCATTTAATGGTCCTGTCGTCTCCTTTGGAAGCGAAAGCGTCTAATGTACGTTACAGACAACGGCCCCCCAGGGTTGTGTTGTGAAATGGGAGCAGGCCTAATGGCAAATACAGAGGGGATGAACGAAGCTGGAATCATTGAGCGACCTTGAGTGACATGTCAAGTGATATTATGTGGGCAGCAGGGTGAGAGTGTTGCAGCGTGCGGCTGGAGGGTCGCAGGGTGGGGGCGTCGGAATACAAAACAGATATGCAGCTGCTTAGCTCCGACTTCACAGACATCTGTTGTGAGCAGAGGCGACAGGGGAAAGCAGGTTCCTTCTGTCTGACTTCCAGTTTGTTCCTCTGACCGTCTTTGTTACACTGTGGAACTACACTCGCTGGATTTTGCATTTCTGAAAAGGCTGCTTTTCTTCCTTTTCTGCTGTCTCGCGTCCCTTTCAGGCTCTCCATCCCCTCCTCAGACTTCCCTTTTGATTTACATTCATGAGGCACAGTGACCGTATCCCTCAACGATAACAAACCCTCCTCTTAGATTGGGCAGGTTGTTAATTTACAATAATGAGAGAACCCTCTGGGCTGCTGCTTTACCATCGCAGTGCTCTTTATCCTCTTCATCACTGAATACAAAACAGAGACAAAGCTGAGACCTATGTCATAACAGCTTAGGATTATCATAGTGCCTTATCATGTGGAGTTCAAAAGAGATACAAGTTAGAAAAATGTTTTCCTTTACTGCAGTGAAAAACAACATAACTGTTGTTATTGAGGAAAACACCCAGAGGACTAAATAAATCACCAGAAATGATTAAAGGCAGATTTGTAAAATGACAAACTTAGACTGTCATTTGATGCAAAAATCTTTCCTATTGATTTGGAGATGTGATGTCCCGGTAATATGTTATTCACAGAACAGTTAGAAATCTACCTTTGTGAGTGTAGTAAGCTGCAACTATCTTCTTATTTTTTGCTTCCTCTCACTTATTTCCTTTGAGATATTCCCTTAAGAGACGGCATCCAATTTGAAAATTATTCCCCATGAGTGGGCTTCTGTTCTCGTGGGATCTTTGGATCTCTGCTGTCAGATGCTTTTCTTTCCTTTCTCACCTCTATGAGATGAGTCTGTTGGAAATCAGCTCATGCGGCATGATAAACTTTCTCTAACAGAAAGTAGAGCTCTGTTGCCTTGGAAATAGTTTGAGACACTAAGGACTGAAGTGTCTCAGTAGATATGGAACGGCCTTTTTCTTTCCCATAAAAGAAACCCTAAGGCACATGGTAGATTGTCTTGGAAGAATTATGTTTCTTCAACTTCATCAACATCACGTATTGCGGTTTGGTTTGTTAAATTTCATCCGTTGCACATAAATTCCTCTTTAACCCACCAGACTGCAGAGGTGGACTAATGCCTGTTAATGCATATTTAAAACATACCTAGGATTGAGTTGTGTTGGTTGACCCGGTCAAATTCTTTGATTTTTCTGTGTAATATGAATCCAAATTATTTGAGTAAAATACACCAATTTGTAAATGCTTTTGGTCAAAAAAAAAAAAGCAATTTGGAAGGTTGAAATACCTAGCTGCAATGCTACCTTACACGCTATATTACCTGACATTTGCATTGCAGAGGTACCAATGTGTGTCAGGATAAATCTGAAAGATAATCTCATTGCTTCTTAAAAATGAAAGTAAGGCAAATGCCAACACAGACCCCTGTTCTCATTTCTTGACTAAATGACCTTCATCTTTCTCAGGGTTGGAGTTGAATTTCTTTGACTTGCTCTAAATATCCATAGATTGCTCCTGCTCTTAACTCTCTTGGTTTTACTTAAAGTAATCCTCTCAATTGGGTATCAGTGGCATTAATTGCCTCTGGTGTAATTGTCCCTTCACAGATGAGAGACCTAAGCATGCATTCCTCGGAGTGAGATTGAAAAAAGGGAGGGTTTCTCAGCAAGCCCCCATGTGACCTGCTCAGTAGGATGATTCAGGAAACTAGCCAGAAGCAAACTTCTGAGCCACTGACATTTCTTATCCATGTCAGGCATTTTTATCAAGCCACAAAACAAAGGATGCTGTAAGGTTAATGTGGGAAAAATCATTCATTACACAGTAATGGCCAATTTGGCTTTGATCGGCTCTGACTGGTGAGCATCAGGTCAAATACTGAAAAATACTGATTTTTTTTTCTGTTCATTAAAGCTAAAGCCTCAAACTTTTTAAGTATTTACATCAACAAAAAGCATTTTCTTTGATGCACTTATATCCCTAAAGGGTAAGGATATAAGCTTTGAAGCATGAATGGGGATCATTTCTTAATCCCTTCGTTTCCTGTTGGATTCAATATGACTATCTCCTGCAGCACATTTTTGTTGTATAAGTATATATTACATGCATTCCTTTAATGAAAGGCACCATTTTTACACAATGTCTGAAATTGAGAAATGTATATTTTTAAAATGTACAAGAAAGAAGGCAAGCACAAGGCTGCCAAGAACACAACCAAAGGTTCCCCAAGAGTGATGACATTCATAACCCTGAGCTCTGGCATCAGTGCATTAGATAATAATGATCCAAGATGAAAGTAGAGAAAGTTAAAACTTCAGTTTATAACATAAATCATGTGGGGAATTTATCTGGTTAGAAAAACTAATTCAGGAGAAATTTTGTCTGAGAGCAGCAGCTTCAATACTTAACTAACAAAACTAACAGTGTGGTCTAAAGGCTGTGCTATGATGCTTCTGCTAAAGTTTAGCAGAAGCACTTTATGATCAAGTGCTTTTGCTAGTTGATCAGAAGTTGGCAAGTTGCTAACTAAATTCAAATACTAAAATACAATGTTTTTGTGTTGCTTACCATTTCTGGAAAGAAAATAAAAATCACTAAAATGCTAATAGATTAGTGTATGAAATGCTATTGTTGTGCTGAACCCGTAGCAAAGATTCTGCATCTTATGGTCATCACTTTTCATGGTGTTTATTTCCTGATTTGAGCAAAGAGAAACTGGAGCTTATTGTTTTCTCTCAGATCACCTTAGCTACTCTCTTTGCACAGTTGTATTGAAAGATGTTGTTTTCTCCTTTTGCAACTTGCAGAAATGTCAAAGTTACAATGAAAAGAATCTGTGACTCATAAGTATTTTTCAGTGTGCAGAGAAAAAGAGTTTTGATGATCAATGTGACTCTAATGTCTAACTCACAATAGAACATACTTCACTGTGTCTTAACACAGACCAATAATTTTTGAAATTCTTCATTACTTTTTTGCTCCTGCTGGCTTGAGATACAGCTCTACTGTTAAAATTAAAGGCTGCAATAAGAACAAAAAAAATAATTCCTTTATGATCAAGTGCTTCTTCTAAACTTTCTCCTTTTAAAAAGTCATGCACCACTTTCTTTCCAAAATATCAAACATCATTAATTTCATAACACTTCCTGTCTTTTGTCCACTAGGTTCATAACCGGAATCTACTGTCGCTAGACTTTGATCGGATCACCAGGACAGAAAAGGTCTATGATGATCACAGGAAGTTCACTTTACGAATCCACTATGATCATGCTGGTCGGCCCACTCTGTGGGCTCCAAGTAGCCGTCTCAACGGAGTTAACGTCACTTACTCCTCTGGGGGGCATGTGGCGGGGATCCAGAGAGGCACCATGTCTGTCCGCATGGAATATGACGTAAACGGCAGAATCACGTCCCAGATATTTGCTGATGGTAAATATTGGAGCTACACTTACCTCGAAAAGGTAAGCACCTTTAAACTTTTAATGAAAATAAATATAAAGCTGTTATAAATATTGTAGAAAAATGCATGAATAAAAGCGTGTGTGCATAGAAAAGTTGACAGAAGACAATAGAGAAGATATAAAGATGAACTCGCAATTCTCCAAGCTGGTATCTGCAGCACACATAAAGATTCTTGCACAAATATCAGCCAAAACATAATTAAAAGTGTCTGGTGCGTTGTAGACATGATTCTTTGTTACCACACTCTGGCAGCAAAGTTCAACCAGAAATAGCTCAGATGAAAAGAACAGCAAGAAATGTCGCCTTCTGCTCTCTAATTAAAGGTATGATTGTGAAAGAAGAAAAAAGAGCTGCTGTTCTCCAGCTTAGACATTTATGATAAGAAACGACAGCCAGTCACATTTTTAACAGCCTATCATAAGTTTTTCAGCAACCTGGAGAGACAACCTTGTATATGATTTAAAGGCATCATTTACTGCTTCTAAAATGTGCCTTGCTGAGTTGGGAAATAGTTACTTCATGCTGTTCAGATCACAAAAGCTCACAGGTAAAAAATGAGAAAAAGCATGTTTATGACACCATGTAAGAAAATCTTAATGGAGGAATAAAAACTCAAGTTTCTTGGTTTGAACTTCATCTGAAAATACACAGCGCTGCATGTTTTGGATTGTATTTACAATTTTATTGGGATTGTAAATACAATCATATGTACCGTGTTACAAACAAAAATTTTAATGTATTTGATTTCACCAGACCACCACAAAGATATGCATCTTCCAAATCTTCTCAGTTTGGAAGATCTCGCATCTTCCAAACTGAGATGCGAGATATTACTCTAGGTATTTGGTGGAGCCACTTCTCCAGTGTGGAGATCACTGCCTCAACTCTTCCAATGTTCCTGTTCAGCAGAGTTGCCATCATATGGTTATCTCAGGATCTTAGCTCAGTCGATCCCCATCACCTTGCGAGGTGTGTCCCGCTTTGACCTACGGGTCTTCAGTTTGTACTCTTTACAGCAGGGGTGCTCAAGTGCAGTCCTTGATAGCAATTATCTTGCAACTTTCAGATGGATCCTTGCTTCGACACACCTGAATCAAATAAATGGCTCGTTACCAGACCTGTTAAGAGCTGATCCCGGTTTGCTGGAGCAAGGATGCGTCTAAAAGTTACAGGACCATAACTCTCAAGGACTGGATTTGAGCAGCCCTGCTTTATAGATGTTTCTGTACACTATACTGGCCACTTGGTTAAAATGTTCCATCTGCCTTATAATTTGTTTCTTCTCTCTCCTTGCAGTCCATGGTACTGCTTCTCTACAGTCAAAGGCAGTACATCTTCGAATTTGACAAAAACGATCGATTGTCTTCCGTGACCATGCCCAACGTAGCACGGCACACCTTGGAGACGTCCCGCTCTATTGGCTACTACAGAAACACCTACCGACCACCTGAAGGCAACGCAACGGTGCTCCAGGACTACAGCGAGGCCGGACAGTTGCTGCAGACCACCCACCTGGGCACAGGTCGCAGGGTCATCTACAAGTACGGCAAGCTCTCCAAGCTACTGGAGATCCTTTACGACACCACACGGATTGGTTTTTCCTACGACGAGATGGCAGGGATGCTGAAGACCGTCAATCTCCAGAGCGAAGGCTTCACCTGCACGATCCGCTACAGACAGATCGGCCCACTCATTGACAGGCAGATCTTTAGGTTCAGCGAGGAGGGCATGGTCAATGCAAGATTCGACTATGTCTACGACAACAGCTTCCGAGTCACCAGCATGCAGGCGGTCATTAACGAAACTCCGCTACCAATCGACTTGTATCGCTATGATGACGTGTCAGGCAAAACAGAACAGTTTGGCAAATTTGGAGTAATTTATTACGACATAAATCAAATTATAACCACGGCGGTGATGACGCACACCAAACACTTTGACGCCTACGGTCGAGTGAAGGAGGTCCAGTATGAGATTTTTCGTTCACTCATGTACTGGATGATGGTTCAGTATGACAACATGGGGCGTGTAGTGGCCAAAGAGCTCAAAGTTGGACCTTACGCCAACACAACACGCTACACCTATGAGTATGATGCTGACGGTCAGCTCCAGGTGGTCTCCATCAACGACAAACCCTTGTGGAGGTACAGCTACGACCTGAACGGCAACCTGCACCTCCTCAGCCCTGGGAACAGTGCACGCCTCACCCCGCTACGCTACGACATCAGAGACCGCATCACGCGCTTGGGAGATGTGACGTACCGAATGGATGAGGACGGCTTTCTGAAGCAACGAGGGAACGACTACTTTGAGTATAACTCAGCTGGTCTGCTGACCAAAGTATACAACAAAGTGAGTGGGTGGAGCATCAAGTATCGCTACGATGGCCTGGGCAGGCGGGTTTCCAGCAGAAGCAGCACAGGCCACCACCTGCAGTTCTTCTATGCCGACTTGTCCAGCCCCACTCGGGTCACACACATGTACAACCACTCCAGCTCTGAGATTGCCTCGCTATACTACGATCTACAGGGACACTTATTTGCCATGGAGCTAAGCAGCGGCGACGAGTTTTACGTGGCGTGCGACAACATCGGCACTCCTCTCGCTGTGTTCAGCGGTTCAGGCCTCATGATTAAGCAGATTCTGCACACGGCATTCGGAGAGGTTTACCTGGACACCAATCCCAGCTTTCAGATTATAATTGGTTATCAGGGAGGACTGTATGAGCCTCTTAGCAAACTAGTCCACATGGGCAAACGGGATTATGATGTCCTTGCTGGCCGCTGGACAACACCGGACAAAGAGATCTGGAGTCATCTCAATAACAATCGCATCGTTCCGTTCAACCTGTACATGTTTAAGAATAACAATCCACTCAGCAACAATGAGGAGACAAAGTGCTACATGACAGGTAATTCATCCTCAGATAGTTCACCCAGCCTGAACTATCTGTAGTAGCCAATATTTGTCATCATATCTGACAAATATGATGAGATTATTTTATTTATTTTCTATACACTTACAACATGGGAGGAGACAAGAACTTTACCATTCAAGTGAGTTATTCATAAATCATGAACCAAAAAAATAACTTTCCTGAAGTATAAATGTGTACGAAGGGTAACAACCCAATATATTTGTTAAATCAGATTTATTTCTTTTCACATTTTCAGTTAAAATTAAATTTAAAAATTTAGTAGATGTTAAAGAGCTCCCTTGCTGATGTTGGGCTTCAGTGTGTTTATGTGCTCGCATGCATGTCCGCCTCTGCAAGCGCCGAGCGGTTATCATTTTGAAAGCGCTCAAAGGGAGCCGTGCTTTATGGCCGGGCCCTCTCTGCCGTTGAACACTCAGATCCTTCACAGAAATTCTCTCTGTTCCTTTGTGTTAGGGGGAGGACAAATGACAGTGAAAGCACCGCAGTGGGGAACAGGAGGGCACAATGGATTCATAGAAATCATAGCCAGGGCTGGTTGCGTCAACCTTAGAGCCTGGAAGGGAAACTATGTTAACGATACCCAGTAAATTCTCTGTAGTTAAAGGAATTCTGCAATTTTTTTTTTAGTTTTATCTGCATAATATAGGTAGGGAATATGGTACTTTTTTTTCCCATTCCCATTTTCTCCGCAGTGTGTCAATTTAACAAGAGGTAAATTAAGCCCCTTTTTTGTTTAATTGGGATCCAGCCATCAACTACTTTTGCTCCAACAAAGTCATTTAACTTCCCTCCAATGAGAGCACCGTTCAGCTTCACAGTCCTCCATAAGGGGCTCTGAATACTAAGCAGACCCGTAGATATACTGCAGCGGGTCTGTGTGATTGATGGCACTGACATTTAAATTCCATTCACTAAATGGCTGTGGTCCTTTCATTGTTCCCAAACAAATTCTTGTTTAAAAAAGCTTTGTTGTGCGCCACAGTGTTGTATTGGCAATCTGTTGCCACCCATGTGCCGTGGCAGTGACTCTGCTGTCAATAACAGGAGCAGGATACAAATACCTGCAACTGAACAGGTATTTCTCCCCCAAACTTATTTTTTGTTAGTTTTATTTGATAAACCCAACACTTAAACCCAACAATTACAAATATGGGATGGGAATAAAAGGATATATGGTTGTATTCAGTTTTTGGATTGTTTGTATTCCTTCTTTTCTCTTATCCCCCCCCCCCCCCCAAAAAAAAAAAAAAAAAAAAAAAACATAATTAGTAAAAAGATAACATGAAAAGTGGATGGCAGCCGCTCTAACAACCACTGTTTTGGCTACTGCTTTTAGATGGATTGCATTAGCGTGATTGCATGGAGTTAGATCTTGGAAATGTCACTCGCCTCCCCGCGCATCTCATTAGAAAAATTGTACTGTTGGAGGAACCCACTGAGTGTTCAAAAATATCTTTCTGTTGACATCTCTGGTGACATGAAATTACAGTCCATAATTAGCTGCAGACGTGCTCAGATGATGTTTCTGGAATCCAGCTGCGTGTCATTAGTGGGGCATCTGCAGGACTGGACATGAATCACCAACATCGTCTTGAGTGTTCAGGATAGCTCATCCACTCTTACAAACAAATGAAGTGCTCCTCCTGACTGAAGAGCATTTCAAGAAGGCAGCCACTTAACTACAAAATGTCAACTTATCAGTTTTAATAAATTAATCTCATCTCTTTCTCCTTTTCTGTCTAAATCCAATATATTTTTACTGATGTTTAACTTTTTTAAATCTCTCCTCCACAGATGTGAACAGCTGGCTTGTGACCTTCGGCTTCCAGCTGTATAATGTTATCCCCGGCTATCGTAAACCGAGCACAGAGAGCATGGAGCCCTCCTACGAGTTAGTCCGCACCCAAATCAAGACACAGGAGTGGGACAGCACCAAGGTAGTCACTCATCTATCTCAGCTTTCACCCTGAAGTATTGCCTTCTGCTTTTGTCCCCTTTCCTTTTCACCGTCATTAGCAAATGAGCATGCTCTTTGTTGCCACATTCCCAGAGGAGCTGCTAACTACCAAGCCAAACATGGCCCAGTGAGCCAGGTCTCAGTCCCCTCATCCCTATCTTGGGGAATGGGGTCAGGCTAAACAGTTCTTGTAATTGTCCTGCCATTAGGGAAATTCACTCTCCATTCCCCTCCACCAGCGACCATCGATTTCGTCTCGGTTTTACTCTGTCGGCTAAGGTCTGAGAAGTAGTAGACAGGCTCTGATTCTCACTTGTATCAGCCCTTTTAGGTAGCCCCCAACTCACTTGAATTATTGAAGAGGCCACTGTTGTTTTCATGGGGTTGGTTACAGCCAGACAAGTGAATGGCACAGAAACGGATTTGTGTTGCATGACACTCCAGCTGTTACCCTAACACAGAGAACTTGTTTTTGAAAAATGTGTACATTAAAAGCTACTGGGTTGATATATTTAAGAAAAAAAATTTATATGTGAGTTTAACCTATGGAGACCCCAAAAAAAAAAAAAAAAACACAGGCAAAGTTACACTAAAACTGAAATTATGTTGCCAAGTTTATCAAGAATTACAATCTTTGCTGATATGATTTTTTTTATTAAAATGGCAGCTATTCTAGCAAGTTTATCAAAACGTATCATTTTACATTAAAACAAAATTATGCTAAAGCAAAATTTAAGGTAAAACAAATTGTGTTGTTACTTACTCCTCTGACCAGCCTGATTAGGTACCAAGTCATTATTTATGTGATTGTTTTTTGTTATATAATTTAAAGGGCACATATCATAATTTTTCCTTCTTTTCCCTTTCTGTTGTATTCAGGCTTATTGCTTTCCATGTCTAATGTCAATAACTATGAGTAAAAAAGAAAGACCAGAACAAAATGAACTCAGGACAGTCAAGAGCAAACTACTTGACCATTATGTCCGAATTTGATTAATTTGTTTCTTATTTTCAGTCTGTTCTACTTTTCTAGCTCTTGAGTAAGATGCTATTTGCCCTTGAAGTAGGCTTGACTCAACTTTCCAAAGTAGATTAAAATGTAACAGGAATTTCTGTATTTCTTGGCTTTTTGGAAAGCACAGACGTTTCATCCATCTCGTATGTGGAGCATTACCATAAAGGTAAAAACCACAGCGGTGTCCTCATATTGCCTGGGCTGCTGTTGGATGTGTTCCTGTGGAAATCTGAGTCATTCAGTGCTAACAACCCACAGAAATCTTTGAACTCACCAAAGTTATCAACCTACAAAGGAGAAGCAACACAGAACTCAAACAACATCCCATCTATTTTCAGTTCAGACGTTTCAAAGTTGCAACAGGCTTTTTGCCTTCTCTGTTGAAATGAAACACTAAAAATGAAAGTTCATATCATAATATGTTTGGTTTTAGGAAAATTTTCCTGCTTCTTTCTATAAAAAAAAAACAGAACATTTTTACATCTAAATTCAAAGATTTATCTACAAAATGTAGCTCCTCAATTATTTAGAGACCTAAATCGCTCAAAATGTGTAGTCATCAAGGCTTTGAATTGCGAGGTTAGCCTCATTTTGAAGTTTCCCATCATGTTTTTGAGGAAGATTTGCCTTCAGCACACCTCTGGATCCATATAATTAGTCCTCATCCTGTTCATGAGCTGTTGTGTGATATTTTTATCCAGAATCCCTTTTTCTGAAAGGATGCCCTGAGATGGTTAATGCCAGGTTGATCCTCACTGCAAATGGCCAGATAAGCCCAGGAACATATTGGGTTCTTTCAGGAATCAATACAACTTTAAAACTGCATGTTGTACATCTATACCTTGGTATTTGATTGTATTTTATTCGGGAAAAAAAAGAAAAGAAAGAAAGAACAGCTCCCGTTCTATCGCCGTCTGCTTAAGCCCCCGTTTTGCAATGCTGCTCGATCCACGCAGAGATTGAAAAGTGCCGTGAGCAGACGGAGAGATGAGGTCTGCGATGCGCAAGGCTCTATCTCTCATTCAGGGTTTTGCTGGAGGCTCATTGCACCCCCTGCTATGTGACTGATGCGTCTCTTGGAGTTTCCCTTGAGGCTGTTTCAGTAAAGTGGAGGACATTGCACTTCGCCCCTTTTCCCTCGTCCTCGGAACAGCTGAACAGGTCACTGCTTGCGAGGACCTCCACAGCACATGTGGCTTTTCGTCTCCTCGATTTGACATGTGTTCATCCAGGACGTGATGCAGTGTTATGTCAACCGATGGTCAGACATGCTGCATGCTGCAGAGCGCTCTGCACCCCACACCAATTCCTCAACCTACAGTCACCCTCTAATCAGAGTCAGAACTGAAAAACTGTCAGGAAGATTTTGCATGTTACTAGTTGGCAGGAACTCCTCTGGATACACAGAGCCTCATATGTTGGCTGGTGACTTGCAGGCATTTTTAAAGCCGTTTGATTGATGCTTACATGCACCCAGGCGACTGCCTCGTTGTTTTCTGGCCAGCTTCCATTTCGCATCATCCTCCCTGCGTTTTTTTTTTTCTTTTTTTTCTTTTAGAGGAACATCTCTTGTCAAGTAATATTAGGACAAAACATAAACATTGGCTGGAGGGAATGTGATATCTCCTTTGATCCCTTATAGAATGAGTTGTGCTGGATACTCCTGTTACCAAAAAACTCCTGTTTCAGATTAAGCCCAGCAGTGCTTTTAGAAAACAGCAGTTTCACTCACTTTTTTTTTCTTTTTTTTTTATGATCAGAGAGATTTGCATTCTCTGACAAACACCTCTGCTGTTACCTTGGCAATGTAGTGATGTACTCACAGAAACAAAACATCATAGATCTGTTTTCTGGCCATTAAAAAAGCTGTTTCATCAACATTTTGTGAGAAAATACTGATGAGATTGAGCAATGACATTCAATCAAATATGAATTCAGCATTTTTACTTCAACTTACTCAAGGAGGTTTTAAATAATGCCATACAGAGGTTTATTGGACTTTCTGTGAACTGATGGAAATTGTTCTTGTAAAGTTAGCAAGCAGCAAATATTGTGTGTAAAGTTTTACACTTTATTGTGACTTGCTAAACAATCCATACTCCACATTTTTCCATTACATTTACAAACTTGCAATTGAATTTACTAGATTTTAATATGACAGACCAACACCAAGAAAAATTGAGTATTTTTTTACGGCTCTTTTTTCAGAGCAAATTCCAATAAAACACTTTCAAGTTTGAGATTGCAATGTGACAAAATATTAAAAAGTCCAAATGAGATTCTTTTATAAAGCATTTTGTTTCTGTTTCATTTATTTCAAACTGCTCCCGGTGCTGTCCTCAGCCGGTGCTGCGTGGGCTGTGACTAACCAGTGTTGTCTTTGTTTTGCAGTCTTTGCTGGGCGTTCAGTGCGAAGTTCAAAGGCAGCTCAAAGCTTTCGTCAAGCTGGAACGCTTTGGTCAAATCTACAACACCAAAAGCGCAGGATGTCCCCAGACAGAGGGGAAGAAGATCTTCGCTTCTGGTGGTTCCATCTTTGGGAAAGGGGTGAAGTTCGCCATCCGAGACGGCCGCATCAGCACCGACATCATCAGCCTGGCCAACGAGGACGGACGCCGCATGGCCGCCGTTCTGAACGACGCGTTCTATCTTGAAAACCTTCACTTCACCATCGCAGGGATGGACACCCACCATTTTGTCAAGCTGGGCTCAGTGGAAGGAGACCTGGCGCTCATTGGCATGACGGTTGGCCGGCGCACGTTGGAGAACGGTGTCAACGTCACCGTGTCTCAGGTCAACACCGTGCTGAATGGCAGGACTAGGCGCATCACCGACATCCAGCTGCAGCATGGATCGCTGCTCCTCAACACGCGATACGGCGGCAGCGTAGACGAAGAGAAAGCCCGCGTTCTGGAGCTGGCCCGGCAGAGGGCCGTCGGCCAGGCCTGGGCCCGGGAGCGCCAGAGACTCAGAGATGGAGAGGAAGGCTCAAGAACCTGGACTGAGGGAGAGAAGCAGCAGCTTCTGGGTTCAGGGAAGGTGCAAGGCTATGACGGATACTATGTGGTTTCAGTTGACCAATACCCCGAGCTGGCAGACAGTGTCAACAACATCCACTTCATGAGACAGAGTGAAATGGGCCGAAGGTGACATGAACACGAGGCTGTCGGATAACGGACTCCGATGTAGGAAATGGGACTTCTTGCCAAAGACAGTTGTGTACATGACCACGCTTTTTTTTTTTTCTTTGACTGTGCCCAACTTGGTTTTTAATATGCTGTAAACAAGATGACGGTTGCAAACAGCTGCACTCTCTCTGTGACAGAAGAGTGCCCTTCTCCTTCTGAGGATTCTTTATCAGTCTTTGCCCTTCAAGTGCGGCTGCTAGAGGATGAAAATCTGTGATGTCTTTTGGCTTATTTTTGTGACTCCATTTCCTCTCACCTGTTGGTGATTCTCTTCAAAGGAATCTGAGAGGAGTTTTGGTGATCAATTGTGTTTCTCCGGCTCTCTCTCTTTCTGCTAACAGACTTTTGCAGATTGTAATTCACAAGCCTGCTCCATTCTGCCTTTTTCTGCGCCTCAGCCAAGGAGATTCCATCTCTTTTAATCACTCCTTTTTTTTTTTTTTATACTTGAAGCCCTCATAGCCCCTGTCATCCATTAATAATGAGTGAAATTGCTGTTGGCCGTAATGCCCTTCATCAAAACCACAGCTGAACTTGTCAAAGCACCTTCGTTTGTGTGATGTCTCAGAGATCTATGAGAGGAGGCTTTGTGCTCATTTGTGGTCTTAAGGTTTCTGTGCACCCTGAAATGTGCATGTCGGCCTTGTTTATGAAGTACAAAACCTGCAAAAATGCTTAATGACAGCACCTTGCAGAAGGTAGATCATTACCTGTTGGGCTTTTTCACATTTTCTCCAGTTTCTCTACGAGCATCGGCATATTATTCTGGATTTTATTGGATAAATCAACACAGACGACTGTTTTAAATAGAGAAAATCAAAAGGTTTTTATATCTCTTTTACAAATAAAACCTTAAAAGTCTGTCATACTTTATTTAGCTTCCATTTCTCTATTTGTACACATAAATAAAATCTCCTGCAACCAACTCCACCAGTCTGTATTTTCAGTATAAATACAGCTGTTATGTGATCTCACTGGTATGTCAGACTATTTTTGAACAAAATAACATAAAACAGATGTTTTATGTTCTGATGTGATCTAAATCTGAAAAAGCTCAACAGACTTAATCATTTTGCAGAGCTCTGCAGGCCTAAATTGAATAAGCGTGTAATCTCAGTCAATTAGGATATTGTTGAAAAGTAAATTGTATCAGTGATTCAGTTCAAAAAGTGAATCTCTTCTATTATTCAGATTCATTAAACAGAGTTATATATATATATTTAAGTTTGTATTTCTGTTATTTTGTTGAGCTGGCTTTTATTGTTCCAGATGTAGAAATGATTGTCTGAAAATGTTTTGGGAAATTTATGAAGTTTAAAGTTTTAATGAATTTTTCTAATGCAGGCAAAACTCCTATGGGTGGTAGAGCATTTGGTATTGGTAACAAAATGCGTTGTAATGGTAACACCTTTAAGGAGTAATCACTGTCCTCTAAATTCCCAACTTGGTTGGCATGTTTAGAGACGCAACAGCGCCACCTGTGGGGAACTGAGTGTGCAGGAAGGGGCAGGGCTTAGAGTGGGCTTGCGACCCACTCATAACTGCTTCCAGTTCTAGGATGTAATTTTGGTTATTCTGGGTTTCAGAAATTACAAATGGTTCATTTTTAATTCAGAAGAGTTATTTTATGGGACAGTCATTACCTTCTTTAAATGACCTTGAGTGTTATGAAAGGCAATTCTAAATAAAATGTATTATTATTATTATTGCTACTACGCCTCATTGTTGGCTTAACAGTTATTAATGCTGGCTGTTCATATCACACGCCTCCAAACAAAAGAAAGTTTATTTAGTAGATATAAAAGCAACGGTGATTTTAAAGGAAGCAGCTGCAAATAATAATATTCGTAATTAACCTTTTTTATGATATTCTAATTAACTGAGATGCACCTATAGTAAAATAAACAAAGGGATATAATATTGGATTTTAATTTTTTTGTGTCCCTCTTTTCAGTAAATTTTGAAAAATCTAAATTTAGGATAGATGTTTTTAGTACGTGGTCAGACAACTCAATCACAAAACTACATGAAGAGCCAACCTTGTAAGAAAATACTGTGGAACTATTGTGTATTAAAGAACAAAAAGGTATTTTCTGGGACTGGTTTTGAACTATATTTTCATTTTGTTTTATAAATAGCTATATGAATTAACAGTATAACAAATGTGAATTTAAAAATAATGTGAATTATTGTCCCTTCTATTGTTGATTGTTGTACTTGAACAATACGTGGGGGGTGTTTGAACACATTGGAATAAAACAATGAAGAGGGTTTTAGTGAAATCCCTTACAGTGTATTTCATTAGACTCACTGCTTTTTTTTAATGAATCTCGATTTCCTTGTGGGAAGCACTGAGGAGTTAAAAAGTCAGTATTCCACAACACAGCGTCACAGCGATCCAATTAAACTTTGGATGAAAATGGTTTTAAATAGCGCGAGGCTAGCCAGAAGGTCAAAGAAAGCAGTTAATTCCGTCATACATGCTCCATTAGCATATTGGCTGCAGAGGTAAATGGGCTTTGGGTCGTACTGTGGGTCTGGTGAAAGATACAAATTGCCTTTGCCCTAAGGGCTGCCCGCAGGTCAGCCTAGAAAGTGCTTTTATTCTCCAGGATAGGGCTCCTCTTAGTTAGGGGAAATGCATTTGACCTGCAGGTGTTCTGGTTCCCGTTTACAGACTAAAGGTTGTCTATACACATCAACTTTTGCCACATGGACATTTTTTGGCCCTCGTACATCTGTGACCCTCTCCGTCTCCTACACACACCTTCTCTTTTCATGCCCCTCCCCTGGTGGATACTGCAAAGGACAGATTACCTGTGCTCATTCAAAAGTGTCATGATGTGAAAACTCACAAGGAGACAATTTCGAAAAGTTGTGACATTGATTTGACTTCTGGTACCATTTTGAACTATGCCAAGCCACTTCACTCTCTTGACTGTCATTTTCCGATTCAGCATATAGACTTATCTGTGTGTCTATAGGTGGTGAGAGCATGATTGAGTGTCTCAATCTGTACAAACGATTAAGCAAATTGGACAAGACTTTCTTTTTTTTTGCTGTTTTTTTTTATGATGTTGGTTGATTCAGTGGCATTTTGTTCCTGAAAAACAATATGTATGTTCAGCATAATATGAATGAAGGATATTTGCATTGTGGAATATTGCACTGATAATTGTTGCGTCATAAGACTGTATCTTTTTCTAAAAGTTTTTGGACTCATTTTGAGTTTCGGTTTGTTCTCAACACTGTGTTTTTAGCGCTTCTTCTGACTGTGTAAATATGAGGACATCCAAGTAAGCTGTAAATAAAATGCAAATGTAGATACCTCTTAGAGCTACATTGGTGACCCTGTGTAGTCTTAAGGTAGAAAAAAAAAATAAAGGGAATATTTTGTGTTTATGTTTTGTGTTGATCTTAAATTATTTTTTACCATACACAATATAAGGAAACAAATCCTTATATTACAGGAACTCTAAGAGAAAGAGAGATGTTCATAATAATATAAATTTATATATAGTCCCCTGAATAAGAAGTCCTTCCCTTAGAACCGTGTTGTGAGCTTTTGGCTTCCTTTAAATATTTTTTTTTAGATAAGTTCTAATAAAACACTAATTTACTTGCCTCTTTAGCAAAGTCTCAATTTAGTAAAGTTTGACATTTCTGTTGACATTTTGATTATCAACTGCTGCTTCTTCAAATAGACGTTTAGCTGACATAAAACAGGCAGTAGCATTAGCTTCTACCATATACCATGCTGCTATAGTTATATAGCATGAGCGTAAGGTTCATGAGGGTTAGCAACATTCACTTTTTAATTAGAGTTGCCCACTTCTGTGATACATCAACACAAAGTGGCCCATAATTGTAGAACAGAATATTTTACACAAATAAAAATGTGTAACATATGTTGGATATTGGTATTCTGCTCCCGGAGATAATACTTCATAGGGCCACTTAAAATATTGCTGCAAGTTTTTTTTTGTTTTTTTGCTACAATGGACAAGTGGCCTATTTCACATTCAGTATTCGTAAAAAAAAAAATAATAATATTTGTGTTTTTTGATAGAGGCTGTCTAAAAAATGTAATACACTCAACCACAATGCGACTTAAAACGTTATTGTTTTAGTGTTTGCAAAGAAAAGCAGCCAATCCAGACCCGGCATTTATTTTCCTTACTGCTGATTGGCTGTACCCACAAGAAAAGAGGTAAGAAACACCATAAGTGTTAGTTTCTAAGATGTTTTTCATTGTGATGTATATTTAGGTGTTTATGGAGTAGACAGTTTTAAGTGGGGTTTTTTTTCAACGCAGTCTCAAGTATTTATGTATTTTAGCTTTTCACACAAGGTTGTGCACCCTAACCTCTGCAGAAACCTACTGTATGTCCCTTCAAGTCTACCATGCTTTTAAGTATTGTCTCAGATTCTTTTTTTTTATTTAGTGTTACATCAACTTCTTCTCAAGAAAATGCACTAAAATGTTCTTGACATTTCGTTAAGCTACAGTTTAGCAAAATGTTAAACTTAAAAAATAACTCCAGGAAAGTGAATACTTTTGCCAGGCCAAGCATTTCCATGCTATTCACTGCTGAGATGTTAGATTTTACCCCGTTCATCTCCATCTCCGGTCTATTACCCCTACATTAATTCTCCCCCTAGGATACAAACCTTAACGAGTCTAATTTGATACAGTAGGATAATTTATTATTGTTCTATTCAGTTAAACAAGCTTTGCCACCTGCTTAGGCTTCGAAACCATTAGTTTCTCGCATGATGTGAGCATGTGGCTGAATGCCAGTTCATAAAGTACGGTCTATTAATAAAACCATCTCCGCAGTGGATGTATTTAACTTTCAGATGACAAGCAAGCCTCAAGGGAGGCTGAGTCGAACTTTACTATTAATTAACCTGTCAAAGTCGAGGACCGATCCTTCGATGTTACAGAAAGCCACCAGGAGGTTGTTTTTTTTTTGTTGTTGTTGTTTTTTTGACTTGATAAGTTTGTTAAAAGAAGTGGAGCTCTGGGGGTAATGCTGTTAGCAGGCTGTGAAAGATTTGGGAGTTAGCTGCCAGAGTGTGGTGGCACCGGGGAAGCCTGGGAGATTTACACCTGCTGCAAGCAGAGGCGCTCCAAGGAAACCTGAACCTGTTACAGGGATGTCAAACCCCCGTCCTCAAGGGCCGGTGTCCTGCAGCCTCTGCTGCACCACACCTGAATAGAATAATTAGACTCTGGAAAACCTATCTACACAAGGAGGAGGTAGTTAAGCCGTTTTATTCCAGTGTTTTGTACCTGTGGCATATTTAAAAGCTGTTGGACAAACTCCAGGCCCTTGAGGACCGGAGTTTGACACCTGTGGTCAAAACAGACACTTCCATCTCACTGATTAATCCGCGATGAGGGCAGCGAACTTTCACATTCGGATGTTCGCTGCAGCAAGTTTGAATATTTCCGACTGTGTCTCTCATTTTCCTTGATGTGGCGCATGATTCTAAAAGAGCACGGTTTTGAAAGGAACATAGAGTGGCGCAAGCTAAGAGCTTTTCCTGCGTAGGGTGACCGTCTCTGCTGCAGAGAGGCAAAGCCTCCTTCTGCCTCCAGGATTGTTGTCCTTTAAGTAGAATCAGATTAACAGCAGCGTCCCCTTGACCTCTAGCAGAAGGTCAGGGTGAAGGTTGTTGTATTGGGCTCAGTGATAAAATAGATATTATTTGACACGTATGTAATTTCATACCATAAGTATTGAATAAATAAAAACATAAATTATTTACCCCTACTGAAATAAAACCGGAAATGAATAAATTCAGAACAAATGGATGTGTAACAATTTAATAAATGTACAGATAAAAATAGTTATTTGATGTCATTCACCAAAACATAATTTGTAAAAGTACAAAAATACACTATAGCTCTAATATTAAAATGTCATATTATAGACTAGAGACTCAAAACATTATACATATATTTCAACAGTTTTTCCCCGATATGCAAAAATGTGAATATAAAATATTTAACTGTTTATTTAAGTGTTTATTTGCTTCCTCTTGAATTATTTAAGTAAACACTTAATGATCCATTTGACAACAACTTTTTGAATTTCCATTGTTAAAAATAACCTTTTATTTCTTATTTGTCATTGCATAACCTCATTATCTTCTCATATTATCTATTTACAATGCAACTTTTTCCTGTTTGCTTCGATGGCAGAATTATGCTGAATGTTAAGCAACATTTCAGGGTAGCTTGTCTTCGTTACATCATTTGAATTTATTGATATGAAGCAACATCTTGAGATTTACAGCAAAAATGGTGAAACAAAAGGTTCTAAAAAGGCATTGAACTCTCCTGAAGGAAATGACAGTGACATCATTCATGCTGCAGTGCAGTCAATTTGATTAATTTAACAGCAACAATCAGATTCTGAAGTTCTGTGAAGGAAGAAGAAAATTCCCCTCTAGCCTGAATTTCTGTGAGGCTGCAGAAGGCAAATCTTCCCTCTGAGAAGCATGCATGAACTGCTTCTCATTACCTGTTCTGCGTCTGATGTGAAGAGATAACTTCACATTGCTTTCACACTTCAGCTGTTTCCTCTCACCGATAACTCCGGGCCCAAGTGTTGGATAAACACAGGGAAAGGTTTTAGCCAGAGAAATGAGCAAAAGGTTGATTTCTGCCAGGGTTTAACGTTCCTTCCATGAATCGTGTACCAAGTCAGGAAACAGGTGGTGAAATGAAACACCTGCTGTCACCTGCCTTTTCTGTCAATCTTAAGGAAATACATGATGTTTATTTTTAAGAAGGCCAGATATATCATTTGGGGAGAGCAGAATGTTGATAGGACTTGTTAAGTTTCCCCAACATCTTTAAAATACAGATCCTTGTGGAAAGATTTTTCTCCATGGGTTTTTTCTTCTTTTCAGTTTTTTTTTAACATTATTTCACATTCCAGGATATTTAGCGGATAAATCACTTGGACTTTACGACATTCTTTTGAAATTAAAATTAAACAATTTTAATTTCAAAATTAAAATTAAACAATTTTAATTTAAAAGAAATTTTTACATTTCAAAATTTCAGAGCGTTTGGATTCCTGAGTAAAGCCATCAAGTTTTAACATCTTTCTTATTACATGTTTATTTTAGTCAGCTCTTGTGCTGATAAAAGGTTTATTTTATTTATTATATAATGTTATTGTGGTGTTGGTATTTTTCCTTCCTGGTAATGTTTGCATTTACATTCTTATTCTTCTTCGTTCCTGTTCAACTTCAGCTGAATTTTCCTGTTTAATGTACCATCTACACTAAGTCGCTGTGTGTTTTGCTGTGAGGAGAACAGCAAAACACACAACCAAATTCATTTTACAGTTAAACTCTAAAACACTAACATGCTTTGCTGTTTTATTAACTTTAAGTTGAATGAAGTTTGATATCTGCATCTGGTTATAGACTGTCAGCAATGTTCCGGATAGTTAAATGTTTATATTTAGGATTTTGTTTTTAGGCATTATGACTGCTGAGTTCAGTTTCCTGTTTGCTCATGGGTCGTAGTTTTTCAAGGGAAGACACAATCTGAATTTAAGTTGGTGCGTTAGCATTAGCTTCTGCTAAATACTGTGTATGTGTAGCGCTTTAGCATAGCTGGATTTATGTTTAAGACGACAGCTTAAGAATTAATGCGACAAAATTTGTCGTTAGCTGTGCCCACCACCACTCTGAGACATTAACAGAGTGGGGATTTGGTTCCCCTGGATTTTTTTAATGGAATGTAAAAATCATAAACCTTTTGAGGTACAAATGTAACTCAATGTGTAAATTTCTTTTTCACATAAAATCTCAAGAAGGCACGCTGACATCTGTGGTTGTATGAAGCGAGAAAATGCCGAAATGTTCTGTCTGGAAGTTGCATTTGTTAATGTCATTTGTAATTATTTGGTTTTACATTCCTCCTTCCAACAGCTCGGCAAATGGAGGAACCATAAAAGCAAATTGGCTAAGCACATTTTCTCCTATTTTGGAATCCCAACACGATGACGGCAACACTGCAGCCACCGAGGCACTCAGTAAAGCCGAGCTTTGGAAATAAAACCAATGTGATGGTTTTCTGAAGTGTAATATTTCCATGGGTCATGCAAAGGCCAGTGTTGCCTCTCAGACAAACTGACCCGCGCTGTGAAAATGGAAAATGTGCTTCAGCAACACCTTCGGCAGTGCCATGCTGTCTGCCTGTAATACGTGAGGCATTATCTCCCCCTAAAAAAGGAGGTGTAAGAGCCTTGGAAAAGAGCCTGCGCTGCCCCCTCTGAAGGCAACATAATGTGGCAGTTTTGACCTCTGTGCAAGAATGAGCTCATTACACGGTTTTGAGCGCGAAGTGATTTTCCCTGACATGAACAATGCAA